TTCTCTTTTAAATCACTGGATCAATTCACTTGATAATGTTACTAGCAACATCTTCCGAAACACTGCAATTTTGCGTCTTTGATCTCCGGTCACTTATACGATTCCTAAACTTCCGCGCAAATTAATCTCAGCTACAATACATTAAATATTACTCGACTCATATGCTGAAAGTTTCCTGCTATTTGCGAACACGACAAATATACAGTTTACTCTGGCCATATTGCCACTGGTTAAAATGCCGGCTCTTTATAACAATTTCTGTGCACAGTTACCGATCATAGAGTACGAGGATAGTAGTGCGAAGTAGCACGAACTAGAACGAAGATTCACGAAGATACCCGAATATATCGACGGGACTTGAGGAACTTGCAAATTGAAAAATTAAAAAATTTGGAAATGTAAAAGATATGAAAATTCGAGGATCAAAGACTTTAGTAAATTTAGAAAATTTGGAGACTTGAAAATTTTTGATAATTTAGAAAATTTATAAATTTTGAGACTTTGGTATTTGATGATTCAAGAATTTGAGAATGAATTTAAAAATGTAATAATTTGAGAATATAGAGTATCAGAAACGTATGGATGTGAAAATCTGTGCAATTGTTCTACCGCAATTTTTCAGCGATAAACGAGTCATGTTTCGAACATGCATCGTTTTCATGTAGGCGCGTCGAAAAATTCGCGAGTCACGCCGCTGGCGATAGATTTTTGACAATCAAGCACTGCATGGAACCAACACCATTTATATTGCCAATTACAAGAATTTTCCGCTGCTATAACCCTATCCGTGACAATATAGCTAGATTACACTGTAACAAACCAGATGTAGATACACTTTTAGTTTTATATCCGTTTGTACCGAAGTTGATTTAGATACACTTTTAATCCATAACTCATCATTAAAACCCGATTTAGATTAACCTCTTACAATACTTTTAATACGATAAAAATAAATCGGTTAGAAAAATAACTAGGTGCTTTATAGATATGGTTAGAGAAGATTTGTTTATTTATACAATATACTCCATAAAGAAACGAAACATCATTTTACCTCATTCTACCTTGGACATTTTACACATTTAATACTAAATATGGCTGCTCTTTTTTAGCTTAAGACGTGGGTCAAACGCGACCCACTATCGGCTGAGTGAGGCTTAATTTTTAAAAACATGTTTTATGCGCTTTCAGAGACGCTTCTTTGTATAATATAGACACGTACAAAGAACACTCGAATTAAATTACTACTAAGAGTTTTGAGAAAAAGGATCGTGAAAGCCCTACCTCAATTAGAATGCACGTAATGAACTACCCGTTGGTAATTTCGACAATTTCATTTTTATAGCGCTACTTTTTTGGTGCAATATAACCTCGCAATTAAAAATTTCAGTGTCGTTTCACATTCTCATAATGTCGTCGACTTAATTATTAAATTTCGCTGTCTATACGATCAATTAATAAAATATTGAGAATTGAGGTTAAGAACGCATTACGATTCTCAATTAATAAGCGACAATAATATTTTCAAATATTAAAAATCTTTTTATGATGTATGAAATGGAAGTGTTACTGCCATATTGATGTAAACGATATATCGATAGCATCTAGCTATTCGATCGATACAGTGCCAAACTGGAACAATACAACACCAAGGTCAAAAGGAAGTATCGAACAGACATCGATACCCTTTGATATCTACATTTTCGATAGTATCGATGCAATATTCCAGCGAAAGATATAATCTCTATGGTTCCAATACTAATCATAGTATACACGGCCTAATTTTGACAACTGAAATTCCGTTTTTTAATTTCTATGCCCTTAGATCTCTACAGTTCAATTGCCGAGGATTCATATGTCCCGTACCCTAATATCCATAAAACCAATACCCCTAGATCCGAATATCGCTGGACCCCAATGCCTCTGCACTAATACTATTAGAACCTAGTATCCCCAAATTCAAATGACCCTAAACTCTAATGTCACCAGATCGAAATATCTCTAGATTTCGGTGTCCCCAGATTCTTATGTGCCCGTATCTCAATATCCCTGAACCCTACTACCCCTATATCTCAAAACCCCTAGATCCTATATCCACACATGTCTAGGTTCCAATCGTTAAATAAATGGTACATGTAAACTTTTGAACCGAACATACGTATGCTATGTATCGCACAATTCATATCGAGTTTCCTCCACGATACATAAATAAGTGAACGCCTTTCTGCACAACATGGAAATATGCAAGTTTATTTTAAAGATAATATCTCATTGTTCTATCTAGCTCTCAAAACACGCGATTGTTTCTGTTTCAGTGAAGGGTTACGGGGAATTTCATGCATTTAATACGTTGATCAAATTCGCGACCAGAGAACGGATGTAAACGGTCTCTTAATATGTACAGCATGTACAATTTTCATGAAAATTAATTGTGTTTAACCCTTGTGCACCGTTCGAAGTTTGATTATACTAATGACCTCGTTATACATCGTGGTTGTAGTCACATAATATTTTACTAAGTGAATGCCTTGAGATCTTTCAACGAAACTTATTAAATGCACAAAAAGTTTCTTGGAGAAATTAATCTTTAAATTTCAATTTCGAGCTCTTACCCGAAACACGAATGTTGTGCGGGCATTAACATAATTTTTTCAACTTATATCTAGTTGCATTCGTGCAACATGTGTATATGAGGTTAGAAAAAAAAATAATATGAATATTGCTATGTGTAATATTTCAGTAACATTTAGTAGTTTGTTATGCGCGTATTCCACTTCGATAATCAATAACTCAAAAAAATCGCAACCATATGTCATATGGAGATAGGATGAATCAAGCGATCTTCGACCTTGGGTAAAAATTTCAATTTTGGTAGTCACACACTTCTAAAAACACCCTAATGGTATCTATAGTGTTGAATACATACACATATATAAGTTTCGCATATTATGTATTTTTTCGTATACATGTATTCATATTTTAATTGCATCTGGTACAAACGAAAGAGTTACTTTTAACTACATAGTAACTAAAATCACTCAATATTTTCTAAAAAGATTGAAGATTAAATAGTTGAATCCAACACTATGATTCTAGCCTACATTTCAACATTTATGGGATATGTCTATTAGGCAATTGTTGTTTTAATTGATGTATAGGTTACATTCTTATTTCAATTATTACCTTTATATTATAATATCTCGCAGAAATAATCACTTTAATATTTATTCAGTATTCATAACATGTTGAAGAATTCATTGTTTACTAAGGTATTGTTTTAATTAAAACGTTTAAATATGTACGTGTTTTACTGATATTTCAAACAAAGTCAAGTCTATTATTTATCATGTAATCTTCTTGTCAAAAACTGATGAATTTACAACGAATATTATTTAATATGCACAATGTACATACATTATGTATGTAATCATGTATACGCACACTTACATGTATATACGTACCTTCCAGTACATGTATATCAATAAACATTTGTTCGCAATGATGTTTCGCACAATCACAAATGAAATCACGCACAAGAATATTATAAGCGAAGAAACAGATTGGATGACAGAAAAAGAGAAAAAAAAGAATAAACACTCACATCCTTCGTTTTTACGGCACGAGCTCGCGCGGCCGACTGAAACGTCAGGAGGCATGCGTTACCCTGACGGCTGGCTTTCCCCTACTCCTTCACTTCCCCCATTAAACGGGCTCATCCCCACTGAAATGGCAAGAAGATGTATGTTTGAAATACTAAAAATAGATTTATAAATGAACTAACTATATACAAATGATTATTACTGAATAATCAAAATATTATAATAATTCTATCTCTAATTATACTAAAATAAATATGAACAACTATTCATATAAAAATGAAATTAAAAATAGTTATTATCAGACGATTTAGCAGGGTTGTGTATTCAAATGTTACTAAAACGAAACATTGAAATTATGTACATTTTTATTAATATTTTGAGCTTTTCTTTATATAAAATATTCTTTTACTTACAATATATATGTACATTATTATACTTCTATGGTTAATTATTATTTATTTATATTATCAAAGATTCTTGTTCATACATTCATCATAAAAATACTCATAGATTGCTATACTCTGATTTTCTTATTTTATTTCAAATTAATAATCGTTAATTTTCATGTTGTAAATTATAGGAAAGTTAAGTACTCTTTAAATTGTACAAATAGTTTTTTTAAAAATTGAAATACAAAGTATTAATTTAGTTCAATCAATAACATATTTCATTTGTTATGTATTCCAGTAAAATTACTTAACAATATTCTACCTGTAAATCATCCTTTGACAAATAAAAATAAATAAATGAATAGAATAACTTGCCTTGGACTATTTTAAAATTATATATAAACATTTAAACCTGTCACTTGATATTTATTGTCCATCGCCATTTTATATACAAACATTATTTAGTAATGAAGAAACCTTTCGAACAACCAGTTTTCGTTCATTCTACGCATGTTAATTATGATTGGTCACTAATGCGCATACGCTATAAGAACTATTATAATGCCGACGTATATACCTGGTGATTTTTTATTCTATATGTATGTTTCCTACATTACTTCCCTCTCCATTTATGTATTATTGTCTTCTGTATATATGAAATGAATGTATGGGGAAACTAGTGAGGGCTTTTTGAGCTTAGTTGACTGCGCGAAAAAAGATCATTCTTTCATGAAATTAAGTATAAATAGGATTTACCTTGTTATTCTACAAAGTATATCCTCATTCAACTTTGTAATTATAGTTAAAAGAAATTTTTAAAATGTAATTGAAATCATATGCAAAAATAAAAAATAATGTTTCTTTTTAGTTGGACATAACCTTATTTTCAAAACACCGGTCATAACCGTTACGTGAATCTGATTATTTGTGGGAACTCTGAAATGTAAATATTGTATATAAACCTTAAAAATGACTTGAATATTATAAAAACATATGTGAATACAAATTACCAAATGTTACTAATAATGAAAAGTTTTATTTTTCCTGAAATTGAAAATCTCCTATCATATTCATTAATATTTGAAAAATGACTGCATAAGAATATTACACTCACAAATACAAGATGAATGAAGAATTGTTTAAACAATTAAAAACCAAATTGAATTTGGAACATTATTCAATGAATGATGAATGGTTGAAAGATTGTTCAGAATTCTATGTAAGCCAGCATGAAAATGTAAATATTAGTTTATATTTAATTTAAAAATTTAAAATCAATAATTTTGTCTTTCATGTAATTAAATTCAGTTTTGTTGTTAGCCAAGCTTCAAAGAAATTTTACAATTTGTAAAAGTACAGTGGCAGCTTAGTGATTTACGAGAAATTAACAATGAAAATGGAAGTCTTCCACATAATATTTCACAACATAAATTCATTGTTTTATCTGAAAATTATATTCTCCAGGTATGCATATTCTTATTAAATTATTTTTTAAATTACCAAAGCCTTTATTAGCCTTTTCTGCATATCTAATTTGTGTAACAGTTATTAATTCATATGAATCTGATTTAGGTAGAACAAATGTATGACATTGCAACATCAAAATATAAACAGTTAGAACAAATAAGGAATACCCATATTTCAGAAACTGAACCTTCTGAATCAGAGAAATTTGATAAGTGGCAACCACCCAAAAAGAGAATGATACAATTAAGATTAACAGATGGAGTACAAGATATAATTGGAATAGAGTATAATTATATATCATGGTTCAATGTATGATAAATGTGTACTAGTACAAAAACTTAATTAAGCCTTAATTGTAAAGTTATTCAAATGTTTTAAGAATATTAATGTCTCTTTCTTCTAGGATGTATTACTTCCAGGGTACAAAATTATGATAATGGGGCCAGTGAAATGTCGTAAAGGTGTTTTATTGTTAGAACCAGGAAAGTGTCAAGGAATTGGTGGGGAAGTAGACAGTTTATTAATTCCTAATGCTCTGGAAAATGTCTTAGCTAGAGCTTTGTAAGTATAACATAAAAAATATTAATGAAATTTAAGTAGGATAAAATAAGCTAATAAAATATTAAAAATAATTTTCAATATATATTCTGTTTTGTACAGGAATTTGAAAGAAAATCCAGATCCTTATAATGACAATGAATCAAAGCCAAATGCTATCAGGCCAGAAGAACAAAAAGTAGATGATAGTTTTTTTGAAGAAGATTTTGAAATAAATTTAGAGGAAGTTTCTATAATTGAATCTTCACACGAGAAAGACAATGAACAATTTAGCACTAATACAGTTAAAACAGAAATTAAAACAGAGACGAAACGAGAAAATGTTATAAATTATAATATTGATACTAAATTTTCCGATAAGCAAACTCGTGAAGAAAAACAAATCTTGGATGATGATGATTGCTTCCTAGAAATGGTTTATGGTTTATTGTCATATTGCTTTAACATTTAATTTTTAAGCATAATTAACTTTTTAATTAAAATTACAGGTCGATGAAACGCAATTTTTAGAATCACAAGTGAAGCAAGAGAATGTTGTAAGTTCCTTAAGAGCTTTGCCTAAAGAAGAAAATGATGATATTATAATAATTGATGAAGAAGATATAATTGAAGACATTTCTATGCCATCAAACTCTGAACAAGTTGAGCATACTTTCAAAAATGAAAAACAAATTTCACATTCAAATTTTGAACTGCTAACTAGTAAAAAGGATTCATCGATTTCTACTGTACAGTCTGCAGTAAGAAAAACTCGAGAGGAATCTTTAGTAATTGGAGGAAAGAGAACTGTAAGGCATTAAAGAACTAAATTGATTTTATCAAATAATTAGAAATATCAATCATTAATAAGTGAAATTTTTTAGATTCCAATGTCTTCTCCTGAAATAAAAGTCTCAAAAAAAGGTAAAATGGAAAGATCAATCACAGAATTTATAAAACCACAAATATTAAATACACCAAAAATTTGTGATTTTATTCATGACATAAATCAAGAAGTAATAACAAAAACAACGTCTAAAACAATTCGAGGACATATTGAGGTTTTGGGGAAATTGGCAAAAAAAGATTCATTGTGGAATTTAGAATGTACAGTAGGAGATGGTACTGGAACAATAGAAGTATCTTTTTCAAATAAGGTGAGTTAGTTAATAAAATAATTTACTAAACTTAAACTAAATTTACATAATTGTAGGTTTTGGAAGAAATGTTAGGTTTTACCGTACAAGAATTTTCAGCAAAAAAGAAATTGAAGAAAAATCCAGAGATTGAACAACAACTTAGAACGGTATTTAAATTAAATTATTTTCCTTTTTTTTAATTGAAATTTTTGTTTTGTGAAAATGAGAAAAAAATATAAATGTTTCAGAGTTTCCGTAGTGCAGAACATAGAATAAAAACTTTGGATGCCCTTTTAGAATTAGAATTAAATTTGAATAAAAAACCTATAGTAATTAAAATTACTGATTTGACTCAGGAACAGAAAGGAATAATAGATAAGAAACTAAACAACTTTTTGCTTAATAAATAAATTAAATTATAATTCATTTTATTAGATATAACTATAATTTTTGTAATAAATGTAAGGGGAATATGATAAATGTTTTTTTTATTAAATTTTGCAAATACAATGGAAAAATATAATAAATAATTTCATATAGTTTGTATCATTTTCTATTCGATTTCAAACATTTATTTACAGTTAAATAATTATAATTTGAAACCTGAATGAATAGCTACTATTCCACAAGTTAAATTTTCATATGTTACATTTCTAAAACCTGCTTCTTCAATCATTTCCTAAAATAATTGATATTAATATTTTAAATTATTAAATTATTAAATATATAGTTTGCACAGTGTAGTTTACTTCAGTGTATGACATTATTCACCTTAAAATCTTCTTGCTTAGGAAATTTCCTAATACTTTCAACAAGATACTGGTAAGCTTGCCATTCTCCTGCTATAAGTGTACCTAATACTGGGATTATTTGAAATGAATATTGATCATAAACCCTATAAAAAAATATTTTTTTATATATTCCTATTAAGGATGCTACCCTTTATGTAAATACTTTGATTTAATTGGATTATTACCATCTAAAGATATCATTATTTACATGACTAAATTCTAAACACATGAAGCGACCACCTGGAGTAAGAACCCGATATGCTTCAGCAAGAACCTAAATAGTTTTTTTTATAAACACTTAAAAGTTTTCATAAACTTCAGCAATCAACTTTACAATGACATAGTAACATTTAATTTACCTTATCAATATGAGTTACATTTCTTATTCCAAATGCTATTGTATAAGCTGTATATGAATCATTATCAAAAGGAAGCTCTTCTGCATTACATTCTTGCCAATCAATTTCAATATTTTGTTGATCTAACCAACCCTGTCTTTCTGCTCTAACTTTTCCAACCTTTAACATATTCTCATTTATATCACAGACTGTTACAGAACTTTTAAAGTTTTGAGGATTAGGAGTATTCTTCAAATAATTTAAATATCGAAAAGTTATATCTCCTGTACCACCAGCTGAATCTAATAATTTACTCCCATGAGTTGGTCCAAGTCTTTGAATAAATATATCTTTCCAAATACGATGAATTCCTAAACTCATTGCATCATTCATTTGGTCATAGGAATCTGCTACTTTTTCAAACACTGTATATACTAAAAAATTTAATTTACAATATTTATTTAATTTCACTTTATTATAAACAATTTTATCAAAACGAAATGAAATAAAAAGTAAATTATAGTACCAATTCTTTGGTAAGCTAACTTTAAATACATTGTACATGAACATTTAAAGAAATTACATCACTATTCTATAGTTTTAATATATTTTGAAAAATATAAATACTACTTAAGTAAATCATATTATAGAGCACACCTTCTTTCACTTTATCAGCTTCTTTGACAGTTTTAAAACCAAAATGAGTAGTTTTTTCATTATCATTAGCTGTAGTTGCTTCTGAGAAGTATTTTTCTGATAGGGAGGTTATTTTCCTACTTCTCATTAAGTTTAAGAGATATCTTCTTGCAATCATTTTCAATTAGTTTTACACACTACTAAGGAGAGATCAGTATTCCCTATTGTTTTTCATTTGCATTTTTTAGGTTATCTTTATACTATAATCATTTATGTATTTTTAACATGCAATCTACTTCGTGAAAATGATCAATCAACAACAAGTTTTCGATCGTTCTGCGCACGTTAACTTTCACAACCAAGAGTAAAGCGTATTCGCTTATAAAATGATTACAACACTTAGCGTGTATATACAGTGATTTTTTATGTAGTATACTCTCACACCTTCCCACGTCACCGCTCCTTTTCTTTATTTACATACTTTTGTTTACTATGTATGTGACTGGTAGGAAGTCACGGGAAAGAAACACAAGTGCTAAGGAAAGTTTCTGTACCGCGCAAAGTTAATATTCCCTCCAGATTTCAAGCGAAGGTAAAACACGTGAGCCATATTCATCGATATCAAGAACAGTATTAATTTTGGTAACAGGTGATCACTATACATTTATAATTACATACAATATTTTACAAAATATCATACAACATACAAAATTATCATACACAATATTATTTTTAGTTTGTAAATGTCCATAATTAATATGTTCTTCATATTTCAAATAATTTTTTTCGAATAATTTAAAAATGCTTATAGCTAATATCAGTCATTTATGCGTTTAAAAATATAATTAAATTTTACATGAAAGCATATTATTTTATTGCCATTAGTTGTTGTACTGATTACGAGTGCGATGAATTCGAATATTCCATATCTTAATACGTAAAATCGATAGTTTACTTTCCGTTGTTGGAGAACCTGCGTAATACCTGTTGATTTTTCCTCAAAACGTTGCAAGAAATTTTCAGGTAATGTGGCAAATTTCATATGTTACGATCTATCGAGTAATACATATATATTTTTTCTTTTAATTAAAATGATAAATGCTTTATTTGTTTCAATTAAATGTTATTATCATCTTGTTTATTTAACCTGATACTTAAAACGTCATTGTAGGCAATAAGATCTTATAACACTTGTTGAACTTATTCTTAGATCAAGGTTTTAGATATAACTCTACATACATAACAAGTATTTTACAATATTTACATTTGTTTTAATACATACGTTTTTATATTTGATTATAAGGAGAAGAAAGCCAAATATAAAGTATGATTAATTAACAAGACTATTTTAATTGAAATATTTTATGAGTAATACATTATTTAATATATTTATTCATGTAGTTGTATATTTATTACTATATGCACTAACACATATTTAAATATTGAAAACAAACAGGAATGGAAAGTAAGTAAATGCTACCATATGTTAAATATTTTATATAGTGTTTTTTGAATAAATGTTTTTTGATTAAATTTATTACATATGTAATGTATTTTACATTTACTTACAAATTTTTGTGAATTAATTTTCCATTATTTTCCATTATTACTCTGTTTATTAATTTTTTCATTTTTTATTATTAACTTAATACTTTGTACTTATTAAAGGTCAAGGACTATATTAAAGTGCATATAAAATTCAAAATGTTTACATGATATTTTAAATATACATATGCTGAATCATTTTTTAATATAATTATGTCATCAAATTTTCCTTACGAGTATCAAATATGCTTAGGTATGTTATTTTGTCTTTTATTTCTTAATGTTAAATATAATGGTAAATTAAAACTTATTAATTCAAATGGTTTTATAGGTACATATTGTATAAAACAGTTGATTTTATGATAATTTTATTTTTTTCTAATTGTATATTTAATGACATTTTGATGTTTGATATTGTAGCTTGATAAAGTTTAATAAATTTAATAAAGTAATCAATAATATAATTTTCAGACATGGAGCAAATTGGAGCACCACATCAATCTTTAGAGGGTTTTAAACCATTAGTGATTGCTATGGAAGTTATTGGAGCAATCCTTGTAATTTTGGTTGCAATTTGGTGTAATAGTTACAGAGGAGGTTTTGCTTGGAGATCTAATCCAGCACTAGAATTCAATTGGCATCCTATGTTAATGACTCTTGGATTTGTTTTCTTATATGCCAATGGTATATTTAACAGTTTGACTTTTATTATGATTTTGATCAATATTATGTCCTTAAACAATATTATTGTCATAGTATTTTTGTTATTGATTTCAATTTTTTTAGGTATGTTAATATACAGAACACAAAGAAATGCTAGAAAACGGAGACTAAAGCTAATTCATGCTGGTATAATGTTATTCACTGTTGTATTGGTAGTAATTGCTCTTGTGGCTGTATTTGATAGTCATAACTTAAATGTAAAGCCAATTCCAAATATGTATAGTCTTCATAGTTGGGTTGGACTTACTAGTGTCATTTTATTTTGCTGTCAGGTATGATTGAAAGTATTTAAAATGTAATATTTATATGTATATACACACTTTACCTCTACCAAAAAGTTTTATTTTGTTTCATAAAGTTGATATATTTATGTATCTCAATATTTCAGTGGTTAGCTGGGTTTATCTCTTTCCTTTACCCAGGACTGCAAATTCCATTAAGAATCTCCTACATGCCTATTCATGTATACTTTGGTGTTGCTGGATTTGTTGGTGTGATTGCTTCTTGTCTTCTAGGACTCAATGAAAAAGCAATTTTTGCTTTACAGTGAGTAAATGTTCTGTATATGTAACTTTATATTTATTTATATTATTCGTATATCATTCAATTTAATTATTGTAATGTAATGTTCAATTTTAGAGACAAGTACTCAATGCTTGTAAATGAAGCAGTATTAATTAATGTAATTGGACTGTTCTTAGTTCTTTTTGGTGGAGTATCTATTTATCTTGTATCACAACAACGTTACAAACGTTTCCCTAGACCTGAAGATGAATCACTAGTCAGTGGTAGTAGTCAGTAAATATAAAAAAATATTTACAATTTTCTGTGATGTGCAGGCAAAATCCAGGTTAACTCGTATACCATGTGTGCAATTTTTTAATTTTTATATTGTAACTGTTTTCAACCATTTTCATTTGATTTCTGTACTCAATTTTATTTAATGAATTTTATGCTTTTTATGGAATACATTAAGCAAAATGTATGAATCATGCTTCATGTATATTAAAAATTATAACAAGTCAAAGTAAACTATAACAATTGTAAATGATAAAATCTTGAAGTCCAATCAGATCTGTACTTTTACTATAGTAATTATGGTGCTATGATTGATATTTTAGTTAAAGTAATGATATTCTCAATGTAAAGTATTCTTTGTATTTTTTCTTTTTATAATATTCTTTATGTTACAATTATAAAATTATCTTGTTAATGAATGTAATGTAAAATGTCAAATATGTTATTCTATTTTAATGTTACGTATAAATTTATATATACATATATATATATATATACATGTGTGTGATATCTAAACTTTGTATTACAATATACTTTCTGTTAAAATTATGTACTTTACAAATATACTTAAAATTGACTTCATTATTTTATTACAGTTTCATTCTAATTTAAAAAATCACAGAGTGTTTAAGTTCATTTTACATTTTATTAAATCCCAACTTTCACGGAATACTGTCCATACATATTTTATTTCACAGGAGAATATAGATTCAATTTCTGTTCATATTGCGCAGGTTTACTTTAATTATTTATAACCAGAATGTGAAACACATGCGCTCAATGTAATTTATGGGAATGAACATACATATCCAGCGATCTTTTATTTAGTATACTCCGCTATATTATTAATTCCTTTTGTTATTCATATATTTTTGAACACCATGTATATGACCATGAAGCGAGAAGTGTGTTGTAGATTAACATCGTACTAGTTGTGAATAGTCTTCTGAAATTAGCCGAGATGCGCGGAAGTGTTACAGTTCTCTCACGGAACGAAGAATATACCTTTTCTATTTTTATATTTTTAGGTGTGTATATATAGATGTACATATATGCGTGGTGCGCTATATTGCATTGGGCGTAGTAATAAAAGCAGTAAGCCACCGTCGAGGACTAGCGTCCTCAAGCGACTATCTCGACGAACATTATACGTTCAATGGTTAATCAAATTCCTGTCCCTCAAGCAAAATATGAACTGTTAACTGACGTTAGACAGTGAGTTGCATTATTTTACTTTGTTAGTAATTACAACTGCACTAATTACATGATTGTCAAATATGTTTTCATGTATTACTGCGTCTTCATTTATCTTTTATAATATGTATTATGTATTTGAAACTTTATTTTTAATTATTTATAGTTATTGTTAAAGTTTTAATATTAAATAACATTTTCTTTTATTTTGCATATATAGCAGAGTATTTTGATAAGCACACCCATGTTTGGTTTTTAATAATTATTGCCAGTATTGATACTGATAATATTTTTAAATTATCTGCAACATTTTTAATAAACATTATATGAATAACACAGATGGAAAAAAGCTGATAAGTTTCTTATCTGTGATAATTAACAGTACTTTTATTTTGTTTATATAGTTGTATAAAGTTTCCAAAATGCCATAAATTATTTTCCATTGTATCCTCTTTTTTATTTATCTTACAATTTATTTAAATATATGATACAAAGTTATTAATTCTTTTATCATTTATTTAAATTATCATTTAGTTTCTAACTTTGGTATTCATGCTTTCTATTTTAAACATAACATTATTATTATCATCCTATTTTCATAGAAAAATTAGTGTTTGCATGTAAAATAATTGGAAAACAGTAGTGTTGCTAAAAAATATTTATAGTATTTTTAGATATTTTATATATTGACTCTTGTCACTGTCATAGTTTTATTTTTATTTTATATGTATATATATATATATATATATCTATTAAAGTTCTTTTTTTAACGTTTACATTTATACCTATTGCTGTGCATGTTAAAATGTATGGGTAAGTATATATGTGTATGTCAAAACTTACAGGTGTGGTTATTGATTGTTCTATATTTACTATGATATAGGCAGCCTTCATGATTTAATGTAGACATAAATGTAAGTGTAGTATGCTATAATTCAATCATCCATGTATAGTTATAAAGTTTGTATTCATCTTTGTATTTGATGAAATTTGTGGAGACTGCATTAATTATTGTATTAATAGCTAAATATTTATTTTAGACCTCGTTGGAAATCACAAGTTTTGTGCTTGCTACTAGTGTCTCTAGTATTTGCAATTCTATTTGTAACACGTGCTTGGATAGGAATTGTTATCCTTCGCTCTCCAAGAGCTGAATCTTTTGATACAGAGACATTAGTAGACAATGCCAAGATTGCTACGTGGTTACGTCGGGCTCGGATGTACGCCGAGTCGACGAAGGAGAACCAGAATGCGGACAGGAACAACAGTATCAGTTCGCCACAGCATTACAACACCAACTCCTCAAGGTAAGCAAAGTACTAATGATTTGTTATTTATGGAAAATAGTGCTATAAAAGTAATTCACCTATATTAAACGTTTTTTCTTACATAGGCAGATCATTGTCTGTTATTACACCATACAGAGCAACCTGAACACGTTCTGGGAGCTCAGTCCGTCGCACATTGACCCTAATCTTTGTACGCATATTATCGTGGGTTTTGCGAGCGTGGTGAACTGTAGTCTATATTTGGATGGCAATTCATCAATTTACAAGGACATTGTTGCCTTGAAAAAGCTGCAACCTGAATTAAGGGTCATGATCAGTGCTGGCGGCAGTAATGAGCTCCACTTAGGTTTTTCAGAAATGGTAAAGAATCATGCTAATAGAAAAAGGTAACTTTTGTTATTTTATATCTTGTGTAACATTTTAGTTATTAATTTTTATTTACAGTGATTTATAATAACTAATTTTCTGTTATAGGTTTATAAGATCAGTGTTAAATATAACAAAAACATTTGGTTTTGATGGATTGGACTTAGATTGGGAATTTCCAGCATGGCTCGGAGCCGACGATCGAGAAAAAATTCGTTTTACACAACTATTAGAAGAATTACGAATAGAATTTCGCCGAGCTGGAGAAACACTAATTCTTTCTGTCGCAGTAGCTGCTCCACAAGCTATTGTTGATCAGAGCTATGATGTTGCAGAAATGGCAAAGTAAGCAATAATATATGTGAAATATCTTTTGTAAGCATTGGTATAGTATGGTAATTGTTAATAATCAATCATTTTCAATTCTTTTATTTAGATACGTAGATTTTGTGAATTTGATGTCATATGATTATCATTTCTATGTTTGGTATTACCCAATAACTGATCTTAATGCACCACTTTTCCCACGACTTGCCGAATCTGGATATCTTTCTACTTTGAATGTTAACTTTTCGGCCCAATATTGGATCTCAAAAGGAATGCCAAGGGAAAAGTTAATTATTGGTATTCCCACTTATGGCCATTCTTATAGACTAGATAATCCACTAAATCATGGTTTACAAGCTCCAGCAATTGGTTTTGGAAAATTAGGTGAAATGGGTTTTGTTGCTTATTATACAGTTTGTCAGTTTCTTCAAAATGGCGCAAAGAGTGTTTTTGAAGATGAAAGCAAAGTTCCCTATGCTTATAAAGATAGAGAATGGATATCATATGACGATATCACAAGTGTTTATTATAAGGTATGTATGTATATATATATATATATTTTTCTTTTGTGTAAATTGGACTTTATACTGCATCATTCAATATTTTATTTTTAGACAGAATGGATTCGTACCAATAATTTTGGAGGAGCAATGATACTATCCTTAAATGTTGATGACTGGAATAACACGTGTAAATTTAATGAAACATTTCCTTTAACTCGTACTGTTACTAGAGTTCTCAGGTATCGGGAAGATTGATTAATATACTAGTCGATCTCTCTTTAATTATAATTTACATTCCAAGTTTCTAAGCATTGCATTCTATAACAAAATGTACCTCAGTTATAGCATTACTTGTATTTGTAAATGCATTTAAAGCTTTTTGCAACATAAAATGCTTTAGATTATCTAAAATCTATTGCAAAAATTCATTTTAAATGATAAACGTGATAAATTAATTTTAGTATCAATATTTTTAACAGAGTTAGTTAAATACAACTCTATCAAAACACTACTTGAAGATAATCAAAAAAACTTTTTAAAGATATATATTATAATTAATATCATATAAACACTATATATTACAGACCTCCTGTCTTAATATCTGTTAAATAGTTATAGTACAAAAGGAAAGCATAGTAATATATAAGAATTAAACGAAAATAAAATTTATAATATTTGTTTAAAAATTTTGTAAGCTGAAGTAACCAAAGTATTTATTTCATATAAAACTATAATTTCAAAAACAGTTTAAGTTGAACACAATTTTCATAATTACAATTTTTCAAGCTGTTATCAATGTAATAAATGAAAACATTAACTTTTGCTGTATTATGACAAATTAGAAAAAATTGTATATAGACGAATTTATTATATTTAATTTAGAAAAAATTAATCTACTTAAATGAAGATAAGAATTATTATATTCATTTAATTATGTTCAATTATAACCAATTATTGCAATAAAACTAAGAAAAATGAACTATTATAATAATAAAAATTAATTTATTATGATACAGGTAAAGTTCAATATAATACACCCTATATATGTAGATATAATAGAGTAAATTTATTAACAAGTAAGATTTATTAGTAAATAAAAAAGGAAACAATATTCTTAATATATTATAAGAAAATAAACGTTGTTCTTAGTTTTACTGCGGTAAAAGTAAAAAAAATATGTTATGAAATAGTTTAAGTGTGAAAATTTCGTCCATATTTGAACTAAATTTTTAATCAAGTATTTTATTTTTTTCACTTTACTATGTATACCTTTTGTGAACGATTCCATGTAATAAAAAGATTAATAAAACACCATTGAATTCCTTATAAACGTCTCAATGGTTATTTTTTATACTTTTACAACAACGACTTCCAAAATGAAATACATGGTTTTCATTATATATTACTTGAACATTATATATATTATAAAAACAAGAAAAATAAATGATGTGCACAATGCAAATATAAAACTATAATTGCTTATATATATTTCCATTTAGGAAACGAATATTGAATGCATGAGCATGAAATTCGTTTCAAAGAGTAATTATCACAATGGACAAGTTACTCCACTCGGTGATTCGGCTGTTCAATATTACTTGCGTTGTGATGGTCGTTGTTGGAATCTCCATATTTGCACTGCATTTTGTAATAAACTTTTATCAACATAATTTGCACTAATTGCAATCATTTTATACGTTAAACATAACAAACATGGTTAAATTTTCTGATGTTTAAAAAAACTACTGATTTCTTGGAAGTGCTGACAGAATTTAATCGATTAAATATCAATAAAATCTTTCAGTCATAGAGAAACATATTACCAACACTTCATAATAAGATCGTTTTACATCTCATAGATGTACGGCACTCTAATAGCACATATATACCTATACACAGTATTTAAGATAGCAACCTCAAACCAAGATCTCATAATAATAAAACAGGGAATTCAATTGTAGAGAGAATAAATGATATAAAATTTGCAAAAAATGTTAATAACCATCTGCATGTATTTAGGCGACTAGAAAAGAGGATAGGAAATAAGAATATGGGATGAAAAGGTCGCTACATGAAATCATCATATTCATCGTAAACATAGTCGCCATATTCGCTCAAAAGAGTGTTGTCACCCTCAATTTTGAGTTTTGCTTTTCCCTTGCCCTTGTTCTTTTTCGCCTTCTCTCCTTTCTCGATCTTCTGCTTTTCAATTAACAAATTATCAACCACTGTCTTTATTTTCTTCAGATGCGTTGAGGGTACTGTAAACGAAATATAAATATGATTTGTAAGCAATATATAACACTGTAAATATGTTCTTTTTAAATTTTTAATGACTCTCTAAATACTGATAAATGTAGTCACATGGTTTTCATAGTATAATTTCTTAATTTTTGCTATTATATTAATATACTTACAATTAAGAGCAATGCATTTGATAAGTTCTTCTGCAAATTGAGGAAATTCAGCGTTTTTAGCAAATTGGTTTAACTTCATCGTAAGTACACTTCCATACTGTTCAAATTCTTCTTTTGTGTTAGGCACTGTAGTATCCAGGCTCAACACAGACTCTTCTGTGACACCTAAAATAAAAAAAATAATTCAAAACTGTTGATAAATGTACTTTGTTGGAAATGTATTAGAGATTTTACAGCTTGATTATACAATTATGCAAAAATCCTTAATAAAAAAATCTTATCATAAAGAAATAATTATTGATATTTAATAACTGTTGATTATTAAAGTAATACTTCAAACAATATTTGTTATTTTTCTCTTACATAAGTTTAGGTTTATATACGATTACACCTTAAATTTGCAGTTTTTTCACTTCATATGGAAAATTTTATTTCTGCTTTGTACTTCATAATATCTAGTGTTGTAATGAACAAATAACTTAAAAGTCTAATTAATTAATTCTTCATACTTATATATGTACATAACAGAAATATTAATAGTACACAAAAGTAAAATTATATACTAAATAAAATATGAATTTTCAAAATGAAAATTAAATATTTATCAGGAACGATACAGGAGATCAATGTTGATAAATAAGACACTTCTGCATTGTTTTTTCATGAAAGAGAAATGTTTATTTTTTACACAATGACAATTTTATATTTCCCTCAAAGATAATATTAGCTCGTTTAAATACATTTTTACATCTCTAGTACAGTTCCTGACACAAAATCAAGTTTTTTTAATTGCACTGTGAATTAAAAATATCAGAATAGTAGTAAATATACGACTTTAATGTAGTATTGTAAAAATTGTATGTTTTCAATCTGTATAGCAATAGCATTTAAAATTTAAGTAAAAGTGTTTGAATGTATAAAAGTTATTTTAAAATTTGTAGAATTGCTATAAGTATATAAATTTATATAAAAAAATATTGTATGTTGTCCTCTTAAAAAGAAGAAGAAGATGCTTATGAATTTAATGTTGATTGTAGAAAGCTATTTCCTTAATTGGAATGCATTTAAAAATTACAAACACAATCGTTCCAATGTTTACACCAATAATACTCAATGCTTATGATTAGATTCTATATTAATTTAAGAAAAACAATGCTTCGAAAAAATTATTAAGCCATTAAAAATTTGTTTTACAGCATAAATAAAAATCAACCCTTTGCAATCCAATCATTAGTTTTTATATGAATAGAACTTTCAGATCCATATTTTCTTAAATCATAAAGATATAAAAAATCAAAATAGCTTTAAAAATATAAAATCTTTCGTAAATTTCAAATTAAAAATATTTTAAAGCTTTAAAAAATCGAAAGCTTCAATAATTTCTCATAATCAAAATTTAAATAAAATGTTAATTAAATAAATATTTAAGATTAAAAAATAAAAGCTTCAATACAAAAAACATCTGAAACTGAATAAAATCGGAATAAATTAATAATCATTTTGTACTTTAATTTATAATCCAGCCATTCAGTTTTTTTTATTATAATTTAGCAACGTGCCAATCTTATGTAAAGTCATGACAATCATTATCTTTGCAAACTTAAAAAAGAACTTTGAAAATTAATAATTTATAAATTAATACATACTGTATAATATATCATAAGTAAAATACTAATTTCAATACTTTCAAAGGTAGTATTTTCTTGATTTAGTCAAACGTTAACTAAAATTAGTACATAATTTCATGGTATTAAAACGTGATATTATTGAATAAAAATAGGAGCGCAAAGAGTTAATAAATAAAAATATTTAGCGGAGTCATTTCCTCTCGGTTCTGTGCGGCCTGCGATGAGAAAAATCAACAAGGTTGGACAAACCAAAAGTCTCCATAGCAAGACGTAGGTCAGCTTCCTCTTGAAGCCTTTGACGTCTCAGTTGTTCTGCTCTCCTTTCCTCTGGTGTCAATGCCTCTTCCTTTTCTTTAGCTTTCTTTTCTGCTTCTGCCCTTGCCTTTTTCTGAATTTAAGAAAGAAGAGATAGAAAATGTATTATATTGAATTCATTAATAAATTTTATAATTAAATACTAAATAAATAATATATTTTTTAATTAAACACTAAAATTTAAAACGACAAAATGGATAAAATAAGTGTTAAATTTATGTACATAAAACAAACAAATAACAAAATAACTTATTTAAATGCCATATTGTTAAACTACTGACATTAATCTGATTACATGAAAATTTAATCAACGATTAAAAAATATACCTCACGTTCTTCAATTCTTTCTGCCAAGGCTTTTCTTGGCTTTGGCTTAGCTTTAGGCACCTCTGCAGGTTTTTCTACATCTTTCTTTTCTTCTTCGACATCTTCCCAACTGTCCTATTAAGTGAATTTCTTTTTTTAAAATACTGAATATAAATAATTTTGAATTTATTAATTACATATAAATTCAGTACTTGCTTTTTTAAACTAACTATAATTCAAAGAATATTTTATTGTTAATACATTTTATTCCTATCATTACTTTGTTATATAATCCATAATTAATAAGTCTGCTCCTTCAAAAAGTAGAACATATTGTATTAATTAAACATAATATATATCTAATTTAAACCTACAACACATGTAATAATTAAAATTTTAATACACAAAATATAATCCAGAAACAAAAAATCTACTAGTACAAAGCTTCGATTTTCACTCAAAATATTTCATTTTAAAAGTACTACTATATTTTCATTTAATTGAAGTTAATGACTACAGCAATTTAATAAATTTAATCATAAATTAGATTTAAATCGTCTTTTATGTATAACTGTATAATAAAAAAAAAATTATTTAAATATATACATGAATTTTTAACTAAATTTAATTTTATTTGATGCAACTCAAATTTTATTTTTGACTCGATTCAGATATAAAGACAAACTTCAAGTTCATTCAACAATAATTAATTATAGTAGTATTAGTCTCGTGTTGACTTGCACTATGAAAGGTTAACCATACTGTAATCCATGGATTTGATATATAAGATTTAAAAAATAATAATTTTAAATAAAAACAGAAAATAAATAAAATAGAACCTTAACATCTTCGTCCTCATCTTCACCCTCCCACTTGTTGGATCTGATAGCTAGGTCGAATTTCGCCTCTGCGTTTTCGACATCTGTAAAGTTGAAGGTTAAAATCATTTTGTTACCTCGAACTGAAGTGTGACGATACTGTAACCAAGATGTTTGTAAATTTATTTCTGCATACCCCATTCGTCATCCATGATGTATTCTGGATTATTTGCGTACGATTTGGTTTTTGAACGAAAGAAAACCTCTACGAATTAACGTGGTCGAACAGATCACGACTGGAATCGAGCGGGCCATACTGCGCGAGAAAAGCGTGTGTCTTCTTTGCAAGATAGTGGTGGTGTAACTCAAATTGTATGATTCAAAGATAGGACACTCTATATGTAAAACAGGTATTAAAGATAATAGTTATTTTTTTTTAGCTTTGAAAACTTCATCCTTTTATGCTCACTTATTATAAAATATATTATTTTCAGAGTATTAAAAAGGAAATTTGTCTTGTTTATCTGAAAATTTTTAGAGATTAAAAAATAACAAATAATTTTGGTATATTCTTTATTTACTTTGTTAAACAACTATACCGCGGTTCCTTTATGTAGGTTTTCGAAGACAACGTTGCTTTCAAATGAGGGAGCATATCGCAATTTCGTTGCGTCAAACGAAACAAATAAATATTTTAAGATCAGAAATAATTTTTCCAATAGATTATTAGATCATGATAGATAAAAAAGTTATTGTATAATACATCTTTCTGTTTATCGTTATCACCCCGAGTAGAACGTCGATTAGTTTTTCCTAACAACTTCAATTTTGTAACAATGTATTAGAAACATGCGGGTAAATTTCTCGTGGAAAGTAAATTTAAATACATTTGCACACAAAATTGCGCCATTTTATTTAAATATGTCGTTAGAAACGACATTTTGCTTGATACAATTATAAAAATTGAATAATCTCGTATACTCTATTTACATAAATATGTAATATACACAATATTGAAAAGTTATCGACGATATCGATAACGTTTGAAATGGAACCATAATTGAAAAATGTTGTTGTGAAATTGACACCTAAATCCACGTTTATAGGAATACTCCCACTCTCTGTTGACAATTTTAAACGCAATATCTTCGTAGGGTGGGCCAGCGTGAAATCGTAAAATTGCAAAATCTTTGTTATCGGCACAAGGTGTCTAAAAAAAATTATATTTTAATTAATTTTAAAATATAAATTATTGCCAATAACAGCTAATTAAAATATATCTTACCAAAAAGTATTCAGGAGTTGTGTTCTTATCTATCAAGTCTGGATAAAATATGTTGAATTTGTAACCCTGCACAATTTTCGGGGGTGGATTATCCATGTCGTAATGCGTTTGATTATATTTATTCCATTCGAAACCGGTGTGAACCCGATTGAAGTATCTTGGTTTCCTTGGTCTGTATTTATCAGACCACAAATAAATTTGCGCTTCCAAAGATGATTCAACGCTGAACTGTGCTTCATCAGAACTCATATTCTTTCGCGCTTCTCTGTGCATTGCTTGTTCTTCCGCAGTCATTACATTCTGAATTTTTCGACCAGTACTAAGCACTTGATTTCTTGCATACTCTAATCGTTTATTGTCATCTTCCTCTAAAGTAACCAAAGTTCCTGGCTCCAACTGAGAGTAAGGTATATATTTTGGAGAATAGCCTCCTGATTCGTATTCGCAGAAAGACTCTGATAAGAGGTCGTCGGCTGCATTACTAGTTTCTTGATCATCGCTAAAATGGAACAAAGCATAAGTATATGAGTTTCTACTCTGTGTGTACACATACATATAAGAAAACAAATACATACTCTGACTGGCTATCTTCACTTTTCTCTATAACGGTATTGGTAGGTGGTTCTTCTTGTTTTCCTGGTTGTTCAGCATTTGCTTGTGAACTCTCAGGTTCATTTTCAGTTCTCGCCACTCCTTGTTCAGCGATTAAAACTTCCAATTTTTTACGTAAATTTTCTTGATGTCGATCTCTCAACCGTGCCCTCGCCATGTGCGCTGAACAAAATAAACGGCTAGTACAAAGATCCACGTTAAATTGCATAATTCAAAATTATGTAACTAATATTTAATGCTTACCTTTCAATTGAGATAAAAGACTTTCCCAATATCCTATATCAACACCTTCAGGTTTTCCTGTGATCTTTGCTTCAATTTGTAATTGTAAAGCTTCTAACTGTGTTGCTGTTTTTCCTTTGAAAATAGCAGTCACATCTTTAGCTACTGATTCATGGATGCCTTCTCTTCGGCCAACGGCTGAAAATATATGTCTATTAATATTCTTCAGGAGAAATTTTTGATAAGATTGTTTCATTGTACTACTTACCAACTTCATATTCTGATCTTTCTAATTTTCGTAATTTGTGTAATTCATCTTCAACAATCACTGTAATATCGTTCCAATAATCCAAGTTTTTACCACGTTCTAGTTCTTTATAAACTTTGATATCTTCAATAAGATCTTCCAAATCCTTTACGTGTAGTCCACGTAAGTAAGTATAGGGTTCATGCATTTCAACAGCATCAACTTCTTCCTCTGCACTAATATATTTTGCAAGAAGATCAATTGGTTTTGCTCTACCATCTTGTATTCTAATACGTGACCTTAATCTTGCTTGTTCTAAATGAAATTGATCTTCCTGTCTTGCCCATTGTTCCAACTGAGCAGCTTCTTTTCCTCTTTGTAACATTGTCATTTCTTCTTCTCTTTGTTGTCTTTCTAATTCTCTTTCTTGTCTCCTTTTTTTAACTTTCTCTAATTCTCTTTTATTCTCTTCCTGTTTATATCTGTTTCTAATTTCTAGTTCTTCTCTACTTACACCAAGTAAACCTTCTTTCTCAAGTTTCTTGGACCATACAAACGTTGAAAGCAAATTTCCATCACCAAATGGATTATCTGTATTTGTGTAATGTAAATAATCATTATCCCAACCCATTCTTTCTTTCCTCTTGCGTTCTTTAGCTTCCTTTTTCCTTAAACGCCGTAATCTTTTCTCTTCCGGTGTTTCTGTAGCTTTCATCAATTCTTTCTGACGCTTTCTTTCTTCAATTTGTTTTTGACGTTGTTTCTGCAACTTTTCCAAAAGTTTTGTAGAATCTGACGAAGAATTAGATGTGGATGAACTGCTAGAATCACTCGAATTTGATGAAGACGATGATGACCTATAATAATAAAAAATTTTAAAATAAAAAGGAAGTGTTCAATTATAATCTTAAAAGAAATGAATATTGTCTTACCTTCTTCTACTTTTATGTTTTGAAGACTTCTTACGAGATTCACGTGACTCTGAAGAGTCTCTGTGTCTAGACTTTTTATACTTTTGACTGGAACTTTTAGAGCGTTTATGTTTTGACTTTGATCTTTTCGAATGACTATCATAGTCACTGTCACTATCTTTTCGTGAAATTTTATCCTTATACGTATAGCGATCTCTATCATCTTGTTTTGATTTACTGTAATCTTTTCTATGAGAATATTTATCCATTTTAACCACAATTATATTCCTTATAATCTTGTGCAGAAAACGTACAGTAGTGTGACCAGATAACCTCTCAAAACATCAATGTAGCAATATCAGACGTCAATGTTCAATTTCGCACAGCTGATTTCAGTTTACTGTACATTGTTGCAGAAGAGAACTGTATTAATTCTGCGCATCTTGATTATATTCAGAAAATACATTAGTATCAGTTTAAAGCTCATCTAATATTTGTTTCTCACTCTATGGTCATGTACACAGTGACCAAAAACATGCGAATAAAAGAAAGAAAGAGAGGTAATAAATGAAAGTTTGTGTTAATCTATGCATGTAATCTCTCATAATTGGCAATACAAAATATGCATGATAAAAATCAATGAAATTTTGACGAAGGAAATAATAACATAACAGAGCATACTAAATAAAAGATTACTAGGTATATGCACTCTAGAATGTGAATACAGCTAGAGTGCATGTGCATTATTCATGCTTCAGAACTACGTTAGAACCAATCGGAGTAGACCTGCGCAGCGTGAACGTAAATCCATCGCTCGACATTACGGTTCTTTTGTGACATAAAGAATACTTTCATATTTCTGTGTATTGTAATATAACAATAAAATGCAATAAATGTCGCTCATAATAAAGATTCATTAAAATTATTCTGATGCATCTTCGATTTTGCACAAAAGATTATTTTAATTGACTGTCAACGACTAAGGAGTACTTTTTGTTCATTCTTCTTGACGCTACATCCGTTAAACTTTTAAATTACAGAGCATACGCTGTCGGAAGCTTTTCGAAAATTCACGCGTGATTTTCGGTGTTTTGTTAACTGGCTATACAAGTTATCGTTTAAAGGTTCTGATTATTTTAAGTGAGCGAAGATGTCGGATAAAATCTATTATTCGGGTAAATATTACGACGATAAATACGAATACAGGTTGGTATGAATAACGACAAAACCTAATGTTCTCTTTAGATTTTGATTTTGGTCAATTGTGCCATTTTGAATCGATTTAGTAGACGTTAAGAAATAACTTCCTGAATGTTCATTCGCGTTGATATTTATAACAATAGTCGTAATGGAATCTCTTTGCATAGAAAAATGTATTTCAACAAATGTTATTTGACTACGTCGCAATTTCTTTGTCCAATTTTTGAATATGAAAGTAACATTTAAATGGCAGTCTGGCATGTTCTTTTGTTCGTTCTGTTTGCCTATAATTTTTGATTAACATAAGGATTTCTTTTACGCATTAAAATAAGTAGAGAAGCAAATTGTAAAACGAAATTTTATATCCTAAAAAAAAATGGGTTAAGGGGGCAGTAACTATTGAATAATGTTACAAAGATGCAAAATCTTACAAATTTGTTTATTATATTGTTTTTTACATAGAATACTACATTTAGATTTCATAAAACAAATCAGTACACTAATAGCACATATAATTTTATAATAGCAAGAATCTTTTATCATGTTCAATTACTAATAATAATATATTGGTTGTTCTTAGGCATGTAGTGCTACCAAAAGAGATGGTAAAATTAGTACCGAGCACTCGACTCCTTCGAGAACAGGAATGGAGAGCTATGGGTGTTCAACAGAGTCAAGGATGGGTACATTATATGATTCATAAACCAGGTATATTAACATACTAGAATTTTAATGAATAAGTTTGTTTATGCTTTTTAACTCTTCCACATTTATGCGTATATGCTTCAAACAAGTGTCAAAGAATATTGAATGAAAGATATCTTATTCAAAGCTACAAAGGAATTAAATATGTTTAAAAACTTCCTTGAAACAAGAAAAGATAATAATTTTAGTTAAAATTATTTATGTTTCAGAACCACATATTTTATTATTTAAAAGAAAAATAACATCACCACCACCAGAGAATTAATCGTATCAACATGATTATATAGATTTGTAAATAACGCTTCAGATCATTGTTAATACTCATACCAAACCTCAGCTATAATGACAATTCATTTTCCATTGGTTTCAAGGGACTAATGTTAAATATCATACTGAAACAAATCTTTTCAAATTTTTACTTCAAAATTGACTGATTCCAGAAGTTGTGACAATATTTTTATAAAATTCTTTGTCATAATACGAGGATAATATTTCTGTTTTCATTATTTACTTTAACAAAATCGTTTATAAATATCATCAAAATGTTCTGTATATATGTCTATAGGATGTCCTAGTTTTTAACTGCAGTTTATATTGTTCATAACTCTAGAATTACCATAACAACTTGGTATTTCGTTTAATTTAACCGAAGTAGAAATGTGCCACTCTTGATTTTCTGAAATATCACAGTTCCAAAGCAGAATCGCCTTCTGTTAAGAATTTACTGAATAAGGAAAATCGTTTATAATTTGTGATTATCGAGTGCCTTGCACTAATGTGCTTAACATTTAAGGTATACTTTAGTATTACATTTAGAATAATCATTCCTTATGTATAACAAGAATGATGTAGTATAAAATAGTGCCTTTAAATTCTAAGTTCATCAACAGCATATATATTAATTTGATACGTCATTATCATTAATTAAGCGTTAAATTCCGTGTTTATTGTCTACTTTGCTACAAGAATTTTATATTAATGATATGTTTAATTTAAGTTCTACTCCCTCATTGTATGTTCTGCAATGCTATTTTATCAGTATTTTCCAAAGTTAATTTCTATGTCCTAGTAGTACACAATTTTCATTTATTTTTAGTAAATAAAACTTGTATTGTCAGTTCTTAAATAAACATACGTGGCTAACACTTTTGACTTTTATTTTATTTTTCTTATAGAATATTTTGTACATCATATATAACTGATTGAAACAAACCTGAATGTAAATGAAGCTTCTACGACTTTAGTAACATCGGTGTATTTCTCTTTCGCGTGACGAAAAAATTGTGAAACAAATTTAGCCGAATATGCGAGAAAGAAGGGGCAGAATAATTAAAAGAATCACGTGACTGACCTCAATCCAATTATACAAACATCAGCCCTAGCGGTCAAGTAATTCTCACACTAATTTTTGTAAATTGTACATTAATTAAATCATCGTTTATGAACTGACGTATGGTGCGTGTACATTTCGTTTCACTTTTATTACATAATTTCGTTACCGTTTGTATCTTGTAACAAGGAAACAAGTTCCGTTAAGAATTTTAATTAACCTCAATTGATAAAACAAATTTCGTTAAAATTATACAAAAATTTACATATGTAAGAATTACAGAATATTATCTGTGAGTTGAATAAAAATGCGCATGTTTTATATAATAAATCTATTTGAAGCACTGGATAACTAAATGGTTCATTAGTAACACAACATAATCTTATCATTGATAATTTTCTCCGAAAATAATTATTTCGCAATAGTTTTAATGTATCGTATTCAGCTTCAGCAGAATATACAGACAAAGAAGGCGATAGCCCAGGGCATAGTAGTAAAATAGTACACGGATTAGAGGACCTATAAATGCATAAATTCTTACAGAAAAACGACAGAAACAACTGTATACAGTGGATGCTGTGTTCTTACAGTCCAAAAGTATAAATGTTAATTAAATGTGACTCGTATACCATTGGTCATAGCTGTCTTAAAAAACAGAATATAATTTTTTTGAATATCTTGTGTTTCCTATATTTATAGAAGTGTCACTTAAGAAATTATGAATGAGGATAAAAAAATAGTTCTTTGTTCCATCGTATACTGGTTGTTTATACGGTACTGAAGCCATTCATTCAAGTTTTCTCGAATACATGTTGATCTCCGTACGCGCGGTTTCGTAAACCGCGTGTATGTAATGCGCGCGCAAGCACGTGTCATTATAAGATCTATGGCTACATGTGCTAAAGGTACATCAGCAAAACGCCGAGGAGGGAGAACGTGTATCGAGAGTTTGGCGAAAGGGAACAAAAAAACACGATGGGGGCACAGAAAGAAATAGAATACTGGCGAAAAAGGTGGCGGAGAGGGAGGGATATAGTTGATCTCTGACGTACACATATTGCATCCACGCGACGAAGGGCCTACGTTCTCATGGATTAACCGGCACTCCACGAGTACGCAGCGCGCCGGCAGTACGACGATTGCGCTCGCGGGAAGAACGACTTTTCGCGCTCTCTAAATCGAAACGTGTTCAGCATCCAAATTTAAAAATTAGCACGCAAGCAACGTGATTCGGTTAAAGTGGAATCGAATCATTGTTGCGTGTAAAGCTTCTTCCAACAACGATCTATCGTAACTATATCCAAACTTGCGGGTAAGTTGACTCTTTCACTTTTCATCTTTGACAAACGACCAGGAATCATATTTGGTTTTCGTAAATATTCAAACAACAATTTTCGGGATCTGAAATGTAGACGCTAATAAACTGCAGTAATGTTATTTGAACCAATCGATTGTAACAACATTTAAATAAATTTTACTTGTTGGTACGGAGCCAGCTTCTTTTTATTCGTGTTGAATTATAAATTGTTCTCTTTGTTCCATTGATAGCTCTGACGAGATTTATTATTGCATGTTGATAGACTTTTTTTGCTGTCTATCATGCTGATGCTGAGGAGGGCTGAACGCTTTAATGTACCTCGTATTACCACGTGCTTTCAAGTTGTCTTCACGAAATTACGACTGATGCGTTTTTCTGAGAATCTCCGCCAAAGAAAACTTTTAAGCATCGAGTCGCATTAATGTTCTTGACATGCTTAATGTTATTGACTACCATATTTTGGTTGATGTAGTTGATGTCATTCTCTAGATTGGTCTATCTTTTTTTATACAGACATTTCATAATTTCATCTATAGATGTATGTGTCGGCTCTAAACGTTGCACAATAGTTCATTGTTACCGAACAAACAATCGTTAGAATTCATTTGAAATTTTTGAAACACCGCGCGAGCCTTATCGAGTAGCCACTTTTCCTTCGAACAGGAATGGCACATGTTAACTCTCGTTTGGCGATTTCGTTTGTGTACGCCAAGAGGTACTTGTAAAGCGAACTTTCCCAGTGTTGATACGATATCGCTTTCGACATCTCACCTTACATTTCTCTGTTCCTTTTGCTTTCCATTTTTGGCGCGTGAAAATCTGCGACAGAACAACAGAATTAGTACATAGGTATTTCTGCGGGAGGCAATTTTGTTGGTGGATGAAACGCAAAGGCAGATTTCCAGGACAGTACGAACCGGTTAATACCAGTTCCTGCAAGATATACGTGCATGTGTAAACACAGTGCAGTAAGAAAAATCCTCCCGTAAATAAATATTTTTATTCAGTACTTAATTATTTGTTAACTGAATGAGTTATATACCTTGTATACGTGTTTCTCGCCCTTTAATTACTTTTAATACACCGTAATGAAATTGTTGCAGTTTTCATGATTCGAAACCGGATGTTGTCTGAATTAGGGAATGAATACGAACCTAACACCACGTACTTTCATGACTAATTGAAACTGTCAGAACCGGGCGTATGCTTAACGAGAGACGCTACGAGCGATGCACAAAACCTGCAATTACCATTTATAAATATTTCATATGATTTATGTTATATAACAGATTGATATTACGCATTGTTGTGCGATTAATTAGTATGCAGGATCAATGAGTCTCGCAGACTCAGCTTACAGAATGTTTTTCCTTCTCGATTTTGCAATAATGTAGATAAATACACGCTTTGTATTTACATTCCGACGAGAAAACATCTTACGAGGCTTACGATCAAGGCTGCCTTATGTCTCGAATATTTATATAATTTACATTATTTCCTTTTTTTAATCATCTCGTATAAGTGATGTGACTTGCAACAAACGATCTGTAGATCTCGATCTGTTTAAATTAGATGTACGAATCATTTATTGTATACAGAAAATATGTCGAAAAAAATGATATGCAAATACATGAGTCTTGATGCTACAATTAGCGACAGATAAGGATTGCGATACTTTCGGGAGTCACTGACCGCCATCAATCAGAAATATTTCTTAATATAACCATCTATTTACCTGCGTCAATTATTCCAAAATTTCCACAGATATTCAACTCATTGTAATTCCTTTCACGATATTCGCAACTTATTCACACTTTCACTCCCACACGCCAACCTTATCACAGTCTTCCACACATCTGCAAATATTTATTCTTATAGCGATGAAAGCGATGCAAGCATCGGCAGCACGACATAAAAAGATAATACATAATTGGGGTAGCCTGTCCACATTTGCGTAATTTATAATATACAGGGCTGGCAACAGGCGGGTTCCATTCCTGGAATTTGACCCCGCGGTCAACGGAAAGTTCATCGTAACTTTTATGAAGATCTGTGCATATGCCAATATGGGCCATAATCTTCAGAAATTCATTTGAACACTTGAAAATTTTCTTCCATTGCACCAGAATGTAAATTACAAAATTTACAAGTACATCATTCCCGTTACATCGTCCTCTTGCAAATTTACCACCACGTCTATGACGCGGTATTTGTAGCGCTGCGCACTATAATGCGCAGTGTGTCCAAAAGCACCACTCAGAGTGTCAAAACTTCTTGGTTAGTCAAGTAACTTCAAAAATTTCGCGCGCCTCGTCCTTGGCCATATAACGGGAGTTTACTGGTTCAGCCCTGCGCAGGTTCAGCCCCCAACCTCAGAATGTTCGCGTCGGCCCTGATCGAGTATCTTTCTCGACGCAATGTTGTCATTATTACACACAAGGAAAAGTTTACGCAATCTTTTTCTGCGAATGGTCTTCATTTATCTCAAAATGTACATTAACACAGATTTGGAGACTATCATTGAATCGTACAATGACATCATGTATGTTTTTTTTAGGATAAAATACATCTGCCAAAATGGCCCGACCGAGAAAATTTAAAAATTTCATGTCAGAAAATATGCTGACGATGCTGACAGTATTTGGAGTTGTAGCCGGTGTGATTCTGGGTTTCATTTTGAGGAACGTAAGAGATGAACCATGGTCGAAACGAGAGATTATGTATATTCAATTCCCAGGAGATATTTTTCTAAGAATGTTAAAAGCGCTGATCTTGCCATTAATTGTTGCTAGTATTATTAGCGCGATCGGCGGTTTGGATCTTAGTTTATCTGGTAATTGACTGCTATACGTACGTCCTCTTTAAGGATGCTTTTATTATGTCAATCATAACTGCTGGGTTGCGTGGGCGTGTAAACTTGTTTGCGTGAAGACACTTGGTTTGGTAAATCACGCATTACCAGAATTTTCTGGTGCTCGGTAGAGAAACGCGAACAATTGCTGATAACACATGTTCAACTTTTATCTTTTTAAGCTATTAATTTATAATCAGCAAAGGCACGTCGATTAGAGCTAATCAGAAACAAAACATTTTTTCCTTTACATTGAAATTATATTTTCCTTATTCGATTAATTGAAAAAATAACGTTAATTATTTTCCACATACTATCGTTTTTTTAACACGTATTGCCTATTAAGTAACATTGCAAAAGCAACAAATTTTTGAAATATGTGTCGTTTATAGGAAGGATCGGTATGCGATCCATTTATTACTATTCTGCGACAACGATATCTGCTGTAACTCTGGGTATAATTTTGGTATTAATTATTAAACCTGGAAACTTCAGTTCACAGAGTTTAGTTGCACTTCAAGATGCAAAGACTCCTAGAGACGTTACTACTACGGATACACTATTAGATCTTGTCAGGTATAAAACCTGAAGTAATTAATAAAAGTTACATTTTACTATAAGCAATTTTTATTTTTTTAGAAATGTATTTCCACCAAATCTTGTACAAGCTTGCATTGCTCAGGTATCTATAAGCGATCTTGCTTTATGTTTGATATAATTAATGTATATGTTTAAGGTGTACTCTAATTTCTGGTATTTTGTTATAGTATCGCACTATAATAATAAGGCCTGAAAATGTAACGAACGGTAAAAATTATTTGCATTACATGCCTTTAAATTACTCTAACAATATATATATGTACATAAAGTAATTCGATTTAATGTGTTTTTAGGAAGTAATATATATGATTGGGAAATAACTCATCAGTATGGAGATGGTACAAATACCTTAGGTTTAGTATTCTTTGGAATTGTGTTTGGAATAGCAATCAGTAAAATGGGAGAACCCGGAAAGCCTCTTTTAATTTTCTTCGATACTTTATCTGAAGCAACGATGTTAATTACTAAATGGGTTATATGGTAAAAGACCTATAAAAGATTTATTAAACTAATTTTTAAATTTCTTATATTCGAACTTCTCGTTTATTTGTAGGGTATCTCCAATTGGTGTGCTTTTCCTTGTTACTGCAAAGCTATTAGAAATCAAAGATATCGGTGCTATTGTAGGCCAATTAGGTTTATATTTCGTCACAGTCTTATTAGGTTTGCTCATTCATGGTTGTGGAACACTGTCCATCATCTTTTTCATTTGTACCAGAGAATTGCCATTCAAATTGATAGGAAAAATGGGTCAAGTTTTAGCCACAGCATTTGGTACTTCATCAAGGTAATTGACATGTATATAAAATATGCTGGAAAACATTTCAAATTTGTGAAAATCTATTTTTGTGAATACAGCACAGCTACACTGCCAGTAACAATACAGTGTTTAGATAATATAGGTGTAGATCCTAGAATTACAAGATTTGTGGTTCCTATTGGTGCTACCATCAATATGGATGGTACCGCATTGTATGAAGCTGTGGCCGCAATTTTTATAGCCCAAGTCAGAAGAGTTCCACTGACTCTTGGCAAAGTTATTGGCGTTAGGTAGCTATTGACCCGAATTATTACTCATAAGGAATGATTAAAATAATCAATGTCGTGATAATTGTAAGACTATTCTTTTTGTAGTATAACGGCTACTGCAGCTAGTATAGGAGCTGCTGGTATTCCACAAGCTGGTCTTGTTACAATGGTTATGGTACTGGATACCGTTGGGTTACCTGCTGAAGATGTAACACTTATTATTGCGGTAGATTGGCTGTTGTAAGTATTTTGTTTGTATAGTTGCTACTCGATAGATATGTTTCTAAATGATCAAATTAATTTACAGGGATCGTTTCCGAACAACGATAAATGTTATATGCGATGCACTAGGAGCTTATGTTGTTGAACATATGAGTAAGAAAGATCTCGAATCAAATGTGACTTTACCAGAAGAAACGATTGAATTAGCTAGAGTGAGAAAAACGGAAGCATAATTTATGATCTTCCTATTGTTAAAATTTTGCCATTATTTTTTATAAATACAATTTAATTGTGTTTGTAAAATCATTTGCATATTTTGCAATTAATAATTTGTACTAATGTATATTTATGCTGGATTCAAATTTTATATGGTAATCCATATATAATCAATGTAATTAATTACTAAGCATTGTAATTAGCAGAATACTTATTTAGATACTTAAAAAAAGAAAAAAGATTGAGCACTAATGTACTTCAAAAGAACTAATTTTGACTCATTTAACTTGCATAAATGTATTGAATACATTGTTTCTGTTTTCTTTCTCCAGAAAAATGTTTTATTGCAACTATTCCTTCATGCAAAAATAAAATGCTACATCACTCGTATTAAAACATTCCATAGACTTGTTGAATGTTGAGGTATTGAATACTCTTTTGGCATATGTACCTTACATTTGTACATACAGAATATTTATTATATAAATGTTAGTAATATTAAGAAATAATCGCTTGTAAACATATTTAAAAATGTATTGTTTAAATCTTTTTTATAATTAAACTTTACTTACATTTTAATTTATGAATTTCTTTGAAATCTATTATTTTATTATTTCTTCCGCAAGGTATAAAATATTTTTCCTTTATCACAGAAGTATCGTTCAGTAATAATACACATTTATATTTACACTCCTTAAATACTTTCTTCATCCATTCGTATATTTAAAAGAATTTAACACCTTGATTATCATCAAACAGTATTAATTCTGCCTTTTTATTTGTTTCTAATGTCTTAAGTGCTCTAATTAATACTTCTGTATCAAGCCCATGAAATTCTAATAATAAAAATATACTGAATTAATTAAATCTGATATTTGGTTACTCATGTATATCATTTTTATCAAGATATTTACCTTGATTCACTGTATCTTCTCCTTGAGTTAATTCAAATAAAGTACATACAGATCCAACTAATCCACTTTCTTGTGCCCAATTGTAAATTATTTCACCCCATTCTTCTAGCGTGTGCCAATAAACTAACCATCTTTGCTTTGTTTTATCTAATGGACTTGCATTCCCTGATTTAGACAATTCTTCTAATACTAATAATACAACTTCTGATGGTAATTTTCCTATCAAATATATTAAGGAGCGAATCTCATTTATCATCAATAGAAATCAACAATATCATTTCATTTTTTAAGCATAAAAGGATACGATTGATTGTTGCATTATTAAACAATGGATTGGAATGCACTTCACGTATATCTATAATTGATTGTTTTGTAATACGATAATATTCTAAAATTAAACTCTTCCATGCTGCTAACTGTTTAGCTCTCGTTTCTGTGTGAGGTTGAAGACTGAAAAAAACACAATATAATTTTACCAATTGTTATATACATATTTGATGTCACATTATATATGTAATAATATAATTATATTATTTGTTATTTTATAAAAAGATATGTGTGATTTATAAATAAGAATATGTAAATTAACACAAATTTGTGTATGCATTATAATTTTGAATACTGAATAAATATAACCTATTAATACTTACGTGAAAAAAGGTGGAAAACTATATTGCCATGGCCATTCAATTTCTGCCATAGTTGTTATAATATTTATGAATTTGAGGCTATCAAGTATAGATATAATTAATTACGTTTATCGTAGTATTTGGAAAAATTTCAACAACGACACGCAGATGCGCTTATCAGCGTGACGTCCGTTTCGGCGTAATATGAATTTTACTTTGGAATATCTTCTCCCTTATACTATAGATTAAACATAATCAAAAAGTAATAAAACTTAATGATAATTTAATAATGGTGAAATTTTAAGGAAGTTTTGCATTAATAAGATCTTTTTTTAAAAAACTTAAAACCAATTTATTATTTATTAAATGCCGATTGTTTACATTTATTATAATACGTATAAAATAGATTATAAAATATGACATGATAATAAAATTTTAACTTATAAACCTCATTATAAAACATTCAATAGTTTTATCATCTTAAATTTTCATAAATTAATAAGTATTGATTTTGGTAATATACTCCTTCAGTTTCAAAATCTCTATATGGTCTTAAACTGGAATATGGATTTTGATCACAAAATGCACATTGTATAATTTTATTTAAAACAGTATTCAGTCTATCTTGTTCTCTTTTTACTTCCATTGAAGTGTAAGATGTTAAAATAAATGGGCAGTTTTGTTCAGCTATTATTCGCAGGGATTGTGTCCATGTGTCATTTTGAGATCTAAAATCTTCGCATTCACTTATTCCTGCATTATATCCAATAATAATGTCTGGCTTCATATATGAGTGACTTTGGGTGAAGTTATCATAAAGCATATCATGTGTTTGAATGAAGAATTGTTTGTTGTTGTACTGGCAGTTTTTGCACAGATTTATTGGTATAGAACCTGAAGATAATTCTGGTCCAATTAATACAATTTGTGCCATTTTTATATCTGGTAACCAGTGTAACAGAATTTCCCACAATTCTATACCATTAACATCTAATAGATTGGCTGCTATAACATGAATAACTATATTATTGTTTTCTAGTGAGTATTTTAATTTTTGTAATGAATAAAGAAGAGTCAAGGGCCTTGTGAGATATTCTGCATTAATTGCTATTTCTTCTTCTATTGATAAATGTGAAATTTTATGCGGTTCAATATAATGATGTATGAAATCTTTTATATTTTGTGGTAAATTATTATGATTTGTATGAGGCAGTATTTTCGTTGTAGGTGTTTCACTTTTGTACATCATTGAAGCTACATCTAGTTTAAAACTTAATTTTATGAAGTAACAAATTTTTGTGTGGTCTGTATTATTTCTATGTTTTTTACAAAAACTGGTGTTTGGACAACTAGAACAATCTTCCAGAACTTGTGCATTATGATCATGACATACAGCACATGATCTTATAAATTTAAACATTTCTTGTTCATAGTGTTCTAATTTACGACCAATTGTTATTGTCACTAATAACATGAAATTCATCTTTATTTGAGCCCACATTTCTGCGCTCACATTCTGTTCATTAGTTAAAAAACTTGATATCTTGTTATCTCTTAGAACACTACATATTGCTTTGCATAAATCTTTATGTTGTGACCAATGTTCTTTTTGATGCTCCTTGGAACAATAAGAGATCATTGTACAATTACCACATCTTTTTAAAGAGATCCATTCGCCAAACTTTTTACAAACATGGCATGCATTTGCATAAAAGAAATAATTATATTTATGCATCATTCTTTGTAATAAATTTTGTATAAAAAAGTACAAATATATACAAACAATACATTTATCAAAAAATTGTGTAAACTTTAAAGCGTTATGAAAAGTGTTCTTTTTTCCGTACTGTATGAATATAATTAAACATCATCTTAAATAAAGTTTCTTCTTTGAGCTGCTGTTTAAATTGTTTAATCATTATATTATGTATACGTCAACGTTTACATATTTAATTTTATATATATTCTTCTGAATTATACGTAACACAGTGCACTCGAAACAAATCTAACTTTTCTAGGGAAAATGGTGGCTAAGGGATGCAGTTCCCACTACTCACGATAGTAATCATGCATCCTGTGAATTAAGCATAACATAGGAACTGCTTTCCTTTGACCACCATTTTCCCCAGGAAAATTATATTTGCACTGGAATGTACATATTAATAAATGGATAATGATATATCACTGATTAATTACATATTTTATACGTTTAATTCAATTAAATATAAGTACAACAACAATCAAATCGATGTTATTTTTTCTACTGTAATATGCTATTATCGCCATCTATAGCAAAAAAACATAAATAAACTTTTGGTGCGGTGAAATATTTACCGTTTAATTTTAAATGTTTGATAGTTGGAAAAGTTAATACGAAAATTATCGCAATGAACATTGATTAGACACAATTTGAAAATCAATATATATAAAAGTAGTGTGATATTTATAGTGTCAGGTACAATTTTTTAAAATTAAATCATTTAACATTTCTAACCTTAAACTCATGTTGTCTAATAATAAACATCATAAGTGCTATTTGACAACGTCATTTTTACGTTTATTATAGGAGGAACATTTATAAGTATAAATTGTACAGTGGTATAATAACAATTTTGCGTTTTGAAGTAACAAGCTATTTGAATTCTTATAAATCATATGAATGTGGGGTTATCATTGATTTGTGAAGAAAACCTCGATTATTTTTAACCCTTTATAATTCAGTATTTTTTGTGATTATTCATAATCCTTTCATATTTCTATTTACTAAAATAGAAAATGAAAAACTAAGATACTCTAGGATTATTAAGGATGCCTTGTCATATAACAAACAATTTTTTTATGGGATACACTCTTTTTTGTTGACATAAAAGAATTCTGTAAAATATAAAAAATATATGGGTATGTGGCTTCAGAATTACATCGTATTATAGAGGGTTAAATGATTGACACAGCTTTTATCATGACAATTTATGTATTTGTTAATTGCTAATAGTTTCTAATATGTTTTAGTTTTAGAATTATCTGCTTGCAGATTTTCTGAAAATATGATCACCTTAAGAGGAAAATTGAAAAAGGATAATGACATAGCAAACTCAAAAAGTAAAGATTATAATAATCGTGTTTCTGTTCGAGATAAACTATTGATTAAAGAGGTATAGTCACATAGGGACATGTGAAATTGTTTGTAAACTATTAAATTAATGGCAACTGATTTATTGTAACTATGCTACAATTTTTAAATTGTTTCATTCATTTAGGTTCAAGAAATGGAACATACTTTACCAACTACATGTCAGGTTAAATTTCATGATCCACATTGTCTACATGAATTTATTCTTTTGATTATTCCTGATGAAGGATATTGGATTGGAGGCAGATTTTATTTTCAGATTTATATACCTGAAGATTATAATATGGCTGTAAATATTTTTTATTACTCATATCTGAACAGCATTTGTAGTTACATTATAATGCAAAACATTCTTTTAGCCTCCAAAAGTCAAGTGCTTAACAAAGTTATGGCATCCTAATATAAGCGAGGATGGTGATGTGTGTCTTTCAATATTGAGGCAAAGTAGTATAGATGGAATGGGTTGGGCACCAACTCGTAAACTTAAGGATGTTGTATGGGGTTTGAATTCTCTTTTTACTGTATGTTTTCAACAGCTCCTATGCAGGATATTATATTATCATCATTTCCACAACTTGTACCTTTTTTTCTTTTAGGACCTTTTAAATTTTGATGACCCTTTGAATAGAGAAGCAGCTGATTTATTTATTAAAGATAAAGAATCTTTTCGAAGTAAGGTTAAAGATTATGTTATGCAATATGCAAAAAGATGATTTAAATTAATGAATAACCTTATGACAGTATAATTGTACATTTATGAAATTAGCTTTTTATTTCAATGAAAACATTCAATCCAGATAAGAAGTACCTTTTTTTTTGTATTACTATTTTTTGCTACTAGTCCTCTGATTCTACAGAGATTGTATTTGTTATCCTAATTTTTTTTTTATTCATGCGCAGCTTTTAAGCATTTTATCAATTTATTTTAATTAATATGAAATTTATTCTTAACGGTTGAAGGAACGAGGGCAAAGGACGTGTACAATATACTTACCTTCTTTATAGAGCATTGTAATGATGGCAAATCATAATTTGTAAATAAATTACATATTTAATAATAAAACTTGACCCCAGTGTGTGGAATTTTTAAACGATTATTTAATTATTTGGTATTTATTGATGGTTTTATTAGAATATAATCATCGTTTTTGTACAATTTTAAAGGGTTTGGTTTGTACCTTAATTCATTAAAACCTGATGTATCTTACGTTACATTTTAAATAACAATCAATTGATTCTTTCTCTTTTTCATTTGTAATTCTTTACAGCAACGTATGAGCAGATGAAAGTATCCGTTAAAATAATTAAAAGTAACAAATAAATAATAACAAAAAAGAGAACAAGGAAAGAAAGCTCTTTTTATTTCGGTATCCTCTCTTTGGTTATTTTTCCTTGCTCTCTAAGAGACTGACTAGATACGTGCGTGAAATTTGACGGTCACGTAAGACAGAGAAAATTGGAAAATCACTTAATCGTAGCTTATTCATTAGAACGTGGTGAGCAGTTCTTCTTGTATGCTAGTTGATCTAATAAGTTTTTGCGTGGAACCTCCTAGTAGGCTTTCAGTCGTCAAACCCTGACTCTGGGATGCCAATTTTGATTTTTCTTCGTGATATTCCTCGTTATATTCTTTCAGTCTGTTGCCTAAAAACACGGCTCTTTCACGTTTCTTAATCATAAAGTCTGATGACTGTAACCACCTGTGTTCATGACACTCTTCTACCAGTGGTCGTTTACTGAAAAGAATAAAATAAGATAATAAACGATATTCTGTGAAATGGGTCAACGATATTGCACATATTAGTTACAAACCTTGGTGCCCGTTTGAAGACCAACATAAGGAACCTAGTAGCCTCCTGACTCAACTCCTTGAACAAATGTTCGAATCTGTATCTCACAAACAGGATATTTTGCCTGGTCTCGTCAGGATCTTTGCCACGGAACGGTGAGACACCGGAGAGCAGGATGTACATCAAGACACCAACCATCCAGACGTCTGTTTGAGGATGAGCTGGTTCCTCGTTATATACCTCAGGTGCTCTATATTCAGGGTGACCAGCTTTCGGTACTGATGTGCCTAACTTACTAACGAACCGAGCCGAGCCCATATCAACCAGCTTGACCTGAACCGATCTGACGGTGGACATCACAACGTTATCGGGTTGAATATCGAGGTGACTGTATCCTCGCCAATGAAGGTATTGCAAGCCATCCAATATTTGCGTGATGACGGTAGCTACACAATTCTCGGTGTACTCGTGTCTGCTGGAGAAGTACGTAAGAATATCAGCTCCTTGAAGTTTTTCCAGGATGAAGACTGCAACCGGAGAACCTGGTGCCTTGTACGCGGCTTCCAGCAGCGCTATCCTCTCGTGTCTCAGCGAACGAAGAGCCTCAAACTCTCTGTTCACTTGCTTCTCCGTGTCGGCGTTCAGCTCCAAGATCTTCGCGACTATCACACGGTCCGTGGCTTTGTCGACGCCCTTCACCACCACGGAGAATTGACCTCTCGCTACTTCGGAGATAAAACTGTATTTACCAGCGAGATTCGTGTCGGTTGACCACTCGATAGGGTGTTCCTCGATAGAGTAATCCATGTGTGGTCTGTCCTCTTCCAATACTATTTCCTGTCCTGAATCCGTTATTTCCTGAAGATGCCTCATCGCCCGTGTGATCTGAACTTTTGGACAACCTGTGGGTCTCGTTTTGATCAGCTTCGAAGGGATACCCTTTTCGCTCCAGCCGATACGGTTTCGCGCCGCTAGACGGAAGTTGTAACTGGTGTCGGGTTTGAGGTCTCTCATCAAGTAGAATTCGTGGTCGATGTTGAAGGCTACATCTATCCACTCGACCGAGTCGCCTTCTTTATACTGAAGGTTGTAGCATAACACCGGAGAGTTGCCATCGTGTTTCGGTTGCTTCCATCGTAGGAGAATTTCAGTGTCGGAGACATCACCAGCCTGTGTGGTAAAAAAAGTTATAACAATACGCCTTCCAAAGGAATATTTCTATTAATTACATACCTCGGGTGAATCAGGTCCAGAAGGAACAACCGCCTGTACCATTCTAGTTCTAACTACAGTTTGTCCTAAAGCGTTCCTCGCGACGACTTTGTAGCTGCCTACGTCGTGTTCCTTAGTTGGAGTGAAGCTGAGTATAGACCTGCCATCTTTGTCTTCGGTGACTTTTATCCTATTGGTCTCCTGAATCATTATATCGTTCTTGTACCACTGGATTAGTGGTTTAGGGTTTCCTACGGCCAGACACACCAGCTGAGCTGGCTTTCCTTCCTCGATGGGTCTAATTTGTGGTTTCTCGCGGAAGAAGGGCGGATGCCCTTCTTTCTTGGATTCCAACATGGCTTCCGCTTCTGCATAGCTATCGAGTCGCGTGCCTAATTCGTGTTTCAAGCGTCTCAAGGTGAAAACGTCAGGTGATCCGTATCTGTTGATCCTTGCTCGCCTCTCGTCGTCGATTTCTTCGTCCATGACGTCCGTGAAACGACGACGCTCGCGTATAATAGGCGTCTGTAACAGCACAGAAAATTATATACTTAGACAATATTTGGTAGCTCGATATCTGAACGAAGAAAAATAAATTACCCTCCAGTCGAAGTTCTCGTCGGCGATAGAACGCGAGAACCCAGGGCTACGGTTGCATGCAACCTTCATGTACTCTCGCAAACGCACAGGGAAGTCCGTGTCGCGAAGTTGAAGGAGATAGGTGTCTGGTCCATTTTGATAGCTGGAAAATGACGCGTATAATTCTCTGCTTAAATTGTACAAAAGTGTACAGCTTGTAGAGACTTACTGGCTTTCACTTTTGATAATTCCAATCTCAGTATCAATCGGCTCCCTCGTAGGTATCTGACTGTCCCAGGGTTTAGCCGAGGGTTTCTTCAATGGACTGTACGTTCTCTCGTCGCTCGGTTCAGGAGTATACTTGTGGCCAGGTGGATAGACCATTCTGGATGGGTGATCGAAAGCTGAGTTCAACTTGCGTCTGCGGAACCATGTACGACAGGATGCGTTGTTGTACCAGTCGCTAAAACATGACGTTGACGATGTCACTTCCTAAATTTCTTAATACAGGTCGCTTGTAACATTAATACGATGAATTACTAACCGATACAGTTTGTAATAATTCTTCAAGTTCTCCGACGGAATCTTGTACAAATCTGTCGGAGATCTGTCGGCGTAATTTAACCAAGGATGATCTAGAGCAGCCTTCACGTCCATTCTCCTCTCAGCGTTGTACATCAACAACGAACGAATGAAGTCTTTCGCGTCTTCCGAAATGTTCTTCCAACGGTCATCGAAGTCCCACTTTCCTTCTCTGATTTTGGACAGAGTTTCCTTGTCGTTGATGCCTCTGAAAGGTGAGATTCCAGACAGCAGGATATACGTGATGATACCAACGGACCACATGTCTGTGCTGAATGTTATTCCTTCGTTGTTGGTCACTTCCGGTGCTACGTATTCGGGCATTCCATATGCCAAGGTCATCAGTCTCGTATGAGAGATTCTTCTGGCGAGGCCAAAATCGCCGATCTTTAAATCGTCACCGCCTGTGTGTGAGATCAGCAGGTCTCCAAGCTGTAAAGAACAATTTAAGAATATGGAACATCTTTTACGTTATGGCCATATAGCGGGACTACTATAATTATATTGTAACAGAAATCAACCGTTAAGCCAAGATGAGCGTATTGATTAGAATGCATGTAATCCAATCCCCACAGTAGTTGCCGAATGTATCCAGCAATCTCAGCTTCAGTGTAGAACGCCTGTTTGGTCAAGTTGTCCACAAGTTCTCCACCAGCAGCTCTGTTGTTCCGTTAAGAAATTGTTTAAATTTCAAGATTGCATGATCCTCCAAAATTACAGAGAATCACAGAATAAACGATACTATAGCTATTTCTGAAGGATACAGTTCCATAACGAGCGTGACAGATTGATCAGTTTCGTAAGCATCGTGCAGCCGCAGCAACTTCTTGTGATTCAGGTTGTTCATCACATCGATCTCGTTGTACATGAACGGCCTGAGTTCTCCTTTTCCGTGCATCACCTTAGCAGCGTAATTCCTTCCGGTGCTTCTCTCCACAGCGTGATAGGTTACGCCTTGAGTACCACGGCCAAGTTCGTCGCCCAGATCATAGAAGTCTTCGTAGAGTCTGTCATGGCGTGGTTGGATGTCTGTCTTCTTCTTGTACGTCCTATAACTGTACTCGTGTTCGTTCTCTTCCACGTGGATCATGACGGAGCAGGAAATCGATCCAGCCACATTTCTCGCGCTGACGGAGTACAGACCCTCGTCTTTCAAGATGACATCGCTGATGACCAATGTTGTGGTGTCTGGCTCCGTGAACTCGATCTAAAAGAAAAACTTTATTATACGATCTAAATTGTTTCTTCGAATAAATAGAAAGCATACCCTTAATCTGGATGTGGTAGTAAGAGGCTTCCAGTCCTTGTACCACTTGATTTCTGGATAAGGTACACCAGTGACGCGAGCTACCAGTTTCCCAGTTCTCCTCGCCATCACAATAATCTCTTCTGGTCTCTGAATGAACGTTGGATACTCCGCGATCTGTAGACGAACCCTCTGCCTAGCTTCGCCATGTTCGTTGGTGGCTACAGCTTCGTACATCCCTTCGTCGCGTTCCAGCATTCTGTTGATGAACAACGTAGCCTGCCCGTTTCTCGTATAACTCTGATCGTATCTACCACCGGATTCTATCAGCTGATCGTTGAAGTAGTAGGTCATCTTCGGTTTCGGGTAGCCGTAAACGAACCAGAACAGGTTGCAGTTGTGGTTCTTCACGCCGTACTGAGTGTCGTGTTCTTGACGAAGGAATCTGGGTGCCTGGGCATAGTTGTCGTGAGGAGGTCTTTCGATGTCGAAGTCCTTGGGGAAGTACGGACTGGTCTCTGGACGGAAGTCGATGCCAGGAGGCAAGTAAGGGAAGAACTTGGGTGGGTCAGGCTCCAGTTTCGCGCGATAGGTCTGCGCGAACGGCGACGGTTCACTGATTCCGTACTTGTTCTCCACGCGGATGCGGAATTTGTAGTCCCTGAAGGGTTCAAGGTTCCGGATGTCGCAGACGCAGCTGCGAATTCCGGTGCGAGCGGTAAACCAATCTCCGTCTGGCAATTCGCACATTTCTACTTGGTACGTGACGGGGATACGGGGGCCAATGGGGATGGATGGCTTCCAGGAGAGCGTGAGATGACGGTCCATCATTCTGCTGATGATCGGACGGTCGGCCAAGGGCAACGGTACGCCGGATTTGCGGTATTTGTCGAAGTCCGCGTACTGTTCTCCTAATTTCTTCGTGCGTGGTTCCAGAGCTGGAAGTTAATTATAAAAATTAATCTTCAATAATCTTATCAAAGTTGGCTATTCTAGTATACATACATTCATAAATTAATTCTGCGCTGCAGGAATCTTCACCGTGAGGATTAACTATTCGCAACATGTACGTGCCCGCGTCCAATTCGTCGATGTTGGCTATTACCAAACGCAGCAGACTGCCTTCTTGTTCCGTTCTAATTCTATCAGTCTGCCATATTCTATCACCGTTACGATACCATTCGAAGTCAGGCTCCGGGTTGCCTGTGATACAAGCTGTAAACTTGGCTGGCATTCCCCTGTACACCTCACAGTCTCCGATCCTCTTCAAGAACGACGGTGGTTCGGCTTTCTGCATTTTTTGTCTGAAAATAATGAACATGTTTAAACAATCCTTTAAAATTTACATTTCATCACTTACATTTTATCGACCACAGCCAAATTGGCCACACACTCCGCCTCGCCACACTTGTTCACAGCTTTGCACTTGTAGCTACCAGAATCATCGTAGGTGCAATCCTTCACGTACAAACAGCAAGCATCACCGTCCCGCTTAATCTTGTATTTGTCATCATCATGCACGATCGGTTTGTCGTTGAAGTACCAAGTGATTTCTGGTCGAGGAACACCGGATATTCGAGCCAGGAACTTGGCATCGAAAGTGGGCAGCTGTTGAAGATCCTTGAACGTCTGCGTGAAGTTAGGTGCTTGGAAGATCTTCCTGACGTTAGCCGTGGATTTGGTGGAATCATCGCCGAGTGGGTTCGATATACGGCATTCGTAGACACCAGCATCTTTAGCATCGCACGGATTAATTTCTAGCTCGGTCTTCTTTCCATCGCAGGTCACAGTTACGCGATCAGAAGGCTGTACAGGTGCTCCATCCTTGGTCCAGCTCACGTCGGGTATTGGATTGCCAATGAACGAAGCGGATAAACTCAATGGTTGACCTTCCTCGACGTACACGTCTCGCATCGGATTGACAAAGGAGGGTTTTTCTTCAGCAACATCCGACTGGAGCTTGCCGACGACGCTGACGACACCCTTACAAGAGGATGTGCCTTCCGAGTTTCCTGCTATCACCTGATACTCGCCTGCATCTTCCGGTGTCGCTTTGTCGATTACCAGTGCCTGACTTCCGTCTGGTAGACTGACGACTTTTATACGTTTACCATCAGGTATAAGCTAGAAACGAAGAATAATTATTGTTCATGTTCTATATTTTAAAATAAGTAGTGACAAACCTCTTCTCCATTCTTGAACCACTGCAGTTGCGGTGGAGGTTTGCCTAGCACCTTAACTTCCATCTTCACCGGGAAACCTTCCACTACGGTCAAAGGTTGAAGAGTTGCAACAAACTCTGGTCGCTTCTCTTTCTCTTCAATTTCAACCTTCGCCGAACCAGTAATTTCACCCAGCGAGTTCGAGACGGTCATCGAGTACGTGCCTGCGTGATCCGGACGACAATTGTCGATCCTGAGACCTATCATACCGTTCGGTTCATTCATAAAGTATATTTCCTTCGCCTGACGCAGTGGGATTCCATCCTTGAACCACTGTACTTGAGGATTCGGGAAAGCGACAACTTGGGCTTCGAGCTTCAATGGCTGTCCAACTACGGCCTTGGTATCCTCCAGTGGTTTCGTGAAGGAAGGTCTTCTTCTTGCAGCTGAAATTGCGTTTGTTACGTACCTCTTTCAAATGTATAAACTATTCTATGTAGAACTAATTTTATAGAGGTATCTATTAGGCATCTATAGCTATTTTATGGAGGCAGTTATACTCACGTTTGATAGCCACAGCACACAACGAAGCCATATCCCCGGTGCTGTTAGTTATCACAAGTTTGTAGGCACCGCAATCGGTCGGTTTCACGCAATCGATCTTCAGTTTAATGTGACCATCCGGAAGTGCCTCGATCTTTATGTGATCATCGGGAACGATCTTCTCTCCGTCCTTGAACCAGGCAATCTCTGGCATGGGGCTGCCATCCACCTTCGCCTTGAGCTCGAGAGTGTCTCCCTCGTCCACTTCCGTCGACTTAGGCAAACCTTGATCGAACGTCGGTGTAATCAGCTTCATCTTCAGTGTGCCCTTGGTCTGCGCGCTTCCAGCCACGTTCGTTGCCTGACACTTAATTTGTGCAACGTCGTTTTGAGAGAAGGTGGTGATCGAGTAGGTGCTGTCTACTATTCCGTCCATGTGAGTAGTTATCTTGTGACGACTGTCTTCCTTGATCTCCTCGTCGTCTTTTAACCAGGTGATCTTCGGTCTTGGGATACCGGATACGCGAATCTTCAGCTCGATATCGTCGCGGTCTTTCACTTCTAGGTTGGCTAGCGTCTTGGAGAACATCGGAGTTTCAGCTATAAATTAGATCAAATATTTAGAAACTGTTTCGTGTTAATGGTGTTAATAGTGTTAATCAGATATTTACTGTATGGCGTGAGAGTAGCCTGCGCACTAGCTTCACCCAAGTAATTCTTAACAGAGAGCTCGTACGTTCCCTTGTCCTCGACCTCGACGCTCTTGATGATGAGGGTGAACTTGTTGTTCCTCTTATCTTCAACGAAGTCGAACCTGTCTCCTTTCTCCAGAACCTGACCATCCTTCACCCATTTGACATCCGGTTTCGGATTTCCCTTCACGATGGCTACCCACTCGAGGGAGTCGCCAACGTTTGCAGTGGCGTCCTTCAGTTCTTCGATCTCGGGTCGCAGCAGGAGATTCAGGAAAGCCTGGTTATAACAATAAACGAATTTATATATCTCCTTTAAGTAACGATTAGTTATGCTAAATGATACAGACGCTAGCTTCAGCCTCGCCGTATTTGTTCTTCAGCTTCAGAGTATACTCTCCAGTGTCGTCGTTGGAACATTTCGGCACCGCCAACGTGACCGTCGTTTCCGTCAATTTGTCTGCTATTGTTTTGTTTTGGGCGGTGAACTTTATTCGGTGGTCGTCCGCTGGTATTTCTTCGCCCTTGAAGTACCTGTAAGAAAATCATTGTAATTCTTCAGCTACAGTCTCTAACTTTAAGTTATACTTGTTTACGTACCACCAATGTTCCACACAAAATATGTTAGCAAGAACAATTTTTTTTTTTAATGAAAATTGTTACTCTAAACTTGTACAGTATACTGTTTACAGCCACCATCACGTACCACGTCATTTCCGGAATAGGATCAGCAGTGAACGTGGCCTTGAACTCTCCAGAGTCACCTTTCGCTACATCCACGTCGTTCAGCGGTTCCGTGAACTTCGGTCTTCGAAGTTCATCCACAGTGCCAACAGTGAGGAATCCCTCTGCAGTTGCTTCTCCAAGTTTGTTGGTGAAGACGCAGGTGTAGACACCCTCGTCCTCGATGATCGCTTTTTTCAGCTCCAGCTTGAACGTTTCTCCAGCGCTGGTGATCCTGATGCGGTCGCCGCTTCGAAGCGGTTTCGCGTCCTTGAACCATTTGCCGTCCGCTCTTGGAAGACTGGTAGCATGGATTTCGAACTCTACCGTCTGGGTTTCGTAGATCGTTTTGTCGGTGAGCGTCGAGCTGATGATATGAGGAGGAGCTAATCGAAAAGTATAAAAATTAGAAAAGTTTCTAGACAGAATGTAAAATCTTGGGTAGTCACGTGTTGCATCTAAAAGTTGCTTCTGTGCCGTGCATCTAATGCATAGCTGTGTTAATTATAATATTTGCTTAAATGTTGGACAAATTTGCTACCTTTGTTACTCATCATTGATAAGTTTCCAAGCTGATTAACCTTCGTTAGCCAACGGGTAGCTAATGTCCGACATTTTCGAGGATCGCTTACCTGGAGATCGACGACTTCCTTGACCAGGCTCGATTGATTACACAAGCGGTTATCGAAGCAGAAGCGTTAACAAAATTTAACGTTAATCGCATTCCTTGATCAACAATTTATCGGATGATTAAACATTGCCATACTTCGGTGAAACATTGACGTGCAGCGGATAACATATACATAACAATTACGCGGACAAATTGTTTACAATGAACAAATCGTTTACAACGAGCAAATCGTGCCGGCCTCGAAGCGAATGCAAGAACGCTGCAAATAAAAAGTACGACGATCCTGCATAATCCGTGCGAAGTTCCGATGGAGTAATCCGGTCGTACCTGAGTCTCTAGAGGATTCCTTTTCAAGGATATCATCGAGTACACTGCGTTGCCGTTTAACGCGATCCAGAAGAGCCTCCAGCTCTTCGTCGACCTCTTCGTCGCCGCTGAGAGCCGCTTTCAACGAGCTCTCCCTCGACAAAGATTTTGGTCTTTTCGACTCCACGGAGTCCAGTCTCTCGATCTTCGAACTCTGTCTGGACAAACCGTTCGGAATGGACTTCCGTTCTTCTACGTTATTCTCAAGTTCCGCGATCGAGTTCGCTCGTTCAGCTTTCTGTTTCAACGCACATTCTTCGATCGTCGGAGTCTGCGGTTGATCCACGGAGGCTTTCCTCTCTATTTTCTGCTTAACACCGTTCTCCTCGAGGACGGCGTTCTGCGGTTTCTGCAAGGGGGACACCGTCTTCTCAGAAGGCGTTTCTTCCAAAGATTGTTCCTCGATAATTGTCTCGGTGATCAGCAACCCCTTGTGGAGCCTAGCGTCGTCCACGCTTTTCTCTTCCGCCGAGAGCCCGTTCGCGCTGAAGTCCTCGTAGGATCCGTTTATCAGTTTAGTGTCCTCGGACAATTCCGCGCACTGCATGTCCTCGGTGCTGATGTCTCTCGAAATGGCTTTGAAAGTCGACTCGTCGTCCGACACCGACACGATGGACACCCCGCGATTGATCTGCAATCTGGATCTGTTCTCCTCGCTTGCTTCCGAGAACTCTTCGATTAGTACACCGTTCTGTGGTTTCTGAACCGCTTCCTCCTCCTGCACGCTGTAACTGTACGACGCGATCTCTTCCACTCCGGGACTGTCCGTGTTCATCTCCTGGCACTCGACTTTTGTCGCGGTCATCTTGCTGATCGTGTGCCTCTCGTCGGGACCTGCGAACGCTCTGGCTGGTCACGAATATTTTACTACTAACTACTTTACCGACGCGACCAACGGTTTCCGTGATTCGCAGTCAGAGACTCTTGCCACGCACGTAAACTGCTTTTACTACGAGTGAGGTAAGTGAAAGCTCTGTTCGTTGTGGCGTTATTTGCCATCGCAGATTTTGTGGTGAATCTCATTCTTTATAATTATACTCGGGTGCTTTATTGTCTTTGTCTGCTTAATTCGTATGTTACTCATTGCTTAGTCACTACTGTAGTTTAGAGAATTAATACATTCTATAGAATGATTAGAAGAGTAGCAAGATACAACGAGATGAAACAATGGAGCACCACAAAATCTGCGACGATGGTTACGTGAGACGTGTAAGTCTGTTTCAGCGTGTGCGAAATTTACCTGAGAGTATAGCTTCGTGGATGGTCGTAGAGGCCACGGAGATCGTGATAGTGTCACCTTGGCCTCGCGTTACTTGGACCTTTTGTGCCTCCAGTTTCACTCGACCTGAATTTATCAGACATGTTTTGTTGTCTAGGGTCTACCTTCTACAGCGATCCCTTAATATTAAGCTACAGGCAAGGATCGTACCACGGTTTTATCTTGCCGTCAAGCTGTTACAATGTTAAAATATTGTGCCGTATTTCGGCGAATTATCAAAAAATGCGGTCAATTTTTAAAAAGCGTGTACATGTATGTAATGTGTGTGTAAGTTAGCAACACACGTCTACGTTGTTGATCGAAAAAGACAAAAAGACCGTCGAAAAAACGCGACTCTCAAAAAGCATCTTACCAAAATCTTGCGACATCGACCTTAGGACATATGTAGATTTACAGCTTTCAAGCGTTTACCAGAGATCTCTAGCTCACTCTTTTTACATCGACCGTTCGATTACCTTCCGGTCCCGATTCCTCGGCTTGCTGCGTCTTCTCTTCGTCCTTCTTCTCGACCTTTTGCGCTTCTTCCTCTTTTACCTCCACCTTCTCGACGGTCTCCTTCTTCAGCTCCTTCTTTTCCTCCACGCTCTCTTCCGTTTTCGCTATGGAATGACACAGTTGGAGAACACATATCGGGTTTCAGACAAGGGGCGTGTGAGAATAACGGGGAACGAATACGTTAAGAACATAAAAAACGTTCGACAAAACGTACAAAATTAGATGTAACAACGAATAAAAGTTCGCGTCAATGTCGGGTATGGGACGCGATACACGGTACTTCGCTTGTTCTTTGTTCTCGTAGAGGAAGAGACGGGTCAGACGGTCTCGCACGGAGTAGCAAAATCGAAACACGAAACCGTACCTTTGACCGGTGCGTACTTACTGAGGGACATGTTGCTAAAAGAAAATCTGGATTCTCTGTCTCATAAAATCCTGTTACAGGTAAACGCGAAAACCTGCTCCATCAATTCTGTCTTTCTCAAAAATTTAGATTCGCCAGAGCAGAAATGATGGAGCAACGGGTATAAAGAAAAAGGATCCTTACTCATCACCATGACTTTGGTCTTGCTGGTGACGTAGCCGAGCTCGTTTTCAGCTCGAACCTCGTAGACACCTCCGTCCGAGCCTTTCACAAGGGTGACCGTCAGATCGTAGCTCTCCTTTCGTTTGCTGTCCCTCGTGATCTTAATTCGAGCGTCCGCTGACACCTCCTGGCCGTCCTTGAACCATTTCACGTCAGGATCCGGTGTACCCGACACTTCGAACACCAACTTCAAGGTATCTCCCTCGTTGACTCTCAAATCGTTCGGCAGTTTCTTCAGCAGCCTCGGTCTGGTCTTCACAGTCAACGTGGAGCTGCTGGTAGTTTCTCCGTACTCGTTCTTCACTTTACATGTGTAGGTTCCCTTCAGATCGGACTTGGCTTCTGCTATAAGCAGCTTGCAAGTTCCGCCGTCTTCGGTTCGAGTGAATTCTTTGCGTTTTTCGGTAATCTCCACGTCGTTGATGTACCAGTGGACGCTTGGTTTTGGGTAACCGTCTACTTCTACGGTGAACTCTAGGTTCTTGTCACCCTCGTTCGCGGTGACGTCGCTCATTTTCGTCTTGAATCGGGGTGTACCTTTCACCTGACGAAGAAAGAGTAAATAAGTCAATGTGAGAACAGGAAAGTTGCAGAGATGTTTAAGTAATATTGAGGAGCTTAATAAAACTGAGGTTGCTAAAAGAAAATCTTAGAACCCTAATAAAGCTGAAGATGCAATCCTAAGAACTCTAATAAAGTATAATAATAAAACTCCTAGTCAGAATCCCACTCTCTGCCATTCAATCTTCCCCATTTACCTGAATCTTGGTCTGATCCGAATCCTCGCCATGATCAGAGACGACTTCCGCCTTGTAAATGCCTGCATCCTCGCCAACCGTACCCACGATCTTCAATATAAACCTGTTGCCCTCTTGAATCATCTTGATACGGCTGTCCTGGCTGAGCAGTTGCTCATCCCTGTACCACTTGATGCTAGGAGGTACCGCAGAGTCCACCTCAACGAACAGTGTAAGCGTAGCACCCTCGTCGAGTATCTGTGGCTCACCCAACTTCTTCCTGATCTTCGGTGGACTTATCACCTTCAGCTTCCATATCTCCGTCGTCTGATTGACATCGTTCCGCGCGACTATCGAGTACGATCCAGCATCGTCCAATCGAGCATTCTTTATTACCATCTTGTACATATCGTTCTCTTCCTTGACGATGCTTATACGGCTGTCCTCTTTGATCTCTTGGCCGTCTTTGTACCATTTCACTTCGGGTGCAGGTGTGGCTTCGATTTGCACGGACATCGTGATGGTCTCTTCGACAATTCCTGTCAGGTCCGTCTGCTTTTTGATGACTTTCGGCGCGGACTTCACTATCAGCTCTATCTGGGTGGTGTCTTCGCCTAGCTCGTTCTTCGCTCTGACGGTGTAGACACCTGCATCTTTTGCGGTGACTTTCTTGATAACCAGAGACATGGACTCTTCATCCTCCCAGAGGTACTTGTATCTGCCACCGGCGACGATCTCCTGGCCGTCCTTGGTCCACTTGATGTCTGGTTTTGGGTATCCTCTGATCTGCAGCTCTAACATGGCGGATCCGCCGACGCTCACCTCCGAATGCTTCGACTCTGAGCCTAACTTCGGCTTCTCTGGATCCTTCAGTAGCTGATTCACTGCTCCTTGGACCGTCAGCTCGGCGCTGCAGCTGATGTTACCTGTTACCGAATTTTTTAATGAAACAATTTATAACTTATATATTAATTTTATAATATTAATATTATATCAAACCTATTGTTTGACTGTTATACCTGTACTAGTTTGAGCGACACACGTGTAAAGGCCAGCGTCTTCAGGCTTAACATGCTGGAACACGAGAGCCAACGTGTCTTCATTATCCTGGAACAGCACTTTGAATCGGTCTTCAGGGTCGAACGGTTTACCGTCACGCAACCACGTGAACTGTGGCTCCATGCCGGGCTCCAAGAAGCCCTCAGGAAGGAACAGCATCTTCTCATCGGAGACCGTAACCGCCGCTTCACACGAAGCTTCACCGAATTTATTCTTCGCGGTGCAAGAATATTTGCCAGCGTCCTGCTTCTGGACGTCCGATATCACCAATTCGTAGAAGCCAGTTTCAGCATTGTCGGTGACGATTTTTATGCGGGGATTATTCGCGTCGATGAGCACATCGTCTTTATAGCTGCAATTGAAATAATTTACAAGTAATATTTGACTTTGGTCGGTCTCGTCCAAAATCTATTGTACAACTCGTAGGGTCAACAGATTTTGGACGGGTTGTAGTTTATCGATTGCTCACAATTTCATTTCAGGATTTGGATCACCCTTTACTTTGATCATGAAGCGCAAGTAAGTGTTCTCCAATAGTTCTGTGTCCTTCAGTCGCACCAGGAAGATAGGGGCGTTGGCTTCCGCCCTTGCTTTCTTCTCCTCAGGAGTCACTAAAAAAATTTACCTTGAACTATCTCTTATAGGAACTATAATATCTTCTCGTCGATAGCTACACAATTTCAGTTACTAGTTAAGCTTATTACACCTACGTTTCTGCACAATAAGCTGAGCCGTGCAGGTGGATTGGCCGTCGCTGTTCATAGCCCTGGCAATGTAAATGCCAGAATCCGATTCGAGAACGTTTTGAATCGTGAGTTTGAAAGTTTTCCCAGTCGCTGAAGCCGATACTCGATCCGCCAGTCTATCGTCCAGCGGTTTATTGTCCTTCAGCCATTGCACCATCGTAGACGAATCGGTTTGCAGCAGGGTACACTCGAAGACAGCCGTTTCTCCAGCTGAATAAAAGCATAATGATTAAAGGAGACGTAACAACGAAACGGTCCGGAGGATAAAGTTTATCGCCTGCCTGGTGATAAAGGGGGTTCAAGATTTTATATACAAAAGTATTTGATTGTAGAAAAAATAAGAGGGTTCCCAGCAGCTGAGATTTGGGCTTTGATAGAATTGAAGTATCATTTCATGATTTTGGTACTTATTTGTACTCCTCTGTTCGACGGTGAGAAGCGTGCAAAAGGTACAAAGTAATCCTACACAAAATAAGGATATCAAAATATGTACCAAAAAATGAAAAATCAATCACATCTACTTGAAAAGTGTATAGATAGAAGCAGAAGTGATAGTACATGGAAATGTAGAATTAAGAAAGAGTGTGTGTGTGTGCAATGATGTGTGAGTAGTGTGACTGTATACGATGAAGACAACATCTAAGGATTAGATTAAGCTTGATCACTTTAGGCACGTGTAGAAGCACTTCTTTTTCAGCCGGCTAAGAATAAAAAAGTACAAAATAGAACAGTAGAACGTTTCGATGATACAGCACGATAGACTGACAGAAAAGTGCGTGGTACAGCAGATGATCAGATAGTAATTTCGTGTCACTTTACCTACGGCGCGTATCAATTCCACGTTATTTTCTGGTATCGCTAGAACAGTAAAAATTATGTCATCCGCTTTAACAGCTTCTTGTAACGGTACATTACAATGGTAGATTACCTTATGATTTAAATTAACTTTCAGATTTCGCTTGTTCACATATTTTATCAGTTACCAGAATTAATTTTGGAATGGAGTTTGTTGGAATGTAAGAAGAAGAGGAATGTTTCTACAGGAATCTGAGAATTGTCTGAGAATTAGATCTGGGAACCTGAAGACATAGGTAATATAATCATTTAAGAAAGATACAGATTAATGTCGCTTACGTTCCACACTGCTGCCCTGGCAGGTCTTGACAAATGTGGGTTTTCCTATTCCAGTGCTGCCCTGAGTGATTTTCCCTGCGTTTTTGGTCTCCACGCTGCCAGCTTGATAAGAAGTGGCGCTGGATTCCACCCTTGTTGCCGCGCTGGATTCCACCCTTGCTCCGCTGGACTCCACCCTCATTGCGCCGCTAGATTCCATCATAACCGCGCCGCTGGACTCCACATATGAGCTGTGGCTCGATATCGCCGAGTACTCTACAATAATTAAGACAGAATAATATTCAGAACACTAAAGTGGTTAGCAATTAAAACACAGTAGCTATTATACAATAATTATAAGAATAATTGAAGAATAATTGAATAGTAGCATCCACTGCTTATCAACTATGTATAATAGTACAATTTCATTAAACAATTGTCCACCTTCAACAACTTTTGAAGAGCTGTATCGGCTAGACGAGTATCTTCGCGACATGTCTGCTTCTTCTTCGACCTTAGCCTTCTTAGAGTCAGGATTTCCTGGGTTTCCTTCTTTCCTCTTCTCAACAGCCTTGTCCTCAGGATTCGGGTTATCCTTCTTTGGACCTGGATTAGCCTCTTTAGGTCCTGGATTAGCTTCTTTAGGTCCTGGATTAGCTTCCTTAGGTCCTGGATTAGCTTCCTTAGGTCCTGGATTAGCTTCCTTAGGTCCTGGGTTACTTTCAACTTTCCGTGGACCCGGATTCGCTTTGATCTCCTCTTTCGTTTCTACCTCGGTCAACTGTAGGTCGTCCGCAGCGTGTTCAGCGAGCGCTACCACATCGCTCGCGTACTGTCGTATCTCCTTCAACCAGTAAGCTTTCACAGGATCCTTGTGAGCTACCAAAGTGATCGGATACGCAGGACTCGCCGGATTATGTAGCTCGAAGGATCGTATGTCGGCTGGATGGTCCTTTACCTCTACTTCGGGTAGCTGAAGTAATTCAAGAGATACACAGTTGATATTTATCAATTTATCATTAATTTAACAGTTGTTATTTATCATTTATCATTCTAAACAATTGTTACTTATCATTTATCATTATAAACAGTTGTTATTTATCATTTATCATTATAAACAGTTATAATGACAAGATAGCTTACTCGAATGATATCTTTCAGGACGAAAACTGATCTGTCTTCCGATATTCGTCTGACCTTGCAGACGAGTATGCGAGCCTTGAAGAGGAACAGATACCTTTCCTTGCTCTTGCCGTCCTTGTCGATCACGGTATACCACTCCTGTCAATTTAACATATATGTTAATTATTGTATATTTACATGAAGGATTTGAGGATACATACGTGTGTAAGTAGTCGGCCAAGCTTATGAATATTCCCTTTGTAGCCTTCGATATTACTTATGAACTTATTGTCTGTTGCTCTATGTGGGATACCTAGCATCAACTCCAAAGCCTTTTGGAGGTCGTCGCAGTTTTCCCCTAGTCGGGTCGAATACTTCACCAGCTCCTGCAAATCGGTACAATATTAATCCTTATATTCAATCAATCATATTCAGTTTCATTTGGTAAATAACTTAGATGTGATTAGTGAAATAGTATGCATTGGCCAGTCACGCATGAATGTCCGCCTTCATTAGTTTTCATCGATTTCGAATACGATTCTATGACAAGAGACGTGGAACTCGTCGCGAAGACGGCCCGCTTTTAGCTCGCTAAATCCGTACGGCGCCCACTCGTACGCACACCACGAAATTTTCTGTCGCTTGCAACTACACTTTTCCCTTGATCTATATCTATTCTGTATAACTCATGGTGTCGTTTGAAATGTAACCCTATTTCCTTAGATTCCTAGTTTCTGATATTCAGTTTTCTATGAGGTGTAACCCTAAGCCTTATTTTTGAAAGTTCAACGGTGAAATCCACGAGGTGCCACTTGGCTCGCTATCGTTTCCGGGCAAGTAGCCCAGAATTTGACCACGGTAATCCATGGCCTAAGTCACGCCTATGTAAACGCAATAAAACGGGATTATCTCAAGCATAGTTACTGTCGATACCTAATCGATTCGAATACATAGACATTTTTCGAATAACTAGATATTTTGTATAAATGAAAAATTGTTTTTCTTGGATCGTGAAAAATGTTTGTCAGCGATTCGTATCGTTAGGGTTGAAGCGATTAATACATAGGAATGCGTTTTCAAGGCGAACCGGGAAGTATTTTAGCGCCGTGCTATTTTTGTCTGACAGAACGAAATTTACGCGGCGATATAGGTCACGTGCGGACTCCACAGGTCGCCGTGTCTAGTATTGCATCGGTATCTTTATTCGAAGTTTCGTTAGTACTAAGTCATTACAAACTCAACCATATACTTCATTGAATCATATTTTTGAAATAGCTTTTTTGGTGAAAAAATAGAAGCTGACAGCATGAAGCAGCGAATTATTTAGCAGATGTTATGTTATTGAAGCTTGTAAGAGGCTTCGATGGTTTACGATGGGTCGCTATTTTGACGACTGGTATGCGCGACTTCGACGGCTTTTTACATCATCATTTGACCTAGTTTGTATCGAACAAATTGCAAGTTAAAAATATAGGAATACTTGAAGATTTGTAGGACTAACATTTGATCATTTAGGTTGTTGAACATTTATGAAGTTAGCTGATTGATCATTTTGGTTGCTGAACATTTATGAAGTGTGGAATTTGATCATTTAGGTTATTGAACATGTATAAAATGTGCAATTTGATCATTTAGGTTGTTGAACATTTATAAAGTGTGGAATTTGATCATTTAGGTTATTGAACATGTATAAAGTGTGCAATTTGATCATTTAGGTTGTTGAACATATATAAATTCAGAAAGTTGATCATTTTACATGTTGAACATTTATAAAGTCAGAAATTTGATCATTTAGCTTGCTGAACATCTATAAATTCAGGAAATTGATCATTTAGTTTGTTCAACATTTATAAAGTCAGGAAAATGATCATTTAACATGTTGAATATTTATAAATTCAGAAATTTGATCATATTACATGTTGAACATTTATAAAGTCAGAAATTTGATCATTTAGCTTGCTGAACATCTATCAATTCAGGAAATTGATCATTTAGTTTGTTCAACATTTATGAAGTCAGGAAGTTGATCATTTTACATGTTGAACATTTATAAAGTCAGAAATTTGATCATTTAGCTTGTTGAACATCTATAAACTCAGGAAATTGATCATTTAGTTTGTTCAACATTTATGAAGTCAGGAAGTTGATCATTTTACATGTTGAACATTTATAAAGTCAGAAATTTGATCATTTAGCTTGTTGAACATTTATAAAGTCAGAAAATTGATCATTTAGTTTGTTCAACATTTATAAAATCAGGAAGTTGATCATCTAACATGTTAAACATTTAAAAATTCAAGTATCTAATCATTTAAGATGTTGAACATTTACAAAGTCATGAATTTAATCATTTAGGATATTCAACATCTATTTTAGAAACTTGAAAATACGTATAAATCTAAACAAATCTACTCGGATATAGAAATGTGGTTGTCAAGGTTCAATAAAAAAATAGCACATGTCTGATAACCGCCATGATCCACGTGTCCCTATTAAAATATGTCTGAGGTTAGCATAACGCAAAATGTATGAACGCAACAGCGATGAAGCATATAAAGCATAAAGCGACGAGTCCTATCATATTTCAACGACCACTTTGCACAACAGTTAGTTATACGTATGGTTTATGCATAACTGCTGGAATGCTTTCAAAAGATATACTGGGCATGCTGTATTTCTGTCAAAACACCCTTGAACCGCATCCTCGATTCAATTTTTCGCCGTGATTTTCTGGGCCGTTACCTTGAGCAGGAGCTGGTAGTCGTTTATGCGTTGTATCGGAAGCTTCAAGTGTTCCGATAGACTTTTGTCGTCACGGAGAGTCTGGCTCAGCTCCTGCAAACAATAACATCTCTGTATCGTGTGTATCATACAATGTGCAACATTTCTTGAACGTTTGCCCTTTGAGAGCAAATCTGAATAATACATGTTTAATTATAGGAGATTGTCATCGCCACCCTCGCAAACTTTATGTTTGCTACTTTTCTGAAATAAGACATGAAAGGTTGGGCGGGAACTGGTGAGTTATTTGTTACATTTTGATTTTAATATTCGTCAATGTGTCTGATCGATATTATTCCTATATTGTCACCCTTCTATACATGTAAAGATGTATTACACCTTTATACATCTTCATATAAAGATGTATTACTACATCGACAATTCTTGCGTAAAAGAATATTCTACCTACAGAACGACTACCTATAGAACACAGTTAAAAAACATGGTACCAATTGATGAACTGACTCCCAACGCAGAGCGAAGCACACTGCACGTAGCACGTTTCTACAAATTTAGCAATTGGAAATTCGTGACGATGATACGAATTGTCCGCAACCGTAATTCGACACCAGGACGAAGAGTCGCTTATTTTTGGACGCTACTGGATTTTCCCGATTCTGTCGATGTAGCTGTAGTAAAAATAAAAAATCCTCAACATCTTCCTCCTTAAAAAAATCTCACAAATCTTTCACTTTGAAAGTGCAACTGTCACTCACTGTCATTTCACTACGGAAACACTGTTTTTACGTTACAATTTACAGCATCGATAATCGAAGACACCAAGTTTAAAGGAAATGAAATTCCGAGGTTGTGTAAACGAACACTCGTGAATGGAGAGAAGAAAAAATAAATGTAAGGGCCGACGAACCTTAACGGAGGTCAAGGGAGGTAAACACCGCTGTTCGTGTTTCGTTGGTTCGAAGAGGACACCGTGGCTGGTCGCAGACTGGACCAGGTCTCTGCTCTTCCGTCGATTCTCTTCCTCGAGGGGGATCCACAGCCAGTGGTTACCGAAAAACACCCGCAGAGAGACCAATACGGCCACGGCTATACTTAGACGCCGCGCCGGACGAACTCGTGGACTGACCACGCACAAAAACAACACACTAACAGTCTCCGGATCGCGGGCACCTTTCGCCACACTATGCCCTGATCTTCTTCCAGAAATTAGGAGAACGAATTTGCCAGAACTATCACCGCCTCAACGAATGTTACATTTATGACACATCTTTAGAGATTAACGCTACAAACTTTCTTGCAATTTTGCAAATTTGCACGTTTAACATTTCTATATTTCTACAGTCTGTTTATACATTAAATTCGTGTTGTGAATAAATTTCTAAATTCATTAAAGTCAAGTTTACTTCTTCAAATAAACTTGTAAGTAAATTACAAGTTTACTGTTTATTAAATCTTCAAATAAACTTATAAGTAAACTATAAATTTACTGCTTATTAAATCTCCGAATAAACTTATAAATAAACTATAAATTTATTGCTTATTAAATCTCCAAATTTCCAACCTCTAAATTAATAAATCGTCAAACTTAACCGCTTAAACCCATCACTACTTCGAACCAGCAACATACTGTTCACGTTTCCTAAAGTTTATCGATTCCGCAGATGAAACCAAGATAAACGAAGAGATGAAATAAATACGAATTGAACGTAAACGAAGCGCACGTGGATCACTATAATAAATACGTGGAATTAGAGAGAAATCCTAATGCACCAATTGCGCTTGGCTTTGAAACCGGACACGTTAAAGTGGCATCGCGCAAATCTAATTTTAATTTCGGGTTATTAAATGTACACGAAATGCGTACGAGAATCGCGTGGATTTTGAGTCAAGTTCCAGAAATAACGGGGCGAATCATGTGAAAAAAACGAGTAGCATAGCTGAAATAACAAAACACGGATATATCCTGGACGCCCACGTTCCTTCAATGTCTAACAATTCAGCTGTTTGCAAAGTTCAAATGGTGTAGCGATTTTCTTCTTCATCTTCTCGCGTTGCGTTTCTAAAGAAGGCTTCAAAATGCAGTATAAGTCGTTGAATCCATGACCTTAACATCCAAGGGTCATTATTTTCCTGAGGCTATTGTCCGTGTCCGTTTGCCAAGAGTTAGCGCGTACCGGCCATAAAAAAGAAGTTACAGTGTCAAATAAAAGTTGAATAGTGAAAAAAGGAGGGATGCGTGTAACCGTGTTAGAAAATAGGGCGCGTAGAGCGAAAGGTCAAATAAAACTCGCAAAGCAGACCTCGAAGTGGTATCGGCGTACAGCTGTAGCTCGCCTAAGCGTGAGCTTCGTTTTTTCTTCGAGCAGAGATTACGCCAAAGTTCTGTCATCGTGTAATGACAGCAACGGTGACGTCGTCGGCCGATAACGTGGCCGCTTTCTTCCTTTTCTTTTCATGGCACGCGTCCCACCGCGAGACTATCGTGCATAAGCAAGAGGAACGAAAGATGTTCCGTCCGTTAAGAATAAACCAAGCTATTTTGAGGGCTGGACAGACGCCCGCTTACCCCCGCCTCTTACGTAATCGCGAAATTTCCTTTGATACGACGGAGGAGTTTCTGTCATGGAAGATCCTGGAATCACTTAGGGGTGTCATGGAATTTCTATTGCGGAAATAGACCAGGAAACGACGAACAATATAAGTGGAATTCGATGCTGAAAGAAGTATTATACGAACACTGATAAAATACGCAAAACTATATACAGGGTGTCTTATTTTGCAGGTGGTTCTTTTAGAAGCTGAACGTTTCAATATATAATCTTGTGATGGCCTAGAAAAACCCTGTGGCGGTCACGTTTAATCTTTTAAATGAGATGAAACGCTTTTTACTATTTTTACACCTTGTAGTATTTTTTAAGTGGAAGTCGCAATAAGACACCCTGTATAGAATACTTCTAAGTTATAGGTGGATGTATATTTGGAGCAAAGTCCACATTATGAACACTAGCGTCGAAACGGTAAACTGTGAAAACCGCAGGCAGAAATCTTCTTTATCGTTCTACCGTTGATACGTCAGTTCAGGATTTTCAGAGTGAAGTCCCGCTATATGGCCACCATGCTCTCGTTACGCATTGAGCATTCATACTATGAATAATCGTTATTGTGTATAACACGCCTTACTATCATACAATTACATTATTACACAGTACGTAACGTGTTGTATCACACAGTAGTCCACCATGTATGAATATACTTCTAATAACAGACTACATCTTTAACAGACTATCAGTGTTCGAATTCTGACAATTTACAGGTCCAATGCTCCAAACACTTCCACTTTTCATCCACATATAGCGAGACTTCAATCACTCCTCCTACCAAAAGAGTTAGTATTTTAAAACAGTTAGTTTTAAACAATTCCTAACAAAACAGTACTTGATGAAACTGACCTCAAAATATTCTCGTACCGCATCATTCATCTGTAGGAACTCTTGAGCAGCTGGTTCGTCCCTGCAGTAAGCCACATGCTTGTCAAAATCTCTTTCCTGTAACAATAAATTTAATTGATTCAATATCGAACAGGGCGTAATTGAGAGTCGATGTACTCACCAACCGCAGGAAGGTTTTGCCCAGCATACGTGGCTGATCCGCATAGTACTTGACACCCTCGATCAACACCCTGCCGAACGATCTAAGTAAGGTTCTGATTAATTTTCACGTTAAAAACACACCATGCCTACGTGCTGAAGACTGCATCCGTTCGGTGCGACATTTAGGGACCACCATCTACGTTTCCACTTTGTTACACCATTATGTTGTGCTGATTAAATTGAGATATTACATCGAAAGGGTGGGCATGAAATTATATTACTTGGGGAGACTACGAATGAATCGAAACATATTTTTTAATGGGGACTGGGAGCTTACTAATTTGATACTTTGAGTTACGCTGTGATTTTCCACTGGTCACTCTTTCATATTTGGTACTACATTTTTCTTTCATTTTTCAAAGAGTAATTTCGACATTTTTCTAACGAATCACTGTCGTAAAAGTTTTCTAATGTCGTTGAAAGAATGACTGAAGATGGCCGTGTCAATCGAAGCGTGCTCAGTAACAATAAAAAGGAGGGTGCACACTATCGAAAATCAACACTTTCGGTGCAAGATTGCAATTAGTTACGATTCACACAAACTATGCCAAGACTTACGTTGCTCACACATTGTTTCGCTAAAGAAAAATGTACGTTGGCGAACACGTGTGACGTGCGTGTACGTGTTTTTTCAAATTGTTTCGATTCTCGATTATCAAGTTAAATAAAAAAAATAAAAGGTATTGAAATATTTCTGTTGTCTAAGGGTTCTTGTAACGTATGTGTCGCAGTGCTCTTCGTGAATCCAGCATACGTACGTATTGTGAAAATCAGCGATCTGCTGCAGGTTCGTGAAGATGATGTCTTTGTTATCACGCACCACTCTTGGAACATCAGGGTTGTCGAGGGGTTTCAAGTAACGTTCAACGACCAGCTGAAGGTCCCTGCCGAATTCTTCCTCGGTCTCGACTAATTCTTTCACTACCGCCCTGGAAGTATCAAAGGAATTAATTACTGTGGATTAAGAATTTTTTTTTTGAGTAATTGAAGGACTTACTCTCTTCGATATCGCGAATCTTCCGGTCGGTGTCCGATTGCAGACTCCTCGCTGAGGGCGGTCTGCATCAAAATGGACATGGGCAGCCATCCTTCTCTTGAATCGACTGTACGGACGTACACTCTGTCAAAATAAAACGTTTTAATAATATACATCTATTTATATTAGAGTCTTAAATAAAACTACAGAAACTTTCACTTATATGACTTGGTCTTTTCCTACAACCACGGTCATATAGTGAGACGCTATTGTATAAAGTACTACAACTGTATACAGCACTATAACTTATTATTACTGTATAAAGTACTATAACTTGTACTTAAAAATAAGATACAAATCTTCCTATAATTGTTAATAACTATATTCTACACAAACCTATTGTTTAATAAAATTATTTAGAGTTCTGGCAATGAACAGTAACCTCGATAACATAAATACAGAATTAATCCAAGAAATTAAATAGCTGTCAGAAATAATTTGATCAGACTCTCAGAAGTTAAATTATTACTTCACGAATAGCCGGTATCATTTTTCAAAGAGTCCTATGATTAATGGTTCCCTAGTCTCTAAATTTGTCATTCCTATTGCTTCATCCCGTGACTCGATATTTCTTTCATTCGTTCTCAAACATTATCGAGTGAATTTCAACGTATTTTTATCGCTATATAATTAGTCTGCTTTAAATGGTACTGACTTCAAGGCCTAATGGACCCGCCAACAGATTTTGCGTTCTGAATGAACCGCAAACACGCGAACTGACAGACCTTTCGCCTTAGTCACCGAACTTAAATATAACTTTTTACCGCCCACGCGTTTCTATATTCATCTATTCTTTATAATATAATCCGGTCTATTTGTATCTTTACTAGCTTCCTCCTGATTTATACTATTTTTGTCTATTTCCAACGCTCCATGACGACCGAGATCCACAAATTTCTTAATCTGCATTCCATCAACGTTTGTACTTTATACTGTGTCAACTTGTTTGTGATATACTGAGTTATACATTATTGAAATTCTAGGTAAATCTCTATTTATAATAGGTTGAAACTGTTCTAGATAGATCTATGTCCTTAGATTTTTTTATTGTTTTTTATGTAACCTTAAGTACCTGTTCACCTAAGGTCATGTATCTCTAAGTTCATATGTATGTCTCTAGGTTCTTGTACACCTAAGGTTATATATCCCTAGGTTCCTCTACAGTTATTATACATATCATACAGTTATTACATATATAATATTATTATATATATTATATGTATCATACAGTTATTATATATATAATATTATTATATATATTATATATATCACACAGTTATTATATATATAATATTATTACATATATTATATGTATCATACAGTTATTATATATATAATATTAATATATATATTATATGTATCATACAATTATTACATATATAATATTATTATATATATTATAAATATCATACAGTTATTATATATATAATATTATTACATATATCATATGTATCATACAGTTATTATATATATAATATTATTATATATATTATATGTATCATACAGTTATTATATATATAATATTATTACATATATTATATGTATCATACAGTTATTATATATATAATATTAATATATATATTATATGTATCATACAATTATTACATATATAATATTATTATATATATCATACAGCTCATACATATATCTCTTACTCTCTGTACCACTAAATCCCTATACCCCTAGAGCTACATGTTCCTCAATCTTTATACTCCTAGTGTTACATATCCCTAGGAGTACAAAGTCCTAATGAGTCTCCTACATTATACGTCTGCATCCCTATACTGTTGCGCCAATGTTTATTACAGTAACTTTATGAATCTTTATGGTCCTGGCAGATTTGTTTATACAAAATAATCAATTTGTTTCGAGATACTGTCCGCTCGTATTTTCTCTGTAGACAATAAATAATTCTAATTTCATTGAACGCAGCCGTTGCCAAAGCGACGAATCAAAGTTTCAGCTTGAACCTCACCTTCACCGGGAATTATTTTCAGAACTGGCTGATATTTCGCCTTCCTCGGCAGCGTACTCGGCCAACAGAAAAACACCATCCGTTATGTTATGCAACCGATACTTATTTAGAGTAACGCTTAACGCAAAACGACTTTTAGCTGGAAAAGTCTTACGTGTTCTCGTATTTTTAAATCTTCGGAGGCAACTCTGACCAGCATCACATAATCAAAAAGTATATAAAAGTATAAGTATATAAACTTTGAGTATCAAGTTAAGTTAAAAAACCAGCTAGCTAGTTAACAAATGAAAAATTTCGAAATGGTTAAATCATCTGATTTTGCGTTCGGTCGAAGAAGTAACAGTGCATACGAACACACTGCCTAATCTTACAGTTATCAACAGTTATTTCGAGTTTTACATTTCGACCTAACGATTGCACGGATCATAATTTATATTATTATCGACTTCCAAACTGGCTGACAGCCAATCTCGAACCGAAAACATTATTGCTACAGAGACACTTATAAACGCTCGATCTTCATTAACGTCATCGTAAATAATAACGGTTCGCTTTGCTCGGAATCGATCGAAACGTTCACCTTTGCCACGTCGTTTCGTGCACGCCTCGTAAACGCTTTTCCAAACGATAAAACCTCTAATTTTCACGGAAAGGCGCGAAAACGTAATAAACGCTCGAATGGGTCGCATGAAAATCAAACAAAATCCTAAGCTCGGACCGTTTCCACGTAATCCTGCGAGTTCGTTGGCTTCGTCGTTAACGATACGTTTCCAGAGCACCTGTCGTTGCTATATATTTCGCTGCGGATTTAGTTGTCCACGTAAGTGGACTTCGGTTTCGAGTACTTCTAAAGTTTTCACGGCTCGCATCACTTACGTCCTTAATCACCTGGTTATCTCGTATTTATCTCGCTGATTTTCGTCAAAGAATCAATCGCTTCAAAATTTGGAGCTCGAAGAATTTATTCGCAGCTGTCGGACGTGTATTCTAGTCATTAGAATTGAAGATTAAAGACGACGTGCCCTTGGCGGACTCTTCAGGATGACTGATGTTCGTGTTAATTTGCTTGATGTACGCTAAAACTTCTCTTGAAGTTCTGGTTGACAGACATTTTTTCAGTGTCACTTGCATGGAAAAATTTCATATCAGGTGTTGTACTAAAGTTAATTCCACTGAAGTTGACAATTACTCCTGTAATTCCTCATAAGCTGTGAAAAGTTCTGCTATAAATAACAGAAAATTCCTCTTGAATAATCCTTGGAGAAGGATCTTAAATGTCAGCTCCACAAGCGTCTCTTCCTTGACATAATTCCAAATACCATCTTGGTGATCCTCTAACATAATTATTCTGAAACCTAACTAGAAGATCTAACACGAAGATGACAGGAGGTCTACCTCGAAGATCAAAGATGAAATTCAATCACGTTCAAGAGTTAAGTCCAAACATTCTGATGCTCGAATTCATCATGATGATCCTGTTTGAAGACACGTCGTATACATTACCTCTGGAGATTGCCATCGGAGCTAGATCTTGGGAGACTTCGAGCACGTGAATCCGCGTACTTTCGTCGCGGTCGAACGGACAGTTTGTGCCACGCGGCCGAGTTGTCCAGCGTTTCGATCTCGCCGATCTCCAGTTCGGGATCCAGCTTGATTTTCCTACAACACGTCGAAACGACGAAAATAGAGGCGATCGTAGCCTCCGGGCTTCCCTGTCAGCGGTGCCTTTTTAGTCGAGCCTCATGCAGACTAAACATCATTCTCCACTAATCGAAGCGAGTTAGCGTGGTGGTTCGGTTAAATGGAATGGGGTTCGCTGCAGCGGATTCAGCCTGTTTTAGATCGCCAGGCGTATGCAGCTTTCTTTGTTACTCGATTTGCTCGCGGTATTTATAGCGTACAACAAGTCAAGGCGATTGAAGAGCGCACAACACGTTTCTTCAAACGGGGTTTACGATGAATCCCCGATACGCGCGATTTTGTTCGCATCCGAGGTCTCTAGTCCGAAATTTTCCATTTGCGAGTGCCGCGTTTTATACACTGGCGAAACGACGGTCGCGTAAAAATATCGCTGCGAAAATAAGCAATGGGAATGCCTATCGTTCACGATTCGACAGGCAGACTGACCGTTTCACCCCTTCGCAACATCGTCTTCTTTCCGAACTATTAATACGCTCCCCGTTACATTTTTACTACCCTACTGTATACATGGCGATTTTACCAGCTAACTTTTTTGCCTGGAACTAGGTCTAACTAGGAAAGAACCACCGAAAGAACGTGACAGTTACCGCGAGACATTTTACAATTTGCATAATTCACTATGTTATAAATCTCAAATCTTGGCGTGAAGCTGTCATAAATCACATGTAGCTATATGTTATAAATCACTATGCACAGCTGTATATTATTATGAATTTCCGCATGTAACGTTAACATAAATATCCGAATATAATGGTACATCCGTGTGTACGTTATTTAATCTACAGCGTAGTGCATAGTGTTGTAACAAGAGAGTTAAGATCATTAAGAGTGTCACGGAGTTAATTGATGCCCGTGCGGTGAACACATGCATCTCGTAGACGTTACATCGTTACGGTTAATGCCATCAGCTCCATTCGTTACGGTCTTGTAACGCGGTGTTACGTTAATGAAAGCGTGAATCGAGACGCGTGGTACAGCGGCGGACTGTACCGAAAGTGACAGATCGCGTACAGCATCGGCATCCTTCATTCGTGCAGCACGCGTTAGACTATATACGGCCTGAGGCGGTGATTATTTTTAGTCCAGCACACGTTGCGCGTACGAAAATAGATTTGAAACGCGAGCGAACGCTTGGACGCGCGAAGTCAACGATCCGACACGCTGAACAATGTTGAAATATGTTTTTCCAGTCGTTCCTAGAAGCTGCTTACTTTGCTGGCTCCGCGTATTCCAAGGCCTCGACGATGTCGCCGACGTTCACCGAGAAACCATCGGCTTTATACTCCTTCACCACGATGTAGTTGTCCAGCGATTTCTGTAACAGACGCGACAACTTGTTAGACACTTGTTTCAATAGCTTAGAGATGTTCGACTCTATCACTAAATATTGACAATATACAATGAACGCTTCTGAATTTAAGAATGATGAAGATAAAATGATAAGTGGATTCATGATTATACAACGTGGGAGACTGCTCCTCTGTAAAAGTGCTCCTTCAGACTTATACAAAATTTCATTTAATTGCCTAGTTATTAATAGATAATTACAACAGAGCCCCTCTCGTGTTACGTTACCCGCTCACAGCTATTGTCTTGCTGGAAGCTGCTCAATCTCCTGAGACTCGGCGTGTTCTCCCTGCTACCGAACGACCTATCCGACTTCGACAAGACAATACCATTGCTTTCCTGTTTCACCCCGGTACCCGATCCATCGAGACTACTAGCGATAGAAGTGGTGCCCGTGAACGTGGACAGCAACTCGACGTCCACATCTTCCTCCTTAGCGACAGGGCAACAGTACATAGAGAAACGATGAGCAGTCGGGCGATTGAGTCTCAAAGCGGTGAACACGTGAAGAGGTTCAAAATGCTGGATTCCGTCTTCGTCGAGCACGGTGTAAGCCACCTCGCCAGTGAGGACCGATCTGGACGCTTCTCTAGGGACGACGGCCTGTATGCCTTGCTTCAGGATCATGAAGATGCTCGAGGGTTTGTGACTCCTTCTCATAAGGAACTCTTCCATTGCCAGACTGTTGTCGGCGTGAAGGAGAGCCGTGGGTACGTCCGCGGACGACTGTAGTGGACCTTCTTCAGGTACGATCATCAGGGCAGCGCTCTCTCTGACGAGGGTCCTGAGTCGAGGATCGACCCTAGCGAGTTCGGGGTCGCTGCACAGCTGCGTCAGAGCGCTCATGAAAGGTGGTCTCTCCTCCGCAAGTTGCCTCATCACCGTTAGCCTCTTCAGAACGTCCAACGTTACTCTGTCGCTGGCCAAGGCACGAGTAGACTTCTCGTCACTGATCACTGCCAGTAGACTGCTTGCGGTACTGGACATGCCCAGGGCTCTGGCTAACCCCACAGCCTGCAGAAGCATCTCACGAACCTTCTCTCCTTGGTCGTTCAGTAACTCCTGCACGCGGATCTCGCTGGACTCCCTGACCGCCTGGACGATGGCCTTGTGAACCGTCTCGGCAGCGTCCCTCTCGGTGGCGATCGCCGAAACGTCCTCCGACACCTTTTGAAGCACTCGGGAGACCAGCTCTGGGTCGTTCTTGGAGACTGCTCTGAACGCTGGTCCCACCAAGTCCGTTCCGTGCTCCTCTTCGAGAACCATGGACAAACGGTCGAGCACTACTTCTTCCTTCAAAGACTGACCGGTAATGGTGGACTTCAGAATGTCTACTTTGTTGTTCTTGCTGTCTAGCAGCTCCTGCAGGGTGGACTGGCACAGGCTGCTTCTTTTCTGGGGCACCAGAAGGATCTGAAGGATCTGCTCCACGGAGTCCTCGACGCTGGTGTTGTTTTGTCGTAGGAGGACGTTGAAAGCTTCGCTGATGGAAGAGTACACGAAGTCTTGCTTCGACTCGTTGCCATTGTCTGTGGACTGATCCGCGATAGCCAAAACGGCGCTGGTCATCGCCGTTTTTATCGCGCGCGTTAACCAATAATCTTCCTGATAGTTTTCTTCCCGGTCATCCCCGTTCTTGTCGTTGTTCACAATAACGGGGGATTTCCTGCCGTTCATGAACTTACTGTCCAAATAATATTCCTCGAATTGCTGTTCCTGCTGGGTGGCTATGTTCTTGGCTAACTGGGCGACGGTGGACACTATCTGCGCCATCTTCACCGCGGTCGCGCCGTGCATTCCCAGCTTCTCAGCCATTTCGAGAGCCTGCTCCAGAGCCACAGCTTTCGGGTCCACGTCAACGTCAACGGCCGGTAAATCCGTGGTGACTTTTCTCCCCACAGACAATCCAGCTTCCGACAGCTGTCGAAGCATCCTGGCGTCTATGCTCGCTTCGCCGTGATGCTGGACGTGAGGGTTGTAGTGCAGGTGTTGTGGCCTCAGCAGTCGCAGTTCCTCAGGAGTGACCTCGAACCCTTGAACAGAGAACTCCACTTCTCCTTCAGGCGTGTCCGTTAAATCCGGAGCAACGAAACGTGGACCTTCTTCCGTTTGGACGATCTGACCAGGTACAAAGGTGACACCTAGCTCTCCAGACTCTACCACGCGTCCTGGAACGAACCGTGGACCGTCAGGCGTGTCCACCACCTGACCAGGCACGAATCTGGACCCCTCGTCCTCCGTGGAGATGACTTGACCGGGGATAAACGTGGGTCCGACTTTCGTCTCGACGATTTGGCCAGGAACGAAGCGTGGTCCCTCTGCGGTCTCCACGGTCTGACCAGGTACGAACTTCGTGCCCGTTCGAGTCTCCACCATCTGTCCAGGTACAAATTTTGGTCCGCTGCTGGTGTCGATCACCTGGCCAGGTACGAACTGTTCTCCTTTCTCCGTCATTACTATCTGACCAGGCAGGAAACCGTCTTCGGTCATGACGCCGGGGACGAATCGGGGACCGTCCTTTCCTCCACGCACCAACTGGCCTGGAACGATCCTCTTCCCTTCCGGTAGTTTCTTCACGCTCTCCGGATAGAACTCTACGCCTCTCTCTGTCTGGACCATGTGGCCGAAGATCTCGCTCTGTTGGTTAGAAACGTTGGCGGTTTTCGGATCGACGGGGATGCCTATCGGGCCAGCGTCGTGGAATACCACCTCGTCAAACTTGCTGGCTGCGGCGAATTCGAAACTCTCCCCCATGGTGGTAGTTCGTCCAGGCAGGAACTTGTCGCCCTCCGCTGTTCGCACCACTTGACCCTCCACGAACTTCTGACCCTTGGGAGTGTCTAGCGTCATGCCCGGCACGAACTCTACGCGATCTCCGGTATCCTTCACGATTCCTGGCATAAAATGATTCTCTCCAAGGTTGGTAGTGACGTATTGGCCAGGTACGAACTGCGGTCCGCGACTGGTTGGTATAGTTTGTCCAGGAACGAACTTGGATTCTCCTGCCGAGGTCTCGAGACATTGACCAGGAACGAACTCCCAGGACTCGCCGACCTGCATACTTTGTCCTGGAACGAATACTTGTTCGCCGCGATGGTCGGTGATGGTCTGACCAGGCATGAATCTAGGTCCATCCGGGGTGACGATTGTCTGACCAGGAACGAAGGTTCCGTCCTTCTTCACTTGACCAGCAACGAACTTTGGCCCCTCCTCGGTAAGCACGGTCTGACCCTGGACGAATCTGGCTCCCTCGTTGGTGTGGAAGGTCTGACCCTGAATGAATTTGTGACCCTCTTCCGTGGACAGGGTTTGACCAGCCACGAACACGGGAGTTTCCTTGTCGTGCTCTTTAGCGCTGACGATTTGACCGGGAACGAGAACAGGACCATCAGGAGTATTTACGGTTAAACCAGGAACGAACGCAGGGCCCTGAGGTGTCTGTAACGTCTGGCCAGGTACGAAAATAGGCCCATTCGGCGTCTGCACAGTCTGGCCGGTGATAAATCTTTGCGCGGATTTAATGTCTAATTTCAGACCCTTAATCTTGTGCATCGTTGTCTCCTTACCCTTGCCTAGGTTCTGCACCAGCTCCGGGATCTCCTCCACTCTGGGCAACTGTTCCAGTGCTTCCTCGCCAGCTTGCAGCAGCTTCACGTTCACGTTCGATACCTCCTTTAGTTCGTTCGCTGGTATATTCCGTATGGCCGACTGGAGAACCGTGTCAGGCTCCACTTTCAGAGGTGTCAGTGGTTTCACGATGGATATGGCCTCGAATCCACCTGTACTTTCCGACACAGGGCTGGTACACGAAGAAGAGGCGCTCTGTTCCACAATTTGAGGCTCCACCTTCACAGGAGTGGGCAGTTTATCCACCACCATCTGTATAGGTGACTTGATGTTATCTTGAAACGAGTTCCAGTCCAAAGTTTCCGGTAGACTCTTCGCTTCATTCTTCACCATAGTAGTCACAGAGATCAAGTTGCAAGCCCTGATCCTAGCATGTTCCAGATCCACGTGTTTCCAAGTCTCGACCTTCTCCTCTATTACTTCTTCTTTGACGCTCCTCAATTTCAGTTGTTTCGTTTCTCTTAATTCCTCCTCCTCGGCAGCTCTCTCTTTCTCCTCGAAAATCTTTTTCGCGTAACTCAGTCCAGCCTGCCGTTTCCTCTTTCTCCTCCTAGCCTCCGCTTCCAGCCTCTCCCTCTCCTTCAGCACCTCTTCGCGCGGTCCAAGTCCATCGTAAAGGTTATCGAAGTCCTCCAGGTCCTTAAAATCCACGGACACGTTCTTGCCCTGCTTCAGCCTGAACAGAACGGTGTCGCAGTCCCTGGACAACATCACGTCCTTCACGTCGCCGTCCCTGACCGCAGCCTCCAATCTGGACGGGAACACGAGGCTGCACCGTCGTTCCTCCACGGTGTACACGAACTTTGCATCCTGCTCCTCGACGGTCGGCTGCTTCGCGTGCATCAGATCCCTCAAGGCTTTCTGCTGCTCGCCCTCGCCCTCGAGGATCGGGAACACGTAGCGATAATCCTTGAGGATCACATGTTTCTTCTTCTCTCCCAGGACGAAGCCGGCGGTGTAGTGATGCGGTCCTAGACCGGAAGCGTTCGTGATCTTGCATTTCGACTTGTCGTGAGTGTGAACACCCAACAGAACTGGAATGTAATGATGAGTAGGCAGACCGTAGGACTTGCCGGTGATGCGACAGAAACGTTTCGCGTCAGCCGGGCTGATCGGCGGCAGCAGAGGGAAGTAGTTCGGCTTGGGGAGGCCCCTGCTTCTTCCGGTTATCCTACAAAAGGACATTGTTCGTTCCCGGATCAATCGCTTCACACAATCATCGATCCTTCCCGCTTTACAGAATCATATAAATATTTCAGCGAGGTTCAAGAATACTTTTCGGTCGAGTTCAAAGTCGAGTAGCTGGATGCTGGTCAACTTTTGTTTCCCAGCCGATCGCTAAAAACTTGGCATCCTGACCGCGAGAACGACGGATTCTTGTTTTCGATCACTCAACCGCGACTTCCTTTTGGCGTTCACCTTGCCGTCAGTCAAAGCATACACTGTCGACGAGTGAATCAACGCGTATTCTTCTCTCCTCGCCATAATTCGTCCACGTGGGGACATCGCTCTCCGACAAGGCACCTTTTACTTGCTAGCAGTCCGCTTTCGTTATTTTACTCTCGTGCTCATCGAATCTTTAAAATAAAAGAAAACGTTTCGTTCGATCCTGTTCGGCTCGAATCCAAAACGCGAGGCGTCTCTTGACCCCGCGCTTATTTTTACCGTAATTTCCACGTCGTTCTCATCGGGTGCTCGTTAAAAAGTTTTCGTCGAACCCGCGACCGGCTCGCGTCGTCTCGAGAAGGCACGGTTTATTTTTACGTTCGGGATGCCTTCGAGGATTCCGCGAGAGCTCTTCTTCGTTTCGTCCCCTGGTACACAGCCAATTCGGTGATTTCCTCGTCGTAGAAAAGTGTCTCGTTTTTTTTCACCTCCCGTTGATCACCCTCGCAAGACGGTCACTCGAAGTGACCCTGCGATTTTCCCGCGGATTCTTGGCTACCCTTTTTGTCAGGATATCTTCGAGACTGGCAAGAGCCAATGACAAATGCTTCGACGCGTGATTGTCAGACGACCACCCGTTCCATCGTTTCTGTGTCTCGCGATTATTTATGACCGTGTCCGATTCGACGAGTAATGTCCAGCCTCGTTTCGAGACACGACAGCTACCTTCCAGACTGTCGATGGGTAAATTTAGACTATTCTCTTTTTATCCTGTTGGCAATTCGTCGATCGTTCACCATTCGTCCGCTGTTTATCCTCGTTCCAACGTGGCGATCACCCGATCACTCGCACAACCACCAATCGATTATCAATATCGGTGCACTGCACTCGTAGCAGAATTAAGAAACTTCACAGCCTCGAACACTCGTATACTTCTGACAATAGGTATCGAAAATAACTGAAACGTTCGTGGAAGAATCGTTCTCGAGATCAAAAATCATGGACCCATCGTGGAGCAGCTTCACAGAAATCGTCGTAATCGGTCGGAAACGAACGATGCGAGTTTCGTTTCTTCGACGAGCATGATCACGCGACGTCGATCGATATTCACGAATATTTGAACGATCTCCGAGTCGCGTCGACCGCCATCGATTCACTTCTACGTTCTCGGCTACCCGTTTCTCTCCGTGACGATTATCGACGATCACTGCGAGCTGAAGCGGACTGGCTCGCGTGACATGTCCGTCCAGGCTTGCTCAGTTCCTTGGGAAAAGAGTATTGCGATTCGCGGCGAACGCCAGACTAGCCGATGCACGAAGTGGCTAAGAGCCGTTCGCGCGACGAGTCTCTCTCGACTCCCCACGAACAGAAATAGCTACCCTTCTTACACTTCTCCAATACATCTTTAGAACGGAGTACACGGCTCCCGGAGTTGTATGTGTCGCGTGGTAATAGTGTACAACGTTGAATTTATTCCGTGGATTCGATGAGTTTGTATTTCAGCCGGGAATTCCCGATGGGTAGAGTAATGACAGGAAATGGACATTCTTGGAACTAAAAAAGAACATGCTACATGTATTCCAAGGAAACAGGACAATAAAAAGTAACCAATTTCCTGATTGAGTCAGAAATAACCTTTGTAGCATGAATATCTACCATGAAAGTGGTGCACGATAGGATCCTTGTTCGAGGTGTTAGTCCTGTAGGGTATGTTAGTTCCGTACCATGTGAATTCGAGGGAGACCTGGAAAATTTAGAATTTTAGCTGAAATCAAATTCGAGTTCTGCAAAAGAACCTAGATATTTACCAGTATGACCACACGGAAATAACTAACGTAGAAATCAACGAACCCAACTTTGATAAGTATAGGAAGTTAGCAAACGCTTATTTAACAAACAATTAGGAAAAATAGGAATGTTGATGACCGGCTATTTAGAGCGAACCGATTGTTGCCACAAACGCCTACTGCAGGTCCAATTTCTTTCTTTAGGAACGTTGCGTCATTATTTGATATAAATCGCGGGGCTTTTCGAACAGGCGTAGGTACGAGAGACTATTCTCGACCTAGTTGCGCTACGATATGAATTATGGATTCGATCCTCTAAAATTATCGAACACTAAGAGCGTCAAAGTGGAAAACGTTGTTTGGAAACAAGAATCTACATTCTGGTATTGCTATTTGAAGCTGCGAGTATGTCTCAATAATTTGATAGTGATTACAAATTGTCTGTTGAATCTGATCCTAATCTAACTTAACCTAATAGAATACATACACATAGAATATAAATATACATATACATATGTATAGAATATAAATACATATACAACCTTACATAACCTATTCCTAACTTGAACTAACCTAACCTGAACTGACATAATGTACTCTAGCAGATTTTGTTGATGACAGTTAATCTGAGATTACAAAGATAACTTAATCTGTAATTAATTAATTTAATCTATAATTTTATTATTCGATAATGTGCAGATAATAGAAGAGAAAATTGAAAACAGAATGGAACTTAACAAAGTATAAATATGTACTTATTTCTATCGATGAACTTCCATTAGACACAATTTATATTAAATATTGCGAAGATAACTAATGCCGCGAACAGACAAGTTTATTTATTTCCCAGCGCATCGACCGATTTAAGTGATATAGTGCATGATAAATTAGACGCGTACACGTGTCACTAACGCAATTTACGAAAGATAAATAAGACACCTGCTACCATTTTTCAGGAACACATGATTTCACGGTGATTGTCCGCTGAATTCTTGCGTTCCAATTCGATGACAAGTGCCAACAAACCAGTTAACGAAAATCGTCGGAGCACTTTACATTCAAAGAATTCTGGTATCTTGGTTTCCTGCGCTACGGGTTCTGGTGGGACAGGAAATTGTGAAGGATGCTGTCTTTTCTCCCGAAGACTTATCTAGGAGGAAAATATCGAGATTACTGTAGTATTCAGAAGATAAAAATGATTATAAAAGTTCCCAAAAATCTCTAAGTTTAAAATAAGATTCAAAGCAACTTTTCATCCAACAAGTTTGCGACAAATATATTTTGTTGTATCCAGCTAGTCATCAACTGTTTCGTGCCCGTTTGTTCCCAGTGATTTACGATAGTGCTTGAACTTAGAATGGGACAATAACTGTTGCACCGCTCAAGGCTCACTCTGATTTACGTCGAATCATTTCCACCATGAATTTTGGTCAAAGGCATCATGATCTTAATAGAAGTGACACAAAAAACTGTACGGTCTTTGACCTCTTCTGACTCAGAAATAAATTCATATTTATATCATCTCCCATTTTTATTTTGACTTCTGTCAATGAATAATGATGCAGATTTTCGTTGAAAGCCTCTAACTCATTTTTATTACACTGTAATATTTACATCTGTTTGCAGTTATGTCCACGCAACTTATTCGAGACTTCACCTTTGAAATATTAAAGATGTATAGAAAACAGGGTAAAATTGCCAGACATAAACATGAGCGGGCGTTGAATTTCCGGTCGAAGCGCCACGATTACTATTGGCACATCAATGCTCTCCGTTGAATCTCCACATCTGATTGTCTGCCAAGACCCGTTAAGCTGGACGAAATTTAGCGTGTCAACGGCACTCGAGTGATTCATCTCATTTACGTCGAATGATTATCGATAACGACGCGATTTGTCGCGACGATTTACTCGTAAATTCGCAGAAACGAATAAAGGGAGCCTACTATAAATCATTCGACGGAAGGGTAAACGATAAATTAATCGAGCCGTATATTAAAGAAGCGACTCGATAGAAATATTCAACGTCGCGCGATATAAATTGAGAGAAAAACCTTGAAACCGTGCAAGATGCAGGAACGCTATTTCTAAAGTTTTATTCGGTGCGGAGATCGTAATGCTGTTCAAACATTTTCCGAACAAAGCACCCGTTTTAACGGCTGATTTATGGTTAACTGAAAGCCAATTCTAAACGTGTCTGAGTACGGGTCGTTACATTCCTTGGATACAAGTCAATTGACTGGTATATGCTTGTCTGGATGATTACACATCAAGAGATAGGTAATGGACAACAGTGAAATCCGATGAGAGTTCGAGTTTCCAGCATCTTCGGCTTCGAGACAAAGGTGCCTAAAATTGAATCGGTGATATTACTCCGAAGAAGTTCACAGTGTCGAGGACAGTTGCTTTGTTTGTGAAAAGACGTATGGATACCAAAAATTCCATGGTAACTGATTCTATTTTTACATACCTACTTTACTGCAAAATATTCCAAAAGCTATTTCAATTAAAAACTGAACTTGACCTTGAAATACTTCTTCAGAAGTTTATATTACATATCCTCTGCCAAGTAACTTTGTTATTTTAATTTTAAGTTTCGCCAGAGATATTCTCGAGCAAAATGGGTAGCGCTTGAAGTTACCTACAATAGTAAAATACGTAATGAAAGGTTCATCGACAGAACATAAACAGCAGGTGTATGAAGTCTAAATTAGTACAATCCATTTTGGCACGTAACGTTGTTGTGTGACAGGCGAAAACATCAGGATGTTTGCTCTGAATACAATGTATCCAATCTTTGCACTCCGTCATGTGCCAAAGTATTAGTAAATATTCGACATTTTCATCGCGGAGCACGAATCAAAAGACGAGAGATCACTGACACGATCTTTCTCCTGCTTCCGAAACGCAAACCAGACAGTCTTTGATTCCTTAATCCTATCATGGGAATTAAACACGCTGCTTGGAAACAGCTGGTGCTATGAGAATAGACAGTGTTCCGAAACGGATTGTTCCTTCATCAATAAACTTTATGTTCGAGTGGTCTTCACTCTAGGTAAGAAACTTCCAAATCTTCAAGTTAAATTTTCTAGTTTCCTAAATTTCTGAATCTCCAAATTTCTGAAAGCATAACAAATCTCTGAGCAAATGCATAAATCTTCAACCTCTCATATTCTTAAATTCCTCAATATAGTTGAGGACTATATTTCCAATAAAGCTTAATACAATTAGTACATAATTTCCTTAATGCAAAGCCACAATTAGCGACGCAAATAAATCGGAGTCCTCGTTAGTGCTGTATCGCGCTGGCAAGACCAATAACGCGTCACCCGACTAAGTATTCTTCCGATAGCAGGAGGCATGTCCAAGAATGTCAGATGCATCGCAATTAATTAAGACTTAATTAAGGATGAAAACGAGACGTGTTGGAATCGGGTGGCATGCGCGGCATCGTCTACGACAAACGCCAAACAGGCCGTCCTTCCAGGAAGCGTGAAACAGCGACAGAATGCGTTTCCTATAAATCATGCCGTGCGGTGAAGCGGCACGGGGGCGAAAAAAGAAAAGGAAAGAATTTGCCCGAGTGAATCAAGGGGCGAGACAGTCGGCGAAGACAAGGGGACGAGGGGATCGTCCAGAAGAATGAGAGACGTGTTCGTGCATTGCGGGAGTAGTTGGAATGGCGGCGAGTTCTTGGTTGTCTTCAGTCGTTGGCATCGAACCAGATATTCTATCTACCTTCGTGGTGCGCCTTGGTTTTAGTTTAATTTAGATGGCGGTATAGTGACGTAACGTATTTAGCGTGAACGGGTGTATATTTTGTTAGTTGCCATTTAGTCAATTAAAAACGCTGGTCCTTTGCATGGTCCTTTCGGGAATAAACGGGCACTCAAGCTCCTTCTGTATACTGCACATTCGGGTACAACGTATGCTTCCTAAGAACCAGGGCCACTTGTCCCTCACTTTAGATAAAATATGTACATTTGAAAATGTGGAAATTTTCAAAGTTACAAGTTGTAAGGTGCGAGTGATATTAACCTTAAAGTGGTTACTCTCCTATTCTAAAAGGAAGAAATTGGATAATTTCTAATATTGTGTATCCTCTCAACTGACAACTTGCCTGATAGGTTACTACTCTAATGATAAATTGTATTAATTTAATAGTAGCTCACCCTGCCTGATGGTTCGAGAGCGACTCCTTCTCTTCTAATGACTCTAGTTACCTCCGTTGAAGATTCTAAACAGACATTTAATGGTGACGATTACTATTTCATAATTAGTATTGTAAAAGAACTTAACCAAGATTGAATAACTTACCTTTCGTTTTGGATGTAATCGAAATGTTGGAAGCCATTGCAGTGAATTCCACATTACACCATAATTCTAGAAAAACATACAGTAAATGTCATTTAATTTGAAATCGGTATTAGATTCGATGCGAATTTCATATTTTTGTGTTTTTCATAACGATGCTGCCATCTTAAGGAAAGCAACGACAATTCGAATATCGGAATTCAGTAAAGAAGTAAACTATTTTTCGACCGGTTGGTAACTTATCGACTTTGTACAAAAAATATTTTCGAAAATGTGACACTCTTTTTCCATTAATACCGACATATTTCATTGGTTTTCTGAAGAAATTTGACTAAACCAACCTCACACTTCCATCTAAAAGCCATGTAACAATGATTTTGAAAGTACATCAAGCCACATTTTTCACTGATGAAAAATAAGCAATTTATGACCACAAAATTTAATCTACGTTTACCTTGAAGTCGTTATCTTTTGTATTAAATAATTGATGTAACACTTACATCTATGACAACCTTTAAAAATAACTTTTCAATCAAATTTCTTCCTCCGCTGTCAATTTCACATTTCGAAGCGCATTTAACCACTGCGCATGCGCACTATATTTCATATGGATTTCAGCGCATGCGCAATAATTCAACAGAACTACTTTACCGCGCAATTTTATTTGCAATTTTTTAAATTTTAAATACAGAAATTTGTGAAGAATATAAAATATAGTTTTAACTTATCTAATATATAATATCGACAATAATCTTTAGAGAACATTACGATATGAAAACCGTTATAACTGTAAATAATAATAAACGTATCATAGGTGTCGTGACTCTACCAGCGCGGCAAATTTAAATATCCCAACGAAATCGAATTCGATCAATTTCATGGGAGAGAAATCGAACGTTGTACATAGATGGTTAAAGTGGCGTCGGCGGATCAACCTTTAGTTTAAGCGAAATCTATTTCCGACACGCGGCACCCGTATACGTTCGTCTGATTGGCTGGCCCGCTTGCACCGCCAGCGCAGGGTTGGCCGCATTTTCTTGTATTTCACTGCTAATCGGGTCACTTCCGCCATTGATTTCGAAGTCGAACTCCACAGGGAGTAACGTAAAGTCACGAACAAATAAATGCTGCACCAGGCACACCATGTTTCGAACAAGCATTATCGGAACCACCGCGATAAACAACCAGAAACAGCCGGCTTTGATGCCGCATATACGCTCTTTAAATCGAATAATAAACGAGCCTGATAGCGCGCAATTTACAAATTCTGATATACATAGAGCAGAAAAATTGAATCGATTCTTTTATTACATTACCGAGCAACAGGTTAGCACTGCACCCATAAAATCATAAATTGCATACGATTATAAAAAAATGTATTCAGACTTTGCAATTAATCCGCTGACACCTAAGCGAGCACCCTAAACTCTGACGTGACCAAATGAAAATACGTCTGCTCCGCTGATCCAGATAGATGGGCTCGAATTCTTTTTTTAGACAGTAAATAAGGCAGGAAGCAAATCCGAGCTTCGAGTGCGAGATGATTGAACAGCATCGTACATCGACTATGGATCGTAAAATCTCCATCGTACGCAAAAGCAACACGTTGTTCCTCGATCAAGGTGGTTTGATATTTTGGGTCGCAGGTTGCACGCACGCTCGCGTGCACTCCCTTCCTCGCGGCCACGCTTGCCCGCGTAGTCATCTTTCCGCGAAGCGAAAAACTTGGCCTTCGCTGCGGCTGGACCGCGATTTGATTCACTGGACGGCCAACTCGCGGGGAAACTGTGCCAGGAAAATAGCACAGCTATTTTACGAGCCACCTTGAGCAGAATTTCATTTCGACGCGGCCCTCGCGATGTGTTTATTAGACGAGGTGACAGTGTCATCGCACCGGCTGCTGGATTCGGCCACAACCTTGTCTCCCTCTAAATAATGAGCCTGCTCCGGATAACAGCAAGAAACAAGACGATCAAAAAAACGATACTCGACGTTTGGTCACAGAACGTTTGCATGGAAAATTCGTTTGTTTAATGCTTGGTCGACACTGCTAATTAGGCTTTGCTAGATAAATGGTCGAGAAGATAAGACTATATTTGCGTAAACAAATAGCGTGTTACATTACTTTCGCTTCGAAGAAAATTCTATCAATCATAGCGAAGACCTGTTACACCCTGTACATATGGCTTCCGGGTGACGAGACGACAGCGTTCCATGTCTGTCATCGCGTCAACAGCTCGTTAGTCGAAAGACACCGTATTAGCCATATACTCGATTGTCTTTTATAGTCCTACAATCGTCACGAAAAATCTTTTACCACATCTGAACATCGCCACCAATGCATTTCAACAGGTAATTCACTTTAGACCGACTGTTATCGACATTATTTTCTTAATAAAAATAGTCGTTCAATTACATTGATACGTTCGGTACATTCCTGCCTTCGGTACATCCCTTGAATTACAATTAAAGTTTCTGGATTTTAGTTGGTAATATTTTTAGAATCATGGACTCAAAATGTATTTTAAATTGTATAATACAAAGTTAGTAGTATAGCAAAGCAATAATGTAATAATATAGTTTTATGTTATCTTAGCACCAAGGAAAGTATAAAATGAAATCCCACAATTATGACACGCGGATGACAGCGGTCGCCAATGAGAAATGTGACACTGGTGGCGAACACGTTAAATGTAGTAAACAAGATTCTCGTGATAAATATTCGTCGGTCCACATCTATTGTTCGAAGAGTATCAGAAGAATCGTGTGACACGAGGATCAGCGAATCTCAAGGTCGTGCTCGTGAAAACGCAAGGTACTTGCCACGTAATATAATTCAATTGCACAAATCACACCGGTGGCTAAAGAAGACGGCTAGTCCGAGTCCCAAAATAAGCGCGCAAAATTCACGCAGCATCGTTCAAGGCCAGGCAGGATCGGGGAAGAGAACCCGTCAATATCTGGCTGGATCAGCGAAGAGGTTCCTGAAGGGTTCGTTTGTTCGGTACAGAGGCCGCCTGAATACGAGAGTTCGACACTTGCACAACACTCACGAAAATAGCACGTCGAAGAGCTGACACGATGGCCAGTGGAAGAGGAAAGAATGAAGCTGAGGAAAATGCTAGCGGAACTCACCTCCGGCAAAGGTTCTCTTCGATTTTAATTATTTTATTTTAATCCAGACGGCCTCGACACCGACGCTGATCACCGGTTAACGCGGATCAGCCACTGGATATCGTTCACCACTTTGCGCTCGGAATCCCCGAATAAATCCCCCGAGGCGGTGAGGAAGCCAGCCGGCGGCTATCTCGAGACTGCTACCAATGCCAGTCGCAACGCGTCCCGACACCCTCCACGCTTCTCTGGCTACCTCTTCTTCTTCATCGCTGTCCACTTCGTCTTCTTTCCTTTCTTCCCTTCTTTCCTTTCTTCACGCCGTGCACCAGCACCGTTCTGTTGTTTCTCTCGTCCACTCGAGCGAAACAACGCACCTGTTGTTCCAAGCACCGATATAAGGATTTGCAAGTCCTCCTGCAATTGAAATAATAGAATAAGTATTTCTCTTCAGAAAAGACGTGTGAAGTTTTATGAACTGTTTTTGTTTATGAATGACTGTACCTACCTAGTAACATAAACCTTGAGTCAAATATCTACTGTGTAATATATTACAAGATGAGGTTGAAGAAAGTACAAATAAATTCTAGAGTCAACTACCTGCGTTATTTCAATAAATATGACTGTAGACTTCATCAGTTGTTAAGAAACTTGATATTACAATGCTGTTTACGTCCAGTGAATGTTTGTTTCACTCGAAGAGCGTAGAAATCGCGACCTTTGGTATTCTTCCTCAGCTTCCTAACGGTGCTGTATCCGAGCCAAGGGTTACCTAAATAATTAACGACGAATCATTTCACAATTCTGAAGCACCAAATTGCGATGGCCATTAAGGCCATTAAAAGAGACGGTTCCGCAGTAAATATTGACTTTCTAGCGGAATTAATTTCCGATCGTGTCGCGCTCCTAATCGCGTTCGACGAAGCGGCTGTACGCGCGCCAAGGTTCAATTAAACAATTAGAAATACTCAATTACGCAACACCGCAGGCATCGATCGTTTAAAAATACTATCGATTTCACAAGTTTTTTTCTATCATCATTTCGACTCGTTCATTTCCGCAGAATTACTTTACAATTTATTTCTATCACAGGTTGTGGTATTGCAATGTATCGGAACATGTCACAACTACGTTGCAATCGCCGGAAATATAACGCATTTTAATTACAATATTTTACGATCATAACGCATTACAATTACAACGCTTCACGATCGGAACACAGCAATATAGCAAAATGCAATTACACCGTAAGTACAATGCATCGACCATACAACACGTGGCAAGTATAATATATCATCTATAATACGATCCTTACACTAAAATAATGGCGCAATTAGAGTACGCGAAAGTCCACGTGACTGTGGCAATATAACGAGATCCTACTGTATGTGCTTGCAATATCCCAAAGATCGGTTCGGCTAGTTCTAATAATAATCGATGCCTACGTGTCTCCAGGGATCTCGATATACGTGTTGTATCCGTGATGCGTTTTGTACCGACCGTAATTTCTCCGAGAGACTAGCCGTTCGTTACTCGTCCTTTTTGCTGCTCACAGCCGGCTTCTGTCCGGCGCCGATGGTACTTCGACGGATCGTTGGGAGTCTATTTGCGTTCTGACTTGGTTTTAATACGTGCACCACGCGGCCACAACGTTGATGCACTTTTATGACCGATAAAATACAGGGTGTTTCTGAAACAGATTCATCAAAATTTTGATCAACGTCTCATACAGATGTCACATCTTTCATTAATAATTTTGCTGGTTCGAATGAATCCCATAAAATTCATTTTACTTTTTTACAAATTTAACCACCCTTTCATGTAAGTTATTCAGTTTTTCTTTATCTACAAAATACGCTAGAAATGTTTCATTCCTTTCAAAAGGAATGAGTTTTGTTACAATGTAAGAGCAACGGTCAGAAATAGTGGGCACTTCGGCGAAATTATGACCTGCATAATTTAGAATAAATCAAACTATTAATGCTTCCTGCGTCGTTCATTTCGTTTGTAACAAACTAAAGCAATTCCTGTAAGATCTGTCGCACTAAACAACGAAACAAATCTCCTAGTTCGAGCTACATCGAAAGACAATTTTGTGCCGATGAAACAGATAGCTATAAGTTCATTTCCGTGTTATTAATGCAGCCCAGCAGCGTGTAAGACATTCATACGTAATATCTGACTAATTGAGGCCGACGCGTGTACTTGGCGATCATCCAAGTCGCTTTGATCGCCGGCAATCGACCTTATGCTACACTCGTGTGCCCATCTATATGCACGTGTACGCTCGAACGTGTATCTACGGATTTAAGTACACCAAAGCGGGCAAATCGAACACCCAAAGACCACTTGTGCGAAAATCCGGTTCGCGGAAGCGAGGTACAAAATCAGATTTCCAAAGAATTCGATGGTGATACGATCAAAGCGAATCTTCTCTCACTGCTGGAAAATAAATCCCCTCAGAGAAAATCAAGGGAAATTCCTTGCAGGCTGAGGACAGTGAACATACTCTGAACGAATGAAAAAGAACTCTGAATTATCGATCAGATGACAAAAGTTGATCGTCGAGAAACGAGCATCGAATCTCGCGCGAGCGCTTTCCGTGTTTATCGGACATGTGTCAACGCGTAGGAAAATCCGTTCATCGTAACTGATCAACGAGGAAAAGAGACCTGCAAATAGAATCTGGGTAAATTGCGATGATCGTGTAAGATCACAATTGAGGTACAAGCTTGAAGACTAACCAGTGTCCGCTGATTCAATGGCACCAGCACCAATCTTTTCATCGATTCACCTTGCAGAGGAATGCTGCTAAGTTTATTCAAGTACATCCGATTCTATAAGTCAACCTTTAGCCAAATTAACTGAACCTTCTGTAATAAATAAAATTCCCAGGTTGGCCATGATCGTTTCGCTACTAATCGGCGCAGTTTGCATTGAAACCAAAGACTCACCAGTTAAGGACAAAGCAGGAGTGGAATCACCCGAACGACGCAATGCTGTTCTGAAAGAAGAGTCTATCGACAATCATGAAGATTTTCTTGTGCAAAAGCGACAGTCGAGCAAACACAACAGATACTCTAATGATCAGGATCCGAGGAGTCGTAGGTGTTCAGCGGAGCGTAGAACTTCTCGAGCAGGCGTCAAAGATTTAGCAAATAAGATGGCCAAGGATGCGTTGAAGTCTCCGAAGATGCAGGAGACCATGAACAAACTCAGTCGCGTGGCCTCGAAGCCTCATGGTACTCTCATTGCTACGGTAAAGGTGCCGGTTCCGAGAAAATCTGGAGTGAAAAAGTCACGTAGTGAACAGAAGCACGACAGACACAAGGGACGAAGAAAGTCGAAAAGTAAAAGGTACTTGAAAATCTTTGGGTTTTATGCTTGATCCATGGTGTATATATTTGATAATTCACCTTCTTTATTACAAGAACATCGTGTTCATTTTCACAGACACCATCGAAGATACAAGAACGGGCATGGCTGGAAGGGGGGATCTTCCAAGGTAGGTAAGCTTCGTTCTGCAATTTTCAACAACTCTCCCGAGTTCCCATACGTTGACCCTTGCTACGTTTAAACATCTCGCTTACTCAGAGAACGTCGGACTCTGGCAGGGACATTAACTCGTTAACAAAGGACCTAAGCAGAAAGGAGAAATCATTAATCAAGTGTAATCAAGCAGTTCCGGACAAATCGCCTGCAACGCCAAAGTCCAATGTAAAGATTACCCACGTAGAGGATAGCGATTACATTGACTTTTCTTCGCCCGTGAACACCGAATCTCTCGTGTCGAGCAAATTACCAGAAAACGAGAGCCCCGTGAAGTTACACGACGACGAAAGGATGATTGACAAACTGATGCGAACGACGACGAGAGATCCTTTGAAGAAGAGTCCTGGGGATCAAGGGATCGAGTATTCCGATTATTACAGTGACAACGACGTTCTCGAAGACCTCGCAGCTAATAAAATCCCGATGCAAATTGCTCGCTCGAGAAATTCCAATGACCGTTTCGCGCGAGAGACCGCAAACTTCACGTCCCATCGTCGAGTCGACAGACACGTTCCTCCACAGCATCGTAACCACGTTGCTCGTAGGAAAAATTTCAAATACCCTGGTAAAGCTGCTAAACGTTCCTTTCACGGCTATCCTACACGGCGATTTGTTGGGTCAAATCGATTCCTGAGAACAGACGACTCAAGATCCAAAGACGATCAGTACGAACACTTAGACCCGATGTATTCTGTCAACACCGATGAAAATCAGCAGCCTAAACAGGAAGATCCTGACGTATTTCAAAACGAGGACACGTCGGATGACGACGGGTCAAACGACGTTCAGCAACAGAATCCCGAACAATTTAATTATTTAACCCAATATGAAGTACCTCAGGAAGGAGATTTTGGAAGCATGAATGAAGCTGCTGTGCCACAGGAAAGTATGGATTTTCCGCAGGATGAAAATTCGCAGCTTCCAGAGAGATTCGACAGCCCTGATATGCAAAACATAGAAAACTATCAGCCAGGGGACACGAGTTTACAAGTAGAAAATTTCGATCAAAATTTTATGAACCAACCTAGAATAGAGAACGTAGATCCATCAATGGAGAATATTAATGGAGGATATGAAGTTCAGTCGCCCAGTTACCCTGTCCAATCATACGGTAATTTGGAGGAGACGCAAGATGTTGGGAAAGATGTATCGATGCAGAGCACAAATAATCTTCCTCATCCTAATAGCGCGATGGATCAACCTCTTGGAAAGATTCTGAAGTCCCTGGGTATCAATATTGACGCGGATTCCGGTGATAAAAATCAGAACGCAAATTTGGAGAACGGTAATTCAGAAAAGATGAAGGTTCCAGTGTTATACCCTGACTCGCTCGAACGTCCAGAGGAACACGCTCCCAGTTACCTAAAACATGGAGCTAAAGCAGAGATCAATAGAAACGAGGTGATAGAAAAGAACCGAGCGATGCAATCCAGGAATGGAATGGTGGGCCACTCGAGAAGACATTCGCTCCAAAACGATAATCAGTTTTTACCGTACACGGATAGCCCAGCGCACCATATGAACATTTCCATCGCCGTTCAAGACACCAAAGAGATTGCCACTCAAATACTGGACACGATCATGGAAGAACTGGAAGAGTTGAAGCTGGATCGTTCGAAGAACAATAAGAGAGAAGGTACGAATTATTCGCAGAAACAATGGTGATGATTCTTGGCCTGAAACTTGGCTATCCCTGATATGTGAAACGAGCGATATTTTTAGGCTTACCTTGCCGTTTGTCAGGGTCCTGGTCAACAGCCCAGGCCGGGGTGAAGCTGGACATGAGGGTCGCGAATCGTACTATAATCGTGACGGTCTCGGAGCTTGCGACACCTCGTTTTCACGAAAGCCTGCTCAACGGAACGTGGAACGTTTCCGGTCACGCTCCGTTTAAACGTGGCTCACCCTTCACTCTGATCGCTACAGATAATAATACCAAATCCATAGCTGTGTTCGTCGGTACGTAATATATCTTCCATGAGCGACTTACTAATGGATTACGCTCCCATTACATCGCCATTGTCGTTATGCATCTCCATGCATAATAGTGACGCTTCTCGCCATTGATATCCGCATTATTGCTAACTCCCATTGTTGCGTGTTAAATCGCTACCCGTTATATCATCGTGCTCTTCATTATGCTCCGTATCACCACATATTATATCAACGTGCATGATATCGTCCAGCTCTGTACATGATTCTTGCATTGTTGACTCTTCGTCAATTCAATTTGGTACATTCGTAATCTTCCACAAACAATTATCCGTTTATTTGTTCAGGTGCCTGCAGAGTATGCCAAGGAGTGGACACTATAGCGGGCGTTTGGTCCGTCGCTCGCCAGCCGAAAGATTGCAGAGACTTCCAGGTTGCTACTAGCGTCTTCAACGATATCTTTCGAAAAACGAAACTGTCCAGTTTAAGAGAGAATCACAATTCAACAGGGAGCGAAAATGGGGCACTGAACCATGAGAAACGGAAGAGTTAGAAACAGTTGCTACTGAAATCCGTATGATGCGGAATATTAAAAAATAAAGGGACGGGTGAACGAAGTTGGAACTTGGAGATGGAACTACGATTTAAGACAGATATTGATTTTGCAGACGTAGATGATTCACGCAGAAACGTGAATAATGTCTCGATATAACAACGCTTAATGTAGAATATTTTGTACTATGATGTAAGTAGTTTCTAATAAAGTCGATGTTTTGTACCGTACAGATTTTAATGACTATTTCACATTCTCTCTTCGTCGGACATTTATTGACTCTACCACGATCACAACACATAGACAAACTTTCTTTAACAGCTCGTTACAAATTAGATTCCCGTCTTCCCAAACGCTGACGAATCGTATTGATACCCGACACGAGGATCTGCAAATATTTGACATTTATATTTATAGTACATTTTCGATCAAAATATATCACCTTTAGTAGTCCAATCTGTTCGGTCCCATCTGAACTGTGTACCTGAATCGAAACAACCTTTTCAGTATCTCCAAACGCGTACTCTTTTAAATTGAAGTTAGCAAATCTAGGATAATTTTTAAAATCAGTATTCTGTTTAAGAAAAACGCTGCGTTTTATCTTACCCCACTTCTACGCATTCTTTTATGTCAGTCTCTTCAGGAAAAGGTTCAGAGACGACAATAAATCTTATGTTGGGATTCGTACTGCCGTCGAGCATTGCTCGTAACATGCTATTCTGCATTGCGTGTGTCTCCTCGTCTACCTTAAACTCTACATTTATAACGGTAATATTATTATTCGAGTTTTATCTTCATGTACTTATAATTCATTACCAGAACTATTAAGTTTTAGATACCACATACTTTAGACATCAGGTACCTAATTGTTAGGTATCCAAGTACTTGAACAACAGGTACCAAATTAGATAATAAAGTACCTCATTACAGTTCACTTTAACCTAACCATCCACTTTGTGAATGAGATACTTTATAAATAAATTGTGCAGTTACTTCTTCTGAAGTTGTAAAAGAGTTTCGTTTCCGGAGGTCGTGGTTTCATAACCGACATTGTTTCCATATCAGCTCCAGCATAGCCAAGAAAAGAATACTCGATGTAAAGCAACTGAACCTCGTCGTTTGTAATCAAGGAACTCTTCGGGAAAAGGATCATGCTAAGGATGTCGATGCTTATCGTATCCGTGTCGACTTCCTGCAAACGGAGTACTTTAGAAAGGAAACGTTTAACATAGAGTTTCCGAAAAAATATGATTCGTACAACGTCGTCGGTAAGTTCATCATCATCGGTGTGCTCTTTATCGGGTTCACCGTTAGATTCTGCAATTCATTCACGTAAATGATGTGCGCCTACAGTTTACGATAGTTTAAATAGTTACTGCGTGTATGAGCGAAGGTGAGCACGCTTCGTCGCTTGTATTCTTCCCAGTTCTTCTCGGAGAGCACGTTGGTTATTTCGGAGATGGATTCGTTCGAGTCTTCCGGGGTCATCGTTTCCTGATTCTCCTGTGCAGTTTCATGAATCGGTCTACGACAAAGTATTGAAAAAAGAAATTTTGAGAATATTTCATACCGTCGACATGTAACTTTTGAACTCCTCCACGCTCGTTCTGTGATTGCTAGAATTTGTTTCTATCATCCCTGGGATACTGTGCGAGGCTGTCCTTAATTCCACACTTGTTAGAAATACGTTTCGCAATTACTATATTCGTTTACAATTACTGTATTAACGAAAAATATCATTGAAGAAAACCTCTTTTGAAAATCGTGTGTCGGTAGAGGTTTATCTGACTCCCCTCTATCGACCTTGATGGACCTTTGAACCTGCAAAGCAAGTCTTGCATTTTCAAAACTGGAACGAGAATGAGCCTCCTCCTCGCTCTCCTTCATCACGGTCAAGGGGATTTTGCTAAAGGTTGTCGTGTTATCTTCAGGGACATCGGTCGTGTCACCTGAACACAATACATTCATATAACCTACTCCGTCTAACCTATTGCTATCAAATACGCAATTTACTTGACTCGTTTAAGTAATCAGTCTGCTTGTAAGTAGTGACCACATCCTTGGACGGTTCGTATAACAGACGAGATTTTTCATTCGCGTCCTTCAACACCTTAATATCATCCTGCGCCGGCAAGCCAGTTCTCACCGGCGTTTCTACAACAGGTGGAGGCAAAACAACTGCCCTCGGTTGCGTGCCACTCCGATGATCCGTGAGTATGCCTCGCGTATTCTTGAACCTGTCCACCTTCTTGACGTCGCAGCTCAGTCTGACCCACAGGGATAATTGACCGAAGTTCATGCCCAGCGAGCAAGGAAGTACGCTGTTCACCGGAGCGATATAATGAAGCTTGTTCTGCGGGTAGTCCAGTATGTCCTTGATGCAGAGTTTCCCTTTGGATACCGTGTAGTCGTCGCTGTTCTCGTGAGTTACATTCACGTGGAAGACCACGAACTCCAGTAAGACGTAGTTGAAAAAAGAGAAGAGGTTCGAAATTCGATAGACGAACGACGAATTGAAGTTGAGCTTAGGACACTTCTGGGAAGGTGTATAAGTCGTCTCTTGGTTCCATATGTCCCAGCTCACGAATAACGACACGTTGTCGATGTTGGCCTCTCGATACAGGATCTGTTTCGCCTGGAGGAAAATGGTGGGAAATGTTTGGACGTTAGGAAAGAATATTTGTTAATAACGTGGATTAATTAGGAGCCAACCAGCAAGACTGGGTTTTCAAATACATTACTTTGCTGTCTACAATTTCTGAAAAGATACTAACACAGGTTGAGAGTTGTAGGGACACGATGTGAAGCTCCAAAAGTCCCTGACCCTCGGGAATCACCAAAGGAAACGAATCCGATAAGGAACTCAAAGCGTCGATACATTCGTTTGGACAGTGAGGGTTGCAGTAGGATTCTGTTCCCTTGGTTTCAGGTCCATCAGTAACGTCCCGGCACCGCATCTCCTTCGGTTTCTCGCGGTTTTCCTTCATCTAAACGTTTCAACCTTTGTATTTTGCGTATCAGAGTGATATAATTCTTCCTCTTACTGGAATCCCAGCTGCGTTGCTTAATGTACGGCTCTGGTTAACAAGTTCTTTGCACTTTTGCAACTGTTCAATGTATTCCTGCAACGGTCTCTGACTGTCCAATGTGTCCCTCATTTTAATTGGAGCTGCGTGTTGTCCCCAAATACTGTACGGGTTTGTATCGTCATCATCCTGTAACTTACTTCAAAAATAGCTACGTGAGTTTCGTGAACCGTCAAGAAAATTCGCGTGACAATCTAACGAGTGCTAAACAGAATTTACGATCGCTATACTTCGGCGGGCGTACCGTGGAATAAACGTCGCGCTTAGAGTCTTCGATGCTTTCTCATTCTTTTTAAAGCACGACGGGATATTGGGTGATGTGTTCTTCTGGACATTAGAGACATCTTCCGTGATCGATCTCAAGGGATTATCGCTGCAACATCGTTGTTCGCAGCTAGAATTGATGTTGCACTTCATTGAGTTGTTGCAGGTACAATCTTGACTGATCTCATTGAATTTAGTAAAACGATCGCGTTTCCTGGTGCCCCAAACTGTTCTTTTTCTTAGCTTCTCCGAACGTGGTCTTTCGTAAGGGCTCGCACAATATCTTCTTCCGCTGCAACCGACTTGTAAAATATTGCTCGTAACGTTCTTGTTTTGCACGTCGTAATCAAGGACGGTATTCGTGTATTTTTCACCGAAATCTTTCGTTGCTGCGTTGTTATTGATGTCTTTTATAAATCGGTAATCAGGTGAAATTGGAGGGCATACAATAGTTCCATCGCCTATTAAGTGGGTCTTAGTATACCCTTGTAGGATATTGCATAAAATACACAATATTTTATTAGGATCCGTAAACTGGCTCAGCGGAGGTTGAGTAGGATTTGGGTTGTTACTTTCCTGCTGCTGCTTTGTGGACTGAAGTTGGCTTGCTGGGTTCGGTTGAACAAGCTTTTCTGTATCGCTGAAACACAGTCTAACGATAATCTGGAGGATTGAAGAAAATTTAAGGAAAGCATATGGTGCAATGAAGAACAAGAATTATGAAGAAATAAATCTTCAATTACTATTATTATTATATTACAAGAAAACCCACTTATACAGTATAAGTATTAAAATGTAAAAATTAAATTAATGTAAAACATTAAAAAATTATTTCAGAACGAACTTATTTTACGAATTCAGGTAACATATTATAATCCTATTAGCTCCAAATATTATCTAGTACCTTAAAAAACTACTTTTATCCTATTCATTAAATCTCGCATGTTTTGTGAACCTGGAAGCTTCGAGATTCTATAATGTTGCAATAATCATTTAACTGGAAGAACAGCTTTAAACTTCCACGTTCAATGAATTAATTACTAAAATACATTCAACTAAACTTTCAGTAGCCTACCTAAGTACTAGATACTGAGTAACTAAGGTACCGTATCCAAATATTAAGTATCTAGACATTAAGTACTCAGGAACTTTTAGAATAATATTCCCATTAAAATTAAACTTCTTACACCGTTAATCAGTATTTGTCAGCAACTAGAATCACCAAAGAGCAGTTTTTCAAGGGAGACAACTTGCCTGTGTCTCTGGTTTAAATCCAACAAATTGTAGTCCACATTGCCGATCATATCTTTCTGAGCGAACCTCACCGAATCTGGGGAAGTATTAATTTGTGCTTGCTCTAAAAGTTTCAACATCTTCTCCGGCGTTAGGGGATTCTCTGTAGGTATGCGTTCCACGTTTTCCTTAACAGGTTCCTTTGCAGATTTTTTTTCAGGTTCCTTCGCCGTTTCTTTTACGGGTTCTTCTTTTTTTGGATTCTCTTTAAGAGGTGTCATAGGGTTGGGGTTTGTAGCACTCTCGGTATCCGAACGAGCCACGAATTCTGTCTGCAAACATTTATCGACCGAGTTGGCGTTCTTTCGAGTCACGCATATATTTTCTTCCAATTGCAATATTTTCTCGAAAGCTTCACAACATTTCTTGCACCTCTCTACTTGACTCGCAGTATTCTTGTATGAATCTGGTTTATCAATTATTTGCGGATTCTGCATATCGTTTTGCTTCGTTGATATCTGTGTTGTTTTCGTCGTTTCCTGTTTCTCCGTCTGTGTCTGAAAAGACTGCAAGATAATGCAATTATTTAGCAACGACAAACTTTAGACAAAAAAATTAAGGTATTAAAGGGAAATTCGAAAACGATCACTCATGTGAAGAACTGTAGGTTCATAAATTCTCAAATTCCTAAATTTGCAAATATTCAGCATGCTCAAAAAAAAATTTACACACTGACCGTAAACTGTACCGTTAAATTATCTATATTCTTCTGGAGCTCTTGAAGTTTCTCTAGTAACTGTTCATTCGAAGTTTTGAGAGCAACGATATTGGCTTGTTCGCTGTTGAAAGCGTTTTTCAATGTTTCCTGATCCTGTAGCTGTTCCGAGACTTTCCTCTTCAGCTCCATGTTCTCCTGTTCAATCTCTCCGCGTTTAGAACTAAGTTCAACGAGTTCGTTATTATGCTGTTGCAATATCTTCATTTCGTTCATCAGATCGTTTATTTGCTCCTCTTTTTCTCGTAACATGTATTGAGATTCCTTCGCTTTCAACAATTCCTCGTCAATCCCTGTTATTCGTTTTTTTTCTTCCATAAGGGCCGCGGTGAGTTCATCCTTCTGCCTAATAACGGTATACAGTCATTAAGTCGGAAACAATTTTTAAAATAAGGTTTAACGAAGTGGAAAATGTAGGAGACTGTTACAAGAAACAATGACTTGAATGCAACGACTGAATACAGTGCACAAAGTTGACTGAGTGGCTACATTGGTGCATACAAGAAATTGAGAGTACTTTGTAGCCTCTTCGAGTCTCCACTTCAGATCGTCGATTTCCGTGTCCAACAACTTGTTCCTGTTCTCGCTAACTGTTAGTTTATCGTCCAGCTGCTTCATTTGTCGCCAGACTTTTATGTACTCGATGTTCTCTGCAGCTTTCACCCTCTGATCGTTGGCTGCGTAATCCGACACTTCCTTTTCCAATTCAGCTATACGATTGGCCATCTCCTTCTTTTCTGCGGTCAATGCCTATTCAAAAGAAGTCTTCTTATTCTTCTTTTCCTATAAGCTCGTTTCAAATATAAATATTACGTGTACATTTAGTTACACGTGACATGTTGATGACAAATTACGGGTGAATTTCAATAGTACCTAGTGCCTAGATGACTAAGACACTAGAAACGCGTCAATGATATTACCTCGATTGTTTCGAGATTATTTTGCGCTTCGTTATCGCCTGTCTCGGTGAGGCAGTGACAAGACGGTATCTTGGTGCGGCTGCTTTCGCTTCGACACGTTCTAAGGCAAGAATCCCGACTCAATGATCTAACACGATACAAGCAGTGTGAATCATAGATCGTTTGTAATACGATAATACGACGATTTGCACTCACATGCGTCCGGACGACGGCCTCGCCTGTGCGTTATGACTTCTTGATGACGATCTACTGCTAATCTTGTGACTTAGCAGCTGATTCCTCATCGCCGTGATTTTATCTTTTAACTGGAAAATCAATTGAAACTCTATCTGATTAGTCATAGCGGTTCATTCTAAATTTACCTTTTATGGCTACTGAATGAAGTGACTATTCATGCTGACTTCCCTCCTCCTGACTGTATTTTCAAATATTAATACTGACCAACAAATTTTAATATAATTTTTGTATTGAGAGAATGGGTCATTATACTATTAAATAATAAAAATATATTTTGTTTTATTAATATCTACTCAACATTGATGTAACTAAGATTTTTGTTTTCGTCAATAAAAATGGCGACCTCACCTTGGTGTTCTCGAGTTCAAGGGCAATTATTCTATTCTTATCGTCATAAACGTTCAAAGAAACGTTACATGCCCTTGGATTGGAAGCCACTCTCATCAATTTAGTTGCCAGTCGTTTGATCTTATCCTCCTGACAGTTTGACAGTTTCTTTAAATTTTTCGCTTCTTCGAACAGTCGTAAGTATTTGTCCTCCAGTTCGTAACGATCAAGCTTAAACACTAAGTGCCGTTCCCTGGGATCTTTAATATAAATATAATAGAGTTGAAAATTGAATAAAAATATTAATTTAATTTTGCTATAATATACAGACCTATACTACTACGACAAGTGTCCGGACAAGAACCTTCCCTTACAGGTAAAATGTCTCGATTTGGATCGTCCGCCATTTTTCAAAATTCCGTTATGAGACCTGAACAGTATCGATAAATCACGTTAGATAATTAATTGTACATTAATTTAATAAGTGTTAATTTTCTAACCTTAACGTATTGTTCGGGTGAACAAAAATATGAAATGAAGGATTTGATAATGTTCGAATATTTAGATTCTAAAGTTACTACCATATACGGAGATTTGTGCAGTTCGAGCGCGGATACGCGATACGTTATATCGCAAACTCGAATCTCTATCTATTTTCGTTTCGAGAGCTATTCAAATTTTGGCGGGCGAGTCGGGACATCCAGCGGCGTTCTTTCAATCGAATACGATTTGTGTGTGGCTGAAACTTTACACAGTCTGATAAAAATATCTTGATAAAATGTATCATCAGTATACATTGGAAATATGCCTGATTATGAACTTATTCGGAGGAGTAACGATATTCAAAGGTTATGTTTGTCAAGGGCCATTAAATATTGGTTATCTCTGACTTCACCGATAAGGGTTTAATTCAAAGTATAATTTTGTTCATACTTAATAAGTTTCCTTTGAACCGATGAAATTCCAAAGAAATTATTGAACAGTATTATAATTTACAACTGATGTTATTTATAGTAAATCTGATATGCACGTACGTATACAATTGTAAGATAATAATAAGAGCAACTTTTTGTTGCTTCACATGAAACGAATAATATAGTACCCAAAAGTGGAAATATATACCAACTACCGGATATTAGATTTTTATTATACAATATATAACGTAAGTATACATATATGGCTGTACGGGACTTAAGGCGGCTGCCTTCACCGACTGTGCGTAAATTCCCCGCTGTTTGCCATAGAGTTGATTACAAGAAGTACATCTCCCCTTTGTGATGCGTCACCGGGTATATGGGGCAGTGCTTCGATACGCCGGTACAACCTGCACTGCACTAACCTTGGTTTGACATCGCGGAGTGTGCGTGCCAGTGGAAAGGTAAGATGGCGGCGGACGGAGATGTGATTCCTGATCAAGAAAAAGTACGAATAGTTTCGGACTTTATACTACATTCGCCACCAGGCGAATTCAACGAGGTTTTTAATGACGTGAGAGTCTTGTTGAACAACGACAACCTGTTGAAGGAGGGTGCGGCTGGGGCATTTGCTCAATACAACAAGGATCAGCTCACGCCTGTTAAGGTACATCATCGACCTCTCTAGCGATCTTCTATGATTTTTTATGATAGTATCCGCGGTATCGTTTAGTATTTCTGATAATAGAAGATCACACTATCTTAGGAAGGTGTGGGATCGAATTTCAACGTCTAGTAAGGTTCCTAATTGGGCAACACGCGTCCGGGATTTCGACAGGTGACGTTGACTTTATAGTGAAATTGGAACGCGATAATATTCACCTGGTTCGTGTGATTGTTTACTTAAAGTATCCTCGAATTAGTATACGGCAGTTTCTATGTGAAAATCTTCGTTAAATTTCAGTCGAAATCGTATGATGCTATGGGGTTAATTTTAGTTCTGTTTCGTGCTGGTTTTAACAGAAAATATGGACTGATTTTTCATTTCTGTTCATTTATGGTTCAGTTGTATGATTATATTTTGTAACTTTAAATTAAATTTTTGGTTTGCAGTTGTTTCAATTAAATACAGCTGAGGTTAGATAGGTACCAATTTGTTATAAGCGTATTACGCTATGAATTATCTCAGAATGGCTTGAAAACAGTTTCTAAATTTATAATCATTTATTAATTTATTACATCCTTGACTTTAGATCGAAGGAAGCGAGTATCCTGCCCTTATAACAGAACACAATGATTTAGGTGGGCAAAGGTTTTACGATGCCCGTAGTAAGCAAAGTTTTAAATATGATCATCTTAGAAAGGAGGCACAGGACTATGAACCCTACGAACCAGATCCTGTAACGGAACCTTGGAGGTCAGCTCTTCAAGATGAAATAACAACTTATACCCAAAGTCACTATAGACATGGTGCATGTTCAGTTTTTGGGAAGAATCAAGGAGGTATTGTTATATCTTTCTAGTGATAATTGCGTGTTACATTAAAAATTGAGAATTTTAAATAAAGAATGGTATTTTATGCAGGTAACATAACATTAACCGCCTGCATAGAAGATCATCAATTTCAACCTAAAAATTTTTGGAATGGCCGTTGGCGTTCTGTATGGACTGTAAGTTTTAGTCCAAGTTCTGGAAACGCGGAATTAAGAGGTAGCCTTAAAGTACAAGTTCATTACTATGAAGATGGAAATGTGCAGCTGGTCAGTAGCAAAGAAGTAAAAGAAAGCTTACCAATCTCTAATGAAAAACAAACAGCGAAGGAGTTAATACGACTTGTTGAAGAATCAGAAAATGACTATCAAACTGCTATATCAGAAAATTATCAAACAATGTCGGATACAACGTTTAAAGCCTTACGAAGGCAACTACCTGTTATGCGAACAAAAATTGACTGGAACAAAATTGTATCGTACAGTATTGGCAAAGAGCTTAAAAGTCAATAGAAATAGATTTTTTTATATAATATTAAGAGAAATAATTAAAAAAGCGCATTTTGCTGCATGGGTGAAGTCTGGAGGTGTGATGTGCATGGGAGCAAATGTAATGATGCTATGTAATGTTTGGTTAAACGTGTTTGACTGAAACTCATGCATGCCACTCAAGGTTCCTCTGGACCCCATAATGTATCTCGTTACAGAAACAAAAGCAATAAAGAGGAATATCTTTGTAGCTGTCAACTGCTTACAAAAAAAAGAAAAAAAAATAACAAAACAAACAGGCATTTTGATTACAATATTATTTCTTTTTTAATTCATTTTGTATGTTCTATATTAACGATTTCTAACAATTCAGAGCACGTATTTACTTTCTTCTATTACTTTTAATGAATTTTATCTGTAAATGCTTTGATATGATGCTATATATATATTAGAATTTACATACTGTTTAAAAAATTTGTCATTAGGATGAAAACGTCCATTGTTTTACAGTATTTAAAATAATATTGATCTATGTATTAATTTTTAAATTAATTGGATGGGTGTTATGTTTGCTTAGAAAATTACTAGTACTTAATGATTTATGCTCTTGAGGTAACGGGAATTCTTGGTCTTACTTTTTGTAAGCATTTTAATTAGAATTGTATGTAAAAAATTGAACTGTATCAAATTTGTAACCGATAGATAAAATCAAACGTCAACGAGAAACCTGGAGTGGAATATTGGAGTTGATTAATGCATTTAATGGATTCATTCAAATTTTATCAATTAGGTAGTAATCCATACTGTTAGCATCGGGCAGATATAAATTATTCGATTTATATTTTCATGGTTTTGTGCAATAATTCAGTTTCAGGTTGAACTTTCTGATGAACTGTATTTATTGAATCTATCTATTATAATTAATTATACGGATTATTATCTTATTGGTAATATGGATGAATATAATTCTACTCCATAAGTTTTATTCAAATTATAATTTTTATAGTTTGAAGGTGAAACTTCAGACTAAAACATTTATTGCCTTTGTTTTATCTCGTATTGAAATCGTGGTGTTAATAGTCAACATTATATAAAGTTTAGTATAAGAAATGTTGCACAGTGGGAAAGAAATTGCTGTCTAACATGTGCATGTTCGGTCAGCCTAATGAAATCATCGAGTTAAAATACTTGAGTCAGTGATGATTAAAATTTCGATTCATTAGTTGCACAATAATACAATTTTTTCTAACACTTATGTCTTGTAACATCTAAAAAGCACAACAACACACTTATTAGTGTATCTTTAAATGAACATTACCACACTGGTTTCATGCTATGTGAAAATATAATAGCATGCTGGGGCCACAGGTATTATCAAAATATATAATGTCAAACTGAATAGGGATGTCTATCAGAAATTTACAATCTGGTAAAGAATACCGTTAAGTGTTCATACCACTCAGTACACAAAATATACAAAGAAAAACGTAATTCTTATCAAATATCGGTGGGCAAGGCCTACTATTTTTGTCCAACTTTATATTTCATAAAGTATAAATTTATACATTTTTGTTAAGACGTATTGTTTTATGATAAGTATGTCTATTATGGCAGATACGTTGCAAAGTTTAATAATACTAAATAAAATAAATGTTAATCATTGCAACTTGATTTCTGTGTTAATCATATTGTAGTTATATGAATCATTTGTATCAAGTAACAATGTTGAAAAATCTTTTGGTGCTATCGCTTACCACACATTACACAACCAGACATGTATGCGAAAACGGAAACTAACAAAGTACATAATGCATTGTACATTGTAGAATGTAGCCTATAGCCTGCTGGAGCCTTAATCTGTTCACTTTACGTTGAGGGGGTATTATGTACATATGTTATTTGAATGAATGAATGCGATGAAGCACACTACCATTTGACTTTTCAGACTTTAGGATTCGAAACATGTTTGTAATATTATTCGTATTTTGTAAGTTACATCGTAATTCAAAATATTCTGTTTAATCGTACGATTTGATAACTTTTGGAAGAAATGTTTAAAAAAATACATACATAACAATTTAAATATAAGATTATAAAATCATTTTATTAGTTACGGGAAAAAAGAAGGTTGAAACAAGTATGCAGGGATACAATGCAAAAGTTAATATATTAGCATTGCAATAACGAGATTTTATATGTAAATACGACGATACATATTATTTGAGCATTGTAATTTGTGTTACGTATGTAAATTACAAATCAAGTGTTGAAGTTTCGAATCTTATCAAACTTTACAGAAAATAGTTGCCTATGATAATAAAATTAGGTATTACCTACAATCGAATGTATCGTAAAATAAAACGCATGTCCTTATGTAAAAACTTAAACACAGAATACATTTATCAGTTAAATTATGTATTATTAAATGTTATGATTGATTAAATAAAGTGATACGACACTTTATACATTGACTGTCAACTTGAATATTGTGCTCAATTTAAAACACAGATTTCATTTTATATGTAATAATATTTTATAAAACGTTATAAAGGAAAATCACTATACAATCTATTTTTGAAACTACCAATGAATATAGATAATATATTATGGAATTATTTAAGGTGAAAAAAAACACAAAAAATATGTTACATATGCTTTATTTTCACACGTATAACGTCAATAGTTAACTATAACAGGCATTTATAGAATTAAAATTACTTTATTGTATTTTATGTCAGTAAATTAAAAAAATTCTCATATTATTGTGCTTAAACAATTACATGTGCTGAACATTGCTTTGAAGACATTTATATTGACCAGCGTGATCAAAAAGTATAAACTGCTTACCTTAATCTGATGTATTAAAAAAATGCTAGTACAAATATTTCAAACTGATCATCTGTGCACGTAATTAAGGGATCATTCAAAAATCAATCTCACAAATTTTGACATAAGCAGCCATATCTGTCTGTTTACCACGCGTTCGTTGCTAACAAAGTGGCAATATGTGGTCATGTGATACTATCACGTGACTGTAGACTACATTATATATGTATAGGATGAGTTGCGTACGAAGGGTTCATGGGGTAGCTACGAATTTCTTCTTAGGTTTAATTTTTTTTTAAATTCCTGACTAAATAAACTGTGATACTCAATCAACCATGGCCCTAATGCCAAAGGAATCTGCGAAAGTAATAGCAAGACTATCCAAGAATGTTTTTATCGAAGAAGAAGGCGTTAAAAATCTTGCCTGTGCGGTAAATAAGTTTTTAGTACTGTTTAAATGTTTCTTTATTTTAGAATCTTTTTTCAAATATAAATTTAACGTAGTGGTTTCGGAAACTATGATGTTAATTAAATTGTTTATTTCTGTATCTTAATTTGCTAAAAAGTAAAATGGAAAGTTTTATTTAACTTATAAGTAATCTTATCTTAACTATATCTTTGTAAACAGATTTTAGAAGGTCTTAAAAATCGTGAAGTAAGCGTGAACAATTTTTCTCAACATGAATTTCATCCTTCTCCTGAAGATCCAATTGCTGTTGATTGGATATTTGTCTTGGATACATTGAATTATTCTTTTTGGAGTAAGAAGGATTCTCTCAAGTGGACTGTTAATGGTCAGACTGGATATTTTGCATTATGCGCTGCTATTAAGAGGGCTATAAACGTAAGTTTGAAATATTATTTAAGTTTTGAAAAGTTGTAATAGATTATTTACTTTTATGTTTAAATTGTTTTCATGATGTCTTTAATTATCTGACATCTGCATCTTTCATCAAGTTCCGGAGTAAGATGTGCATCTGTAACTTCTGTTCTTAATGTTGATTCAGAGCGTATTGTTTCTATATCAGGTTTCTCTTCTTCTTCTTCAACTTCTTCTACTTTTTCTCTTTTCTTTCTTCTTTTTGCTTTTCTTTTTTTGCTACCTTTACGAGCTTTAGACATTTTTGATCTCTTTTCTTGCTTTTTACTCTCAGTTTGTGGACTGGATTTTCTTAACATTAATGTCCTTACTTGCGGACTTGAATCTTCTATCGTTTTCATTCTTCCTTTCTTTGTGTCTTGCATTTTTGGTGATGTCTTTTTAAATGATTTGCTAAGCTGAAAAGATTGTACTACATCTGTTTTTGTTTCATCATGACTTTGCAAAATTTTATCAGCATTTATAAGTAAAAATAAGAAAATACCATATCATCATCCGCAATAGATTTCGGGCAGCAAATTCGTTCTTTATTTTCAGGTCTACGTCTAGCTAAGTAACATCTTATATACATTTTTACATCTTTCAAAAGTCCTAGAAATAAAATTTGTACATATGTCAATATATTCCTGCTAAGATCTGATCATCTTTTAATTAGTACTTTTCATTCTCTCCTCCTCCTTTTTCACTTTTTCATTATATGCTTTTATAAAATGTTTACGTTGATCTTCTACACATTTTAGTAACATTTGTTCTTTTTCTATTTGTTGCTGTTGAAATTGTTGTTTCTCCACCCACCTAAAATAATAAGAACAAAATAAGTAGCAAATTTACATTACCTTTGTAATTATTATATATACTTCTGTTCCAATATTTTACGCTTGTCTTCTTTCTCTTGTGCTAATCGCATTTGTCTAGTTTTTCTACGTCTACGTTCTTTTCTATTCCATTCTAAAAAGGTTTGAATTATTCTTCGTCGTCTGATGTCTGCAGCAGCTAGTTGCTTTTGTTTAATGAATTCGGTTCGCGCTGCGCTTTTAATTTGTCGTAGACGTTGATCTTCCTTATGCTTTTGAATAAGTGCTCGCACTTTTTCTTCCGCTTTTTGTTGTTTTTCCTTCTGTTTTTGGAGTTTCAGTCTTTCAGCCCTCTTACGACTTCTAATAATTGCCCTCCTCAGTGCCATTAAATTTTCTCTTTCCTTTAATCTGTCAAAGATTAAGTTGGATTTTTATATTACTAATTTAATAGGTACTTTTAATATTACTTTCTTTCTTCTTTCTTTGCTTGATCCTGTGCATATTGAATAGCACTATCTTCAATGGACAGTTTTGTTCTCTTTGCTAATTCCTTTTTTATACTGTCACAATGTATCCTTCGCAAGTATTTTCTGTACATATTGTAATCTCTTAAAGAGCATTTTGCATCCAAATCCTTGGTAATGAGTCCAGCTTTAATTAAATGTTGAAGATTATTTGGTCTAGAGAAGAAAGGGACTAAGTGCTTGTCATGAAGAGAGTCATAGCCCAATTTCATTTCGTAACAGTATGGATCGCTTAAGTTGAACTCTGCATCCGTTGTTGGAATCCATAATCCTTGTCCAATTTTGCGGCGAGTAAAATTGTAAGCTCCTTCTGGTCCAGGGACCATTGGAATTTTCGATTCCAGTGGCATCACCTTCCATTTTGGTAGACCAAAATTTGGAATTGCACCTTTGGGCTTAGGAATTGATTCAGTAAGCTTGTCCAAAGCTCTGATTTATATAGAAAAGCATGCATTGTAAAAGTTGTTATTTTTCAGATCGCAAAAACTTACGTAGGCCTTTTGAGAGCAACTATGTCAAGCGTATACTTATTGCATATTGAATTCATCTTATTTGTCAACATGTAACATTTCCATATGAACCTACCCTAAGAAATTTAATTGCCAGTAACATTTTAAACGACAGTTTCGTTGAAACGTTACATAACGTAAAACGTCATTTTATCACGACTCATGTATGTCTAGCTTCTTTTGTTTGTTATAAATCCTTTTGTTTACGTCGTTTTGAAAATGATTCCAACGTGTGTGCACATACGCTGTTTCACGAGTATCATTGTTCAAATGTCAATCTCTTGTTAATCGTTTACTTCGAACAGGAGGGGAAACATATAGTCGATCCAAAGTATTACTCGCAGATAACAAGAAGCGAGGCCGAACAAATTTTTCGGGGTGATAATCAAACTAGTATTCCGCTATTAGACGAAAGAGTTAAGTCCTTGCGAGAGGCTGGAAAGATTTTGTTAGAGAAGTATCAAGGTACATGCTTGAAGTCATAATTTCCTCAAATCATCTGGTGCAGAACTTTACTGACCTCTAACAGAGGCAATTTTTAGAGAAGGACAATGATCACATTTTTCTAACTAATTTTATATATTCTTAACACCTTTGGAAACCAAAGTTAGAATGTAAAGTTATACACTAGACTGTACAGAGCACTTTGCAAATGTGTAACTCGCTTTTTTTTCCCACCATCCCAAAATTCGCTAAATAATTTTTTACATGTTTAAAACAAATTATTAATATTTCTTCTTTTTTCTAGGTACATTCGTAGAATGTATCAAGTCCTGTTTAGGCTCAGCAGAGCAGCTACTCAAACGTATCGTAAACGAGTTCGAGTCGTATCAGGATGAGGCAGACTATGACGGTCATAGAGGTAAGTAAAATCATCTTTGATTCGACTTCATTTGTCTAATGAGGATTTTCATTTTCAGTCAGTTTTTATAAAAGAGCTCAAATACTTGTGGGAGATATTTGGGCTTGCTTCAAGGGCGAAGGAATTGGTAAATTCCACGACATAGATTACATCACGATGTTCGCCGATTATCGTATACCTCAAGTTCTGGTACACTTTGGTGCAATTCGGTACAGTAATCCGCTTCTCAGCAGATTGCAGTGCGGTAAGTTTAAATAACTTACTGTGGAATAACTTACAACGGAATCTCGCTATATGGCCATCGATGGGGAATTTAGAGATTTAGGTATTTGGAAGTTTAGCTGGGAATTTGGGAATTAGGGAATGTGGGAATTAGGGAATGTGGGAATTGGGGAATTAGGGAATGTGGGAATTGGGGAATGTGGTAATGTGGGAATTGGGGAATGTGGTATTGGGGAATGTGGAATTGGGGAATATGGGAATTGGGGAATATGGGAATTGGGGAATATGGGAATTGGGGAATATGGGAATTGGGGAATATGGGAATTGGGGAATATGGGAATTGGGGAATATGGGAATTGGGGAATATGGGAATTGGGGAATATGGGAATTGGGGAATATGGGAATTGGGGAATATGGGAATTGGGGAATATGGGAATTGGGGAATATGGGAATTGGGGAATATGGGAATTGGGGAATATGGGAATTGGGGAATATGGGAATTGGGGAATATGGGAATTGGGGAATATGGGAATTGGGGAATATGGGAATTGGGGAATATGGGAATTGGGGAATATGGGAATTGGGGAATATGGGAATTGGGGAATATGGGAATTGGGGAATATGGGAATTGGGGAATATGGGAATTGGGGAATATGGGAATTGGGGAATATGGGAATTGGGGAATATGGGAATTGGGGAATATGGGAATTGGGGAATATGGGAATTGGGGAATATGGGAATTGGGGAATATGGGAATTGGGGAATATGGGAATTGGGGAATATGGGAATTGGGGAATATGGGAATTGGGGAATATGGGAATTGGGGAATATGGGAATTGGGGAATATGGGAATTGGGGAATATGGGAATTGGGGAATATGGGAATTGGGGAATATGGGAATTGGGGAATATGGGAATTGGGGAATATGGGAATTGGGGAATATGGGAATTGGGGAATATGGGAATTGGGGAATATGGGAATTGGGGAATATGGGAATTGGGGAATATGGGAATTGGGGAATATGGGAATTGGGGAATATGGGAATTGGGGAATATGGGAATTGGGGAATATGGGAATTGGGGAATATGGGAATTGGGGAATATGGGAATTGGGGAATATGGGAATTGGGGAATATGGGAATTGGGGAATATGGGAATTGGGGAATATGGGAATTGGGGAATATGGGAATTGGGGAATATGGGAATTGGGGAATATGGGAATTGGGGAATATGGGAATTGGGGAATATGGGAATTGGGGAATATGGGAATTGGGGAATATGGGAATTGGGGAATATGGGAATTGGGGAATATGGGAATTGGGGAATATGGGAATTGGGGAATATGGGAATTGGGGAATATGGGAATTGGGGAATATGGGAATTGGGGAATATGGGAATTGGGGAATATGGGAATTGGGGAATATGGGAATTTGGGAATGTGGAATTGGGGAAGATGGGAATTTGGGAATTGGTGAATTGGGGAATCTGGAAATTTAGAAATGGGGAAACTTCACTTTATCTGTTCACCCTCGTATCACTGATTTAACTCTTGGTAATATAGCGAGATTACACTGTCCGCAGTTATGCAAGGTTCCATTACCGTGGACAGAGTGTTAGCGTTAGTTAGCTTACTAGAAGCTATCACGTATTTAATATTTGCAGATGTAGAGTTAGAAAACGGTAGTGACGATGAGATAGAAATTCGAGGTTGCTCGATAGAGGCAGTCGAGCGAGTGAGAGACGAAGTGTGGTCTCTCATCGAGCGTTATCCGAATTTGGATTTAAAGAAAACGGATATAAACGCTATACTCATAGATCACTTTCTGTGGGACTATCGACGGAAACACGCGGCTCAGTTAGAAAGTATACCGTTCCATAAAACCAGATGCATATATTACTGAGCTTTGGTCCCGGTTGGAGCCAACGTTTTGAAAGTTTGCCGAGGAAACTTTAAGAATAGCTCGTAAACATTTGCAGAGATTATTTTCTCGGGTGTAATGATTTCTTTTTTGATACACCACGATTTATACTGTGATCATCTTTTATAATTATTCGTACGACGAAGAACTATTTTTATGGTTGAATGATATCCATAGAATTAGTGACCTTAAACTCATGTATGTGCAAATGTTTGAATAAAACGTTGAGCATTTTTTTTAATAATCGTGGCAGTTTGATCTTGGTCCTTGACCCTTTCCTGACCTGTAAGTCTAAGAAAAGGTGTTAAGGAAATACATGAATTAATAATAAACAATATATTTCTTATATCAATATAGCACAGTTTTAGTGTACAGGTAAGATTAAATTCATATAAATTTTGATATTTTATAAAAGAAATATTGCCCACTGAATTGTTACGTTGATAACTCGTATATACATCGATACATATATTTAAAACGTTAATAAATAATAAATAACAAATACCTGCAAATACTATAGGAAAGATTTGTATATAAAAACCTTTGTGACTATTGGTTCCTTTATATACATACAACGATTTGAACGAATTTATTACATTCAAGAATATATTTACAATTGAAACGCGTGTTAAAATTTGGTAGATCATTTTCAAGAAAAGAAGACTCATTGCTCGTAAAATTTATATACTTTGATTCGCTAAAATTCGAAAGAACGATGCAAAAATATACTCTTTGGCTGATCACGAGTTAGTATCATTTGGCACACGCACAATGTCAACAATTTTTTGACACAGGTGCAACTGCTTTTATCTTCCACGATACGATGATTTAATTAATCATTGAGCCTGTATCGTTTCAGACAGTCATTTTCGATACGGTGTTATACATTCTTACACCGAGCAAGGATCGTAAAACACACTTCTACAAACCGATATTAATTTTTGAAGTTACCTTCGAAAAGAATAAACGCGAGATTAATTTTCACCATGCAAATCGATGAAAGATCATCGAACACATGGTTCTCGTTTAAATTCGTCTCACGTTCCTCAACTTCCGGAGAATACAACACGATTCGAAATATGCATTCTAGCTCCTCCTTTGCATCTGTTCCCAGAATATAATATTCGATTTTAATTTCCCAGGCAAAATCACGTTCACGTCGTTCGACGAGTCGTTCTTCGCTTGCACCACTTCCGTTTGGTTCTCCGCCATTTTGCTTTGTTCCATGGTGACGTGGCTAGCCGGAGGCGAAGTGACTTTGTTCGGAATTTGTCGGAGACCCTCTCGAAATTGTTTCGACAACGATCTGGCTGTTAAACTGTGCATTTGTCGGGGAGATTCGACTATCTGTATCTCCGGTGTCGACGATCGTTCTTTGTACACGTTGCTCTTGTTTGCCTGAAACATTTGCGAAACTCGTTTAATAATCACTGGCAATTCGTATAATATTACTGGCATTTATTACTGTCTCACATAATTATTGCATTAGTTTAATAGTTTCAGAGATAAGTCTGCATTAAATATAAATTATATACTCTGTAGTTTAATAATAGTTCTCCACAAGATTTATCGACACGTTGAGGTGTACTTTCACGGTCTGAAGCTTTACTTTCTATTTAAAACTTCATCAAATATTTTAATAAAAATTATTCTGATTAATAACGTCCCTCATACTTTGCAGATCTCTACATTTCCGTCCACATTTTCTCACCTTGGAAATAGCCGGAGCGTTTTCGGACTGCTTGCTGAACGCCTCAGCGAGTCTCCTAACCGAAGGCATAGGTAGCTTGCTGTCCTCCTCCTGATTGATAACCTTCTTCGAGCGTTCCTTCTCCGAATCCGTGTCATTTTCTGACTCGTCGACCGAATTGATGTTGCACTTCTCTGGATTATAATTATTCGCAATATTCTTAACCGAGCCGTTCTTGACGATCCCCAAATCGTACGAACTCTGACTGAAATTCTCGTCGTCTTCATGATCGATCGTGTTCGAGTAAAACTTAGCGATATTAGGCACCGATTTCGCGGACTTTAAACCGAACCCGTTGTAACTCTCTTGAAACCTGTTCAAGTTCTCGGTACTCTGCGTCAGATTATTATCGCCGGAAGCTTGCGTCTCGATCAGGCAGCGATCGTTTCCGTAATGGCGCGTCAGATTGGATTTGTTCCTTGCGTGTACGATTCTGGGTTTGAAGTCGTCGTTGCCGATGCTGTTTAATTGAATATTGGACTGCGTTCGTCGAATACCGCCGTCGTAGCCGAACCTCTTCAAGTCCAGTTTATTCACGACCCTCGGTGTCTTGGTTACTTTGCCGCCATTGGAGAACTCGTTCTCGAATCCGTAAGCTTTCAGATCGATCCTCTTGATCTTCCGCGGGTTCTCGTCGGAGTTTGACTTCTTCTCGACGGCGCTGTTCTCTTGATTGTTCAGCTTCGCGTTGATCTCGTTCTTGTTATTCTTCCTCTCGTTCTCCAGAATCTCCTCCATTCGCTGGTCCTCCCACGTCCTCTGCAGCTCCATCTTCCTCGAGTTCGGTCTCTCCTCGTCCGCTGATCGAACCGTTTGGTATTTGTTCTCCGCGATGTTGTTCTGCCATTTGGCTACTTTCGACTTGACGTCGTTGCTGCGATTCAGCAGAGCCTCGGTTTCACGATATCGCGTCTCCTCCTGCAACACAGAACCATTTCGATAGAATTAAATATTCAGCAGCCACCACGGTTTCCGTTCCACTGAGCGTTTCGAGGGCCCTTCGCGTTGGGTTAATTGCTGAAACGAATTCTGTGCCATTAGTCTGCCAAGCGACATGCATATTGACTTCGAGCTGTTAGTCCTTTAACCCTTTCGTCACCGAAGATTACCATACTTGTATGCTAATAGGCTTTCGTGGTCGGAAATATACTTTACAGGTCAATGTTGTGGCGAATTGTATAATGGACTGTTATAGCTAATAAGATAAATCATTCTTTATGTTATTTCTTTTTTAGGAAAGAAGAAATCACTGTAACACTCGTCCTTCATAAATTTAAAAAAAATGTGACTCTGTTACAAAATTGTTATAAAATTCTGTAATCACGAACGATACATGTAATTATGTTAAATTACTAAACTTGTAAAAATGAACCTAGTAAAATAGTGAATAGCACATTGCAACGAAAGGATTAAACCCACAATGCGAAAATAAATCAGTGCAGTCTCTCCATCGATTCGACGTTCAGAATTTCAAGAAATCGTCGAGCATGCAGTGCTTCAAACATTGTTAGTGTTCATGCATTAAAATGCGATCGCATGTAAACGGTACTTACCGATTCAAAGGTAGTTTCACAGGGACATGCATGTGCAATGTGTACCGAACGACATCGTACTAAGAGGACGTATGACGAGAACGTTTTTCACTACTTTTCGCATTGATACTTTTCAGTGTGAACGATCTACTATACATATACAAGCATGAATTATCTTTTGTACAAGATTGCTACTCGTGCGTGTATCTATAAGTCAACAGAGATTTATTTACAGTCAGGTAGAGATCTATATGTCGTTGAACTCTCTGTATATTTTCTTCTTTTTGTTATTTTAAATGATTGAGTAAGACCCTCTTGAGAAAGAGAGCTTTGGGTGAATTGGTGGTGGGCAGATTGGGTGCTCAAGGTGATGTGGAGATAGGTGGGGATTTTTAAATTTGGGAATTTAGGGGTTGGAAGTTGGGGATTTGGGAATTGGGGAGTGTGGAATTGGGGAATGTGGGAATTGGGGAATGTGGGAATTGGGGAAGGTGGGAACTGGGGAATGTAGGAAATGGGAAATGTGGAATTGGGGAATGTAGGAGTTGGGGAATGTGGGAATTGGGGAATGTGGGAATTGGGGAATGTGGGAATTGGGGAATGTGGGAATTGGGGAATGTGGGAATTGGGGAATGTGGGAATTGGGGAATGTGGGAATTGGGGAATGTGGGAATTGGGGAATGTGGGAATTGGGGAATGTGGGAATTGGGGAATGTGGGAATTGGGGAATGTGGGAATTGGGGAATGTGGGAATTGGGGAATGTGGGAATTCGAGAATGTGGAATTGAGGAACGTGGGAATTGGGGAATGTGGAATTAGGGAATGTGGAATTGGGGATTGTGAGAATTGGAGAATGTGGAATTGGGGAACGTGGGAATTGGGGAATGTGGAATTGGGGAACGTGGGAAATGGGGAATGTGGGTATTGGTGAATGTGGAAGTGGAGATTGTGAGAATTGGAGAATGTGGGAATTGGGGAATGTGGAATTGGAGAATGTGAGATTGTGGGAATTGTGGAATGTGGGAATTGTATAATATGGAAATTTGGGAATGTAGGAATTGCAGAATATAGAAATTTGGGAATATAAGAACCTTGAAATTTGGAAATGAGGAAATATGCACCACGTCTCGCCCACCACAATATTAGACATGTTAAAAGTACAATTAAAAAATCGACAATGTTTCTCTACATCGTGCGTGAGTCGTGAAGTACAAGTTCTGCTAGGATTATTGTAGGAACACCTACACCGTTTAAAAGTGTCATGCGTCTCAAGTATAAAATAAAATATTTATAAACAATATATTTATAAATAGTTACAATGTACACAGTCCTTTCTACAATAAGCTTCTCCTTCGTCTTACTGACAAAATGTATCGCTGATTTGCTATAAGAGTAACAAAAATTGTTCATTCTTAAATTTGTACAAAAATTAACTTCGCTCAGTTTGTAAATTTTTAAAAACTTTTGTGAAAGAAAATTAGTTATAACATTTACTTACTCTTTTAGCAAAAGAGCAATGTTGTATATACATTTCTGTACAATGTAGGCTTCTTTTGGGTAAAAAAATTGTAGGAGAAGGAACCATTCAATGTTTGTTTTTTCCATTTTTTGAGAATTAAGGATGTAAACTTTCAAATTTCTCGATCCTTAATTTTTGGAACTCTCAAGTTTTCAAATTTTCAGACTCCTAAGTTCTCATCCCCTACATCATCCCTAGCCTATTGTCATTAACCCTTAAATCAGATTCATACAACACCCTCAAGGAACTTCGTCAATGGCACCGTTATAAAAACTCCCAATTAAATAAAATCGAAACTCAAGAAGTTCGTAAACAGTCTTCACATTCACTCTTAAATACCCGCAATAAAAAATCGTAGCTACATCAACTTAAAAATACGTAGAAACTTTCGTAACCCTCAAAAAAACATAAGTTTGTTCTTCACCAGATCGTGAGGTCGCTCAAACACCTCACTCCCATTTTCTTCTTCGGTTCAGGACTCTTCTTCTTCTTCCTTCCTACTCGCAGATCTCTCAGAGTTTCGAACGTCCTCTCAACAACCTGCGGCACAATCGGTGGCTCCAGCTTCAGGCTGTCATCGTCCGAGCGCTTCGATTTGCCCCTACTCGAATTCTCGTCAAACACCCTCCTCCTGGACGTGTTCAGAAAATAAGTGCTTTCCTCCACATTCGAACGAGATTTCACTTTGCGGGACGCGTCCTTCAGGAACTTCGTCATTATCACCTTATCCGGAGCGTAGACGTCCACATCCTGCCAATCCTCGTCCGAGGAGGACCTACACGTCTTCCATCTTCTCTTCGATTTATCGCGTCTTCTTCTGTTTTCTACATTTAGGCGTCTGGGAGCTTTAGGAGCAGTCGTGTCGTCCTCCGAGTCGCTCAACCAGTCGTCTTCCTCGAAATCTTGAGCTTCGGTCCCGTTTTCGATAGGCTCGCTTCGACAGCTTCTCGGCGCTCTAAATTTTCGGTGAGCCCTTGGAGACCTGAGAGTCACTCTCTTGTACGTAGGCAGTCCTTTCTCGATCTTACCGTTCCTCTTGATCCCCCCGAAGGTTTGGAACTTGAAGTCCGCGAAGTTCGCAACGTCGAGGTACTTTTCGGGACTTTGTTCCTCCTCCGAGTCTTCGGTGTACTTGATGAAACCGTTCTTTATGCCACCGAACGTGTGGTACTTGTACCCGTTGCTCCAGTATCGTCTACCATTAGACGACACGATTTGGTCGTTGCTGAGATCGTCGATCCACAACCTTCCGTAATCCGGAGTCTTCTTGCTCTCCCGGTTGCTCGAATCGATGGAGTAGGTTCCGGAGTCCTGATCCGGGCTCGTTTCGCAGAGGGGGTTGAAGACGGTCTTGTCTGACTCGTTCAACACGAACGAGATGTTCTGAGGTTCATAATCGAATTCCACGATCGAATTCTCGGTGGTCCTCGAATCGAGGTATGGTTTATTGTCCGAGACACTGTACAATTTGTCGCTGGACTCGAATTCCATTCGCAGAAGAGGGTTGATCGCAAAATGTGGACTGGAGTACGGATCGCGATAGGTCCGTCTAGAAAGACTGCCGCGCAGGGACGCCTCCTCGAACTTTTCGAGCTGCAAACTCACCTGTTGATCCTGGTCGGGCCCGGTTGAGCTCGATCCTTGGGATAATGAGCTGCTGGGTCTGCTCGAGGTCGACGCGGCCGATCTTCGTCCTTTCTCGTTGCTTAAGGCTCTCGAGTGGTTGATGTAGTAGTCCCTGCCGAACCTGTTCAATTCGTTTGACGTTCATATACAATTTGTGGATCATTGTGGCATTGTTAAAAAGATCGCAGGATACTTTAGAGCTAAGAATATTAGGGGCAAGCGATGTCTCAAGGTGTAGGAATTAGAAGAGAAGGATTTAGAAGTTGGCTTCAACTGTTCATCAATTCGTTTGACATTCATATACACTTGTGGACATTGTTCTGAGGATCTGAGGGTACTTTAGAGCTAAAGATATTGAGGGTAAGTGATGTCTCAAGGTGTAGGAATTAGAATAGGGAGGATCTAGTTGGGTCCTTCAACTGTTCATCAATTCATATGACGTTCATATACACTTGTAGACATTGTTAGAAAGATATGAGGATAGTTTAGAGTTTAGAGCTAAGGATATTGGAGGCAAGTCTCAAGGTGTAGGAAGTAGAAGAAGGATTTAGGAGTTGGGTTCAACTGTTCATCAATTCGTTTGACATTCATATACACTTGTGGACATTGTTCTGAGGATCTGAGGGTACTTTAGAGCTAAAGATATTGGGAACAAGTGATGTCTCAAGGTGTAGGAATTAGAATAGGGAGGATCTAGTTGGGTCCTTCAACTGTTCATCAATTCATATGACGTTCATATACACTTGTAGACATTGTTAGAAAGATATGAGGATAGTTTAGAGTTTAGAGCTAAGGATATTGGAGGCAAGTCTCAAGGTGTAGGAAGTAGAAGAAGGATTTAGGAGTTGGCTTTAAATGTTCATCAATTCGTTTGGCATTCATATACATTTGTGGACATTGTTCTGAGGATATGAGGGTACTTTGGATCTAAGGATATTGAGGGTAAGCGATGTCTCAAGGCGTAGGAATTAGAATAGGGATGATCTAGTTGGGTCCTTCAACTGTTCATCAATTCTTATGACGTTCATATATACTTGTAGACATTGTTAGAAAGATATGAGGATAGTTTAGAGTTTAGAGCTAAGGATATTGGAGGCAAGTCTCAAGGTGTAGGAAGTAGAAGAAGGATTTAGGAGTTGGCTTTAAATGTTCATCAATTCGTTTGGCATTCATATACATTTGTGGACATTGTTCTGAGGATATGAGGGTACTTTGGATCTAAGGATATTGAGGGTAAGCGATGTCTCAAGGCGTAGGAATTAGAATAGGGATGATCTAGTTGGGTCCTTCAACTGTTCATCAATTCTTATGACGTTCATATATACTTGTAGACATTGTTAGAAAGATATGAGGATAGTTTAGAGTTTAGAGCTAAGGATATTGGAGGCAAGTCTCAAGGTGTAGGAAGTAGAAGAAGGATCTAGGAATTGGCTTCAACTGTTCATCAATTCGTTTGGCATTCATATACACTTGTGGACATTGTTCTGAGGATACTTTGGATCTAAGGATATTGAGTTCAAGTAAATTAAAATTACCGCTTGATATCCGGTTCATGAGGAGTCAGCACGACATCCAAATCCTCCCCGTTGCTCTTCGGCAATTCGGCGTGAATTCTAAATAAAATCGCCACCATGAAGGTTCATGCTCAAAAACTATTTTTAATTGAATCTTTACCCAGGAATGTCTGATGCCCTCCTAGAATACTGTCTCTCCAGCAACCTCTTCTGGATGTTCTCCTCGCTGTAGGGGTTGTTCTGAATCGGAGGAGCGTTCTCCCATTTCTTGTGCTCTCGTTCAGCGATCGTACCTATCATGCATAAATTGCAACTATCTCTTATCGAGGAAAAGAGGATTAGAGAGAGTATAAAAGGACTAATGGAGTGAAAGAAAAAGATTAAAGGATTATAGGATCGAAGTTTGTTCACCTGGTCTTGGAGGTGCAGCCAGCCGAACCTCCTCTTCCGATTTCTTGCTCTTCAGGGACGAAGCCGAATCAGCTTTGGCGAGCGCCGCAGCTTCTCGGCACCTGCTGCACAATGGAATGTTGAAGAGCGTTACAATATCATCGACGGAAATAATATTTCGTGTAATGTTTCACCGATTTAGCGTTGACGTTACCGAACGAACTTTGCTTCAATTTGAAAACAATCGATTAGATTACAGTTTGAAAGTTGGTGCGACTTTATATATTTTTTAAAAATATTCACTTCTGTTATTAGACAAAGTAGAACTCTGTTCACGCGATTATACTTTTTAAAAAATTAAATAACTAATGCTTTTTAAGAAGGTATCAAGTTGCACCAAGGTCCAAGGACCAAATGTAATAATTTTGTTGCAAGACATACCTCTCTGCATTCTCCTCCGAGGAATTTTTCGATTCCGAACCCTCTAGCTTTGTCAAGCTGTCCAGATGCCTTTGGGTCGCGGTGTCGTAGTGTTCAGTGTACTCACTTTCTTGCTGAATATCTTCTGCTATGAACATGATCAAAATTGAGATGCATCCACAATTATTGACGCATAATTGTTACAGCTGTATATTTGCATATCAATAGAATGTACTTTCAACTAATACAACAAAGACCGCAACTTAGGATTTTCCAATTCTGAACCTGAAGAGTTTAGGACTTTATACTTTTATGACTTTGTAATTTTTTAACCTTGTCATCTCGTGTTATTGTGAATTAAATTGTTCACTGTATGACTGTATGACTGTTCGCTGTGAATTAAAGTCTGTATTCCGCAAGAATTCTGCAGCTTATGACAAGAGTCCACATTACCAAGACTTACCATGAAAGTCCGCTTTTTGTCCAGACGTCTCCTTAAACGGTTCGTCATCATTAACAGCCATCAGCTTCTTCTTAGCGCATTCCAGCGAATTAAGAACCTCTTCTCTCAAAATCTCCTCCCCCCTAATATTTTCAAAATTGTTTTCCGGTACAAAAGTCCACGTTGGCGTAGAGGTCGGTGTCTTCGGCACCGACAAATTTTCTTCCTGAGAATTTACCAGAAGATCCACATTCTTCACCGTATTAATTTTAATATCTTCTATCATTTGACCATTCGTCGATTTGTCTTTTACATCTTCTATCAATGGATCATTCGTTGATTTCTCTTCAATATCTTCTATCAATTTACCATTCGTTGATTTGTCTTTAAGTTCCTCGTTAGTCCGTTCACTCTCCATTTTCCTCGACTCAACCTTCTCTACCTCCACTTCGTTCACCTTGTTCTCATCTTTGGCTTCGTTTCCATTCATTTCCACCTTTAGCACCTGATTCTCTTCGTTCCACTCTAAATCATTGTCTTCAGGAACATCCGCATGCTTTTCCTTAGAATCACTCGACTCCCGGTCGCCATTTTGGAAGCTGGTTCTCTTCGGAGATCGCGGCACGACGTTGTTTATAGCCTCCATAAGCTCCTTCTCGATCTCCTCGTCGGATTGAGCCGAGGAACATTCAGAGAGGTCGGACGTGTCCTCGGCGTCTTTATCGCCTATCAGAGCCTTGAAATCGGCGCTGGGATTTGGCACCAACATGGCCACTGGGTCAGCCTGGGTTTGCACCCTTTTCTTCTGGAACAACCAATTTTCTTCCCAGGATTCCACTGGAGAGACCAGGCCGATGTGCGCGGTTGGGGTGCCTGGCTCGTCCTGGCTATCCTCTGACGACTCCTGCGATGCTGTAATCACAATTTTCCACATTTCAGGATGGTCTACTTCTCACATATGGGATATCGTATATGTACATTGATGTATAAGTGATGTCGTATATGTACATTCATGTATGAGTGATATCGTATACGTAAATTGTATTATTTCGTTATTTACGGAGTCAACAAAAAGATTTCAAGTGGAAATTATTATATCAGGAAGGAAATTAAACTGAAGGTCAAACTCAAGGTCATCTTTTCAATTTTTTAAGCGAAATCATTCTAAACTTGGTGTTGCGTAAAATATACTATCAAATTTTTGTATTTTACCAAACATTTATGAACCCAATAATTAAATTTGAAAATATATTTTACTCTTCATTACAATTTTTTCTCTGAATTGCTACAAATTTCTCAGTGCTACATTATTCTTTTAAACGAACATTTTTATCAGGAAATTTTTGTTGTTATAATTTATGAGACATTTTTGAAAAATTAAAATAATGCAAAAATAGATATGTACCAATTTTGTATAATAAACCATACACACAAAATATCAAAATGTCGAAGAAACACTCAGAGCTTCGAAAGTAAATATCAACGCGATGAGAACTGATCAGGATATGAAGTCGAGCGAATAGTTTAGAAATACCATGTGTCAGCGACAAGAATTTCGCGCATGCAGCGTTATTCTACGAACGCGAAAGGAGTATCGCGACGAGGAGTATTTCATTCAAGTCTGTGCTAAATTTAAAAACAATGAAACACTGTATTAAAATTTATTAAAGTAAAAATGTGTGTAAAGTAGAATGCAGTCAGTTAAAAATGCAGTATGTTAAAAAACTGAAATGCAGTCTGTAAGTTAAAAAAGAGAAACATTGTATTAAAATGTATTAAAGTAAAAATGTATAAAATAAAATGGTAAAAAACTGAAACACATTCTATACTAAAAAACTGAAATACAGTTGGTAAATTGTAAAGAAAACGGAGTCTATTAAAAGTGTATTAAAACCGAAGAGTACTCACGGTCGATAATGTCCATTCCAAGTTCAGGAAATGGCACTCGGTGAGCGTTCCTAATAGCCAAGGCATCATTTTCTTTGGGTTCCTCGTCCGACGCATAAGTCGTCGTTACTTCTTCTATTCGCTCCTCTATCTAAAAAAAAAAACCACGAACCCATCTTACAAATCATAGAAAGTTCTTGGAAAATGTCACCAGCTGTAGAAAGTGGACTCGAAAAAAATTGCTGAAATCGTTCACGGATTTTAGAAAGTAGAATTGATAAATCTCGTTTGGATTATTTTTATTTACCACGCATGTTTCAATGTGGGGCAACCGCTTTATCAACCGTGCGTTATCGAACGATTACCTGGCAACCTACTAAACGTTGCTGTAATATAGCAATAAAGAGCCGGACGTTGTATTTGCATGCAAATTTATTTTTATGTTAATGAATTTTTCTGATCATTAAGATAATAAGAGTTAGCATTCAGCCACGTACTGATTGTGTCAAAGACGTCAACCTCAATGGCCGCCATTTTGACGGTTCGTACACATTAGATCAATTTTATTCATGCATGCTACTTTATTCTAAACTTTGACGTGACTGAATAAATTTGCAAATTTGCATCTTCGCATTTTTGCAAATGTTGTTCAAATGTTTCTAAATTTCCAATTCTTGGATTTCTTCAAGGAATTTCTGATTACGGAATTTTTAAACGTGCAGGTTTCTATATCAGTTTACATTGCAAGGGCTGTAAATGGCCATAAATGGAGAGATAAAATTCCACCAACTTTATTCTAAATTTTGACGTGACTGAATAAATTTGCAGATTTTACAATTTTGCACTTGCTCAAATGTTTTTAAATTTCCAATTGTTGGATTTCTTCAAGGAATTTCTGATTACGGAATTTTTAAACGTGCAGGTTTGTGTATCAGTTTACATAGCAAGGGCCATAAATGTAGAGATAACCCACCATAAGGGACACAGTAGGTTCCATCTGACTCTTGCGTCTCAAACACGCAACGGTGTAATCGGCGTAGTCTTCGTGCGACATTGGTTCCAGGCTGCTGCATCCTTCGACGCCCTCGTCAAGGCCAGGCTCGTCTGAAAAAGATTCGTCAGCTTTCACCCTCTTTTCTCGCCGTTTCTAAACTGGCGTATTTAAATAATCCGATACGGGACACGTACTCGATGCACAGTTGCCCGCGGCCACCGGTTTCCCGTGGAGAACGTTGCTATTACCGTCCACCTGTTCCTTTTGGAATTTCTCGATGACCTAGAAAATCCAGCGTGTTTCGTTCATCGATTTATCCTCTCGCTCGAGCCACGAGCTAAGCGTGTTTTGAATTCCAGACGATCGAGGACACCCTCGAGCATGAACCTAGTGTTTTTTCTCTTTCTAACCTTGTTCAGTATCGCGGTAGCTAGCAGGTCCTCGTAGCTGTCGGCCCTTCCTTCCGGCGGTCTTCCGGGTTCTCCGGAACCTCCCAGGCTGGGTAACTTCCGGGCCTCGTCGACCGCCCGTTCCACGATCTCGCGGAGGGCGGTGTGCGCCATCGCAGGGGAATCCGTGCCTGGTTTGTCTGGAATTACAATTTTTAGTTGGATAGGGGAAAAAAATATTTATCACGTATGATTCCACATATGAGTTTATTGAAGATGTAGACATGAGCTACATCTACAACAATTACAAGATATAATAATATACATATGCAAGATATAGGTATCTAAAAGAATAGAGATCCAGAAGATCCACATATGAAGGATCACCACATATGATTCCACATATGAGTTTATTAAAGATGTAGACATGAGCTACATCTACAACAATTACAAGATATAATAATATACATATGCAAGATATAGGTATCTAAAAGAATAGAGATCCAGAAGATACACATGTGAAGGATCACCACATATGATTCACATATGAGTCCATTGAAGATGTAGACATGAGCTACATCTACAACAATTACAAGATATAATAATATACATATGCAAGATATAGGTATCTAAAAGAATAGAGATCCAGGAGATCCACATATGAAGGATCACCACATATGATCCACATATGAGTTTATTCAAGATGTAGATATGAGCTATATCTATAACAATTACAAGATATATACATATGCAAGATACAGGTATCTAAGAGAATAGATGCAGAAGATCCACATATATAGGATCACATATGGTTCACATATGATTCACATATGAGTTCACTGAAGATGTAGACATGAACTACATCTTCAATTACAAAGTATATACATATACAAGATATAGGTATCTAAGAAAATAGAGGTCCAGAAGATCCTCATATGAAGGATCACATGTGATCCACATATGATCCACACATGAATCCACTGAAGATGTAGACATGAACTACATCTTCAATTACAAAGTATATACATATACAAGATATAGGTATCTAAGAAAATAGAGGTCCAGAAGATCCTCATATGAAGGATCACATGTGATCCACATATGATCCACACATGAATCCACTGAAGATGTAGACATGAACTACATCTACAACAATTAGGAGATATATACATATGCAAGATATAGGTATCTAAAAGAATAGAGATCCAGAAGATCCACATATGAAGGATCACCACATATGATCCACATATGAGTCCATTGAAGATGTAGACATGAGCTACATCTACAACAATTATAAGATATAATAATATACATATGCAAGATATAGGTATCTAAAAGAATAGAGATCCAGAAGATCCACATATGAAGGATCACCACATATGATCCACATATGAGTTTATTCAAGATGTAGATATGAGCTATATCTATAACAATTACAAGATATATACATATGCAAGATACAGGTATCTAAGAGAATAGATGCAGAAGATCCACATATATAGGATCACATATGGTTCACATATGATTCACATATGAGTTCACTGAAGATGTAGACATGAACTACATCTTCAATTACAAAGTATATACATATACAAGATATAGGTATCTAAGAAAATAGAGGTCCAGAAGATCCTCATATGAAGGATCACATGTGATCCACATATGATCCACACATGAATCCACTGAAGATGTAGACATGAACTACATCTACAACAATTAGGAGATATATACATATGCAAGATATAGGTATCTAAAAGAATAGAGATCCAGAAGATCCACATATGAAGGATCACATATGATCCACATATGAGTCCACTAAAGATATAAACATAAACTACATCTATAACAACCATTACAAGATACAGGTATCTAAGAGAATAGACGTCCAGAAGATCCATATATAAAGGATCACATATGATCCACATATGATCCACGTATGAGTTTACCAAAGATGTAGACATCTACCTAGACAGTTTCAAGAATATTCCAGCATAGATTTGAAAGTATTGAAACGATCAGAAGAAGAGTTCTAAGAATCGTTCGAGTAGATAGATCGTTGATGTATAGTCCATATCGGATGGTCATCAACTGTCCCCGAAACGATTGGAAGAGAAACCTGGTCGTAAAGGAAATAAATCGGCCGGAAGGGTTAACGAGCACGTCACGAGAGGAAAAGCAGGCGCACTTTCGTCTTAGCCGGTAGCTACCGGTAATCGCTAATGGATCGAGCCTCGAAAGGACTGCAAGATAATTTCACCGGCCTTGGCAATTTCTCATTCTTCTTTTTATCCTAACCCGGTGAAATTTGACGACCCGTTGAACTCTTTCTGCGGGAAACTTTAGACTTCGGAGACGTTAAATCGTGAAAATGAACGCTGGCTCCATTTCGAGTTAATAGCCATTGCGAGCGCGAAAATTGAAGTTCCTAGGAAGTATGGGACGCGGTTGACACTTATGGGTGTCAGAGAAATTTCATTCGCTCGTTCGTCCTCAGCTATGTCCGCTGTTTCGACTTTGCCTCGGCTATTTACGGCGTGGCTTGGAACCTTCATTACTGGAATTAATTTACGGGATTGTCGAGCAACTGTGTTTCGCGGGAAGTTATAATTAATACAGTAATAATCTGGGGGCTGCAGCTATTTTCGGTGAATATCGATTATTTACAGATGTACACGTTTTGTCACATGTTCTTGTCCGAAATTAGGTTTGATCAAATTCGAAAACTATTGCAACTTTGACGTAATAGTTGAATTTGATGTAACCTGAGAAAATCTGAACCATCTTCGTAACTTAATTTAACCTTAACATACAACTTATTTTAGACCTCACAACTTATTACCTCATCAAACTTGACCTAACGATTCAATAATTCAAACGTGTCCACATAAATGCAACCCTGTCTCAGTAGCCTAACCTCGCATAACTGTCTGACCCTCCGTCAAAGTCATCAAGCTTTGTATTGTAATCAATCTGATATTTATTCAAAATAATGCAAACCCAGCAATAAGAGTTCGATCGCATCTGACACAGTTCAATGTATTTCAAAGGGGAAACACAATGGCGATGACTCGATCGCGTGAATTAATTCGGAACCACTGATTAATCGATTCGATGTAAATTATCACTGTCCGCTATATTTAGAACGTACTCGTCGCGTTTCATTAGAAAGAGCATTTTTCCGAACGGATCCGATCGATGGGCTTTCTAACCCTGATCTCTCGTTGGAAGGTGAAGGCCGGCTACATTTATTTCCTGCTGACTATCGCTTAACTATCTCTGCAACTATTCATTAGTCACACCGTACGCACGATCACCAATTAATTAATCTATCGGATACTATTTCTTCGTGTCCTGTTTTCTGCTGGAATGTTTTTATGTTCCTATGTGCTTCTTTACTGATAATTTAACTTTAATTTTAATTTAACTTACTGGGATAATTTAAGTTTTGCTAAGATAGTTTGCTAAGATTCCTATGTGTTCAAATGGTTAGTCTGGGTTTGGGCTTCCTTTGGTTAAGTGTCCTGGTGAAAGAGTTGAAATTTTTTAGTTGGAAAATTGTCAAGTTTACATATCCTTCATGTATCAAGGAACCCTAGTATTAATAATCCCCTAGAACCCTAGTATTCTTAATATTGCTAATGAGGAAATTATTAGTTGCACAAAATTTTAATATAATCAATTCACTGCTTCATGTTCTTTTTGCAGTGATAACGCTCATTGCACTGAGGTCTTATCGCAAAATGTTATTCAAATTTCATACTTATCTGTGCCAACATGTACGTAAGTGATGTAACTGATATTAGCGGAGACTATGTTCCTTGGAAAAGGAAATAAGTGTAATACCATTTGCCAGTGTAATATTGAATTATAACTTTATCTCGCTATAAAATACAGCGTACAAGTTAGACGAAATCCTACAGGGTCGCTACGTTGGTTACATTACTAGTGTAACTCTCGGAATAGATGGGAAATTCAGTAGCGAGAAACCTTTCTATACCGTCATTACAAGCCAACCATAATCGCCATAATTTCGTTACATCAGAACGCCTGCTACGTCGATTCGATTTCGCGTTTAACAAATCAGAAAGGAAGCGTTTTACACCGACCACGTTATACTTAAAACACAAGCATCCTTTCTCAACTCGAAGCTTGATACATCAGTATTATTTTACAGCACTTACTCAAATCCAGCCAAACCGTTTATTAAACCCGACATTTCACGACAGTGCCAGAAGTGAATTAGTTTACTAGAGAGAAAATGTAACGTACAAATATTTGCATAAACATTCGCAGTTCAGTAATTACAAATATTTACGAATTTCAAGCACGTGCGAGTATGCAAAATATGTCCGCGTAGTATATAACAGGGTAAAAGGTACAAAATGTGGTAACAAGTATATCGAAGAAAATATACGGCGAAAAATATCAGTGAATTTGCATAAATATTCACGGTCTAGTAATTGCCGATTTTAGAAAGCACGAAAAATGAAATGCCTTTAACGAACGAACATTTCGTAAATCGTATTTACATATTTATCGATCGTCGGGACGATGATCGTCGAACGCGTTTAATTGCAACCTCGCTTGGTTTGCGTCAGTTTATGAATATCCAGCAGGATTAATAATAATCGTGACCAACGGCAGAAGAAACGAAGGACGTTCAAGTAAAAAGTGAACGATTAGCGTCAGAACGCATCTTCGTGGAATTCATTATTAATAGTCCTACAATTCATTTTAATAGACGTGTAAAAAATATACAGGGTGGCTCACAACTAGCGTTTCTGAAATGGGCAGCTGATTGTAAGATTTCCCTTTGCAAAAATGGGGTTTGACTACAATTATAATAACTAGTATAACTCTTGGAATTGGATGCTGGGGTTCGAGATTCTGAACAACTTTTCCCTTTACAAAAATTCGATCTGAAGCTTCGTTTTTGAATTATTAAGGAAAAACGCGGACCAATCAGAGCACGAGGTTTTCGCGCGCTCAGCCGCTGGGCGGAGCTGTCTCGCGCCTGCGCACGCGTCTCGCGCTCTGATTGGTCCGTGTTTTTCCTTAATAATTCAAAAACGAAGCTTCAGATCGAATTTTTGTAAAGGGAAAAGTTGTTCAGAATCTCGAACCCCAGCATCCAATTCCAAGAGTTATACTAGTTATTATAATTGTAGTCAAACCCCATTTTTGCAAAGGGAAATCTTAC